TCAGATTTAACATTATTAAACGATCCCTTTTATCCATATGGACTCTTTCACCTTTCTTGACCAGAAGTTGCTTTCAAAGTCAATAATGAGGGCATCCTCCCATCCAAAATTATGTCCTCTGTTGAGTGCTCTGTTGTGTCCCTTTAATCGAGTTCTGCCAGTTTCCCCCAACATAAAAATTATTGTTACAATCTGTGCAAGTAATCTTGTACACAATGCCTCTCTTTTCATCTCTTGGAATATAATTCAGTGTGATTTGTACATGACTTGTATATAATTTCCATTGTCAACGTTCAAACGGCAATTTTTCAAATTTAACAACGATTCTCATTTACTTACAATTGACCGAAGTTATAGGCCTATGTCATAGAAAATATGAAATAAAAACAAATGTACAATCTAGACATATCGTAAAGGGGCGCCTATTCATTATTAGGAGGGTGGGGCATATTCATTTATTTAATTTTGGGGCGGCTAATTCATATGAATGTAGCTTTGCTCAGACGCACTTATAGAAGAAAAAATTGTTCGTCGTGTGCCTCGCTTAATCTTTTTTTTAATCAAGAAAATATTTTAAGAGGGCTTGAAGAAAATTTCCTCCAAGCCCTGCTCTAGAGCCGCTTCTCCAATTGCTTTCGATGATTATCCGGAATTGATTTTGTTTGTGATGACGACTCTCGGTCGACGATAGTAATTCCAAACCGTCTGGCTTCTAGTATCCTGTCTCACTATCAAATCTAACACAAAATGGGGGAGGGGGGGGGGGGGTTAAATGTTAGGGGCTTGCGCTTACCTATTACATTTTCAATAGGGTCTAAATTTGAAAGGGCACAAAAATACAATTATGGGCATAGTATGAAAGGTCGGGTATTAAAAGTGTGCTGCTCGCTCCACATATACTACTTTCAATGTTACAAACATGTACTTGAAATTTGGCCCACATGCTTGTAGTAGTATTTTCGAAACGACGCAATTTTAAGTATGTTTAACCCCCTCTCACCAATTGCACAATCTCATACAGTTACTCCTCTGATGTAATATAGTGCAGGAAATACTTTTTGCACTGTGCTTTACAGGGCAAAAAAAAAGCCATTTGCAATGTTCCTTCCTCATGCACACAGCGACTATTTTTTTCTCAGTATTTGTAAATCAAAATTTACAAGAAATGGGGGGGGGGGGGGTGGACCCCAGGCCCCACTCCTCAGCTGGACCCCCTGTCTAAACATCTGGACAAGAAACTAGACGAGAAACTAGACGGTCAAATGATTTTACTTGGCCTCATGCCAAAAGGAGAGAGGAGGGTGGAATGAAGCAGACACCGTTTCCGCCTTCCTCACTTTCGGGGTCAGTAGGTCAAATGGGACTGTCCCTTCGCTGTACGGATGTTTGTACACAAATCACAGACAGTAAATAAGAGGTGACAGCCGCACCGCTTTTTAAAGGCCCACTGTACTACTTGTAGCTACTTGCTCCCTCTATATAGAAAACACTGCATAATCGGTGACCATTGGTCCCACCCCCCTCCCATGATCCTCTTTTTCGTATGTGAAAGGGATCGTTTAACAATGTTAAATCTGAGCTACACGGCCCTACGTGTTATCAGTGTCTGTGATACGGTGTAATAATGAAGCCCTACAAAAAAAAATCGCGCTTCAAAATGATCAAGAAGTGCCTCAAAAAGTAAACATCTTTGAGTGACCGGTTTTACCATACTCGTTTTTCCCAATAGACTGTAGTGTTATGGAAACCGTTCAGCGAACGATTTTCAAAATTTGTAATTCCAATCATAAATATCTTGATAATCAGACAGGCGATCGGCTTGTAAAAGCCATGTGGTTCCTGACTGACCTAAAGGTTTATAATTACCATTGCAGCATGAGCTAAATCCCACTATGAATATGACTGACAAAGACAGCGGACAAAATATACAGTTCCTCAGGTAGACAAAGGAACATCCCTTCACTGATATTATGTAAAAATGTGTAGAACAGGTGTCACATGCATATTCACCTTTTTACATAATAGCAGTGAAGGGATGTTTCTTTGTCTACCTGAGGAACTGTATAATTTGTCCGCTTTCTTTGTCTGTCATATTCATAGTGTCAAGAACTTTGTTTCAGAATCTGAGACAAAGTTACCGGATCCCTTTAATGGAGAGCTGAGTTAATGAGATAGCCACCTGTCAGTGACCTTCATCGGTGGTCTAATCCCTCCTAACCAAACGGGTACAGACGGCCTTTAAAGGTCTGTGTAGAAACTAGAAAGCAGTTTTGCTGATAAACATGGACGAACAGGACCGTCGAAGAGAAGTTTCCAAAGTCGAAAGTAGAGAAATTTTCTATGCAGAGTGAAAACTAGTATTAGTTACTGGCAGCCTGGCAGAGTTAAAGGGGCGCAACTGTAGGCCTATTTTGCTCCCCCTCCCGTTAAAGATGAAGTTGAGTTCTGGTCATGCGATTGCATTGTGAAAGAAACGGTGTGGAACCGACCAGAAAAGGTTGATCATCTAGGATATAAGAATTTGTGTGTATTGCAAGGTTCTGGAATCATCAAAATGATAAGAATTGTGGCCAAGTCTTGGTAAAGTTACAAACACTTGCACAGAAAGATGTATATGGGACTACAAGAACACGTGGCGTAAAAAGCCGGCCCCCCCCCCCCCGATTTTTACGATGTTACATGCATATTTAGAATATGAAGGCATTTGAAGAGCCAAGCCAAGCAGGGAACATGTCTTAACTGATGTTCTTCCACACTTGCATAATAAGAATGAGTAATGCTCACAAATTATTTTTCACCTCTTCCCAGAACTCAACCTATATTCCCTTTTCCCAGTCTTTCTTTTATTCCTCTTCCTTTTTCTCACATTTTTGATTGCTTGTTAGAGATATTGCTCGTCTGACCCTCCTCAGTCTTCTGCAGAATCCTGAATGCGTTCTTACCTCAAACTTAATGCCCTATTGAAATAATTTTCGTTCAAACCAATTTTTAGATTTTTATTTTTTTATTTAATTATAGTTTTATTTCAACAGGGGGGTCTCATTCAAGTTCATTTCTGAACCTGCTCTCCTAGAAAGCCCTGCATTCACATAAAAACATGTACAATAAAAACGTGAATTCAAAACATACATGGGTACCTGGTAGGAATTTATTCCTTGAAACGCAGCGCGCGTAACAACTGCACTGCTAAAGCCAGGGTAATTATGCTGCATTATTGTAGAGCGTTTAGAAAGTAAGTGTTAGGCGCTATATAAGCAAATATAATTATACATACAAAGGTGAAATATACATGATTTATACAATAATTAAACATAGGTAACAAAAAACACGCATTAACAATTATGAGGGGAAAAATACAACTATCAAATTGAGAAAACTAAATGAATGAAATGTAATTAATAAAGGTCAAATTAATGTGAAAATATGTTTACAAGGGATACTGAAACGTTTTGACATTCTTTTTAAAACTTTGCAGCGACTTACAATTTTTAATATGATAGGGTAATTTATTGTATAATTTAGCTCCTGAAACCGCTAAGGTTTTCGTTAGCTTCAAATATTGCACAAATTGGTTGGAGCAATATTTAGCCAGGTCATTTTGTAATTCCGCACCTGTGCGGAGTGTTGCACCTGGGTAAAAAAAACAACAACATTATGGCGACAATAATGATGCGGTTTTGAGGTAATCGAGGTAATAGTATCATTAACCTCACACTGGGAAGTACTTTCTGGTCATGACCGCAAAATCATTTTGATTTGTATAACAGGCGGAAATTGGTACAGACTTCACGCCATGCCATTCCTAAAATACCAAGTGTTGAATATGTATGAATCGAATCGTACTTCTTGACAAACTGATGATCTTTGTAAGCATTTAGACTTTCTGCAACTCGATGTACACTTCCCGTGAAGGTATTGATTATATATATATATTGAATGGGTCTTATCTCCATTAATCAATAATAACGCCGCTCACCCATTGATTTAAACAGTAAAAAAGTGCTGCGACAATATGGTATAATTTTGGTATTCATCTGCTCGGTTGAGCACGAGTTAAAGATGCAGTTGAGTTTTCAGGAAAAAATAACTCCAATTTTTAACTTGTGCAGAAGTTTATACCTTTCGTACAATGGCGTAGGTAAATGGGTACATGTGCCCGTGCCCCCTCCCCCCAATAGAGTGGTTAAAAGAAAAAGACGGAGACTGACGCAACATTTAGGCTCTGCTCAAGAATTTAGGAATTGTGAAAATTAGAGTCCCTCTCTAAAAAAAACACCATCGAGTGATCCCTGACGTCACTCCTCTGGAGAGTGAAAATGTAGGGAAAATAGAGTGAACATTCACTCTTTCCTTCTTAGAGAGCACTCGCAAATCAATCGATATTCACTCCTAAACAAGTGATCCTTGACGTCACTCCCCAGAAAGTGAAAATAGAGTGAAAATTTACTCTTTAAAACAAAATATACTTGCAGACTACCCTTTTTCCCAATCAAGTAACCTAGTTTATTTGCATTTGATTTTCGGAATAATATGGGTGTTCTCCCCCCCCCCCCCCCCCCCCCCCCCCCCATCGTCCCAGTGCCTCCATAATGGGCAGACTCACGCCGTTTCACTCTTTATTTTTTTTTCCATTTCCGCAAAACAATTTTTCCTTTGGCCGTGTTTTTGGTGGTGCTTGTGTAAAGTAAGACGGGCAAGATGTACCGACGATATTATTTCTCATTGAACGGTGAAAAGGGCTCTTGACTTGTGACGGGTGGCAGTATCATTTCCGATGCTTTGATTTTCTTTAGTCATCAGCAATTGAAAATTTGGAATATGCAACATGAAGTTTACATTGACTTACATTAACTCAGGTACTCATCTTTTATTAGGGATGCCTTTATTGCATTCCCAGCCAAACTAATACGGATAATTTTATTACTTCTATAACCATGTCAAAATACTAACATACCTATACTAGTACCTTACTGTTGTTGTTATTATTAATCTTAGAGCGTTTAAGAATTACCGCAATGCTCCCACACAGGACTGTAGAAAGTATAAATAAGTTATCAATATTCATCATTAATAATTATTTCCTTTCATTATTTTTACAGCGAACACATACCGTCACCATCATCTCCATCTGCAGTACATTGGTCTACCTCGCCTTCTTCCACGGCACCGTCATCCACGATTTATTCAACCGTACCGAGGTCGACGACTTCGACGACTTCCAACCCGTGAACAAGGTCGAAAGAAGACGTACCCGGAATAAGAGTTCGCTGCCAGCTTGGAGTTATGAGCGGCGGAGAGACTCGGCAGAAACCAGCTTGAAACAACTTGCTCCAGAGGTGGGAGTCCAGAATTTGTTTTCTTATTATTTGTTTGATTATTGTTAATAATGTTATTGTTGTTATTAGATGATCTGCCGTGTAGCATATCAGACCACCTATTGATTTCGTCAGCATCTATCCTTTTTTCCTTTCTTTCTGTATGGATTTTGTTCGCTTCACTATCTAATTTTAATTACAAGTCATATGCCATATGCATGATGCTGTTGTTGCTGTTTTGGTTTTTATGGCGTGTATCATTCATTTATGAATTATTAATATTATTAACGTAGTCACTATCTAATATGACATGGTTAATGACAGTGCCATTTTAATGACATGTGCCATATGCATGATGTTGTTTGGGTTTTTATGACTCTTGTTATTAATTTGTTTTATTCGCCGACTATACGCGTTAAGCCGAGTGATGGCGCGATCCTAAGATTTATGACCTACTACACATGGAAACTAACTATTATATACAGTTAAAGGTAAAGACCAGTATTGGAAACGCCCCAATTTCAAAAAATGAAATGGAAGCTCTCATTACCAATCATGTGAAAGAATATGTTTTGACTAATACATGATGATAAAAAAATTGCCGGGAAACCGCCTACTAATTCATATATTTGGTAAATTTGTTTCTCTCATGGTCTGTGAGAGATATAGGGTAGTCCCATATACATCTTTCTGTGTATAGTGCTTGTAACTTTACGAAGAATGGGCCAAATTTCTTATCATTTTGATGATTCCAGAACCTTGCAGATGCTAGATGCTACATGATCAACCTCTTCTGATCGATTCCACAACGTTTCTTTTACAAAGCAATCGCATGACCATAACTGGTCTTTACCTTTAATGCAGGAGGAAATTCTAGTCTAGGCGTTTAATTCTCCCTGGTTTGATAGCGTGAAATGGCCTTGCACTTCAAACATGGTCTCGTCAACATTATCTGTTATTTTTAAACTCGACCTGTATTTTCCATCTGGCTTTCTGCCTCTCTCTGCCTCTCTCTCTCTCTCTCTCTCTCTCTCTTTCACTCAATTACTTACACCCCTCCTACTCTCCCCTCTCCCCTCCTACTCTCCACTCCTACTCTCTACACTATCTTCTCTTCATCGATACACTTTCTTTCTTCCGCCTCTCTTGTCTCCGTATTTTTTTCTATAGTGTTATTTTTTTATAGGAACCTATGAAATCATATAGTGCCCCCCCCCCTCTCTCTCTACCTACCTCTCTCTCCATCTCTTTCAGTCTCATATCCTCCCAATTGTTGTATTATTTCCTATTTTTCAATGATTTCCCTTGTAATACTCTCATATTTTCAACCTGTTTCCTTCTCTTCCTTACCACCTTTTCGTTCGATTGTACCTGCACGTGGATAATATAAATTTATCACTGTATAGAAGCGTTGAGGGGTAGTGAAATAATTGTTGGGGGGAGGGGCGGCACCCCGGTCTCATTGGGAAACTGAAATACGACGGCTACTGATCAGGGGAGGGTGCGAGAGGTGTTCCACAGTTCCAATCGTCGTCTGTTCCATCCTTTTCCCCTTCTCCATTTCCCTTTCTCTCTTTTCTCGCCCCTCTTTCCCTTTTTCCTCCCTCATTTTTCACCACTCATTTAGGGGGTCCACTCGACCCTGCTATAGCTATGCAACTATTCTGTGTACATGGGTAATCCTAATCCTGGGCCCCATTTCACAAAACTTGTCATCAGTGACAAATGACAGTTTTTGTTATGAGCTACTGAAATCCTTGCTTCTGATTGGTTATCAGCAGATTTGTCACTGATTTTTGTCATTTGTCATTGAGAAAAGGCTTTGTAAAGCGCCCCCCTGGACTAAAGGAAATCTTTCTTAAATCAAGGACAATCTCCGGAAAATTTGGGTCAAAACCTTTGGACCCGAAGATTTTTGTTGTCAGTATAATTGTGAGATTGAGACGAGGAGTTCTCTCATCCAGTCAGATCACACGAAAATCGCTTCCGATCCCGATAAATCGTGAGTGCCAGATATTCCCCGACGACTTTTCCCCGACGCTTATGATTCTGACTACTCCAATTTTACATCCTGGGACCCGTTTCACAAAGCCTTTTTTCAGTGACAAATGAAAAAACAAAAAATCAGTGAAGAATCTGCTTATAACCAATCAGAAGCAAGGATTTTGCAGTAGCGTATAACAAAAACTGTAATTTGTCACTGATGACAAGTTTTGTGAAACGGGGCCCAGATCTATCAAAATAATTCTGTCATTTCCTTTTGGTCGTTGTTTTACAGTTAAACCTGTATATACAGACCGATCAAGGGAGACAAGAAAAAGCAGTCTTTATAGGCAGGTGGTCTGTATGTACATGTACATGTTTCAATGACAATCCCTATTCCCGGGAAACGGGGAAAGTGGTCTTTCTATACAGGTGGTCACTAGAGCAGGTTTCTGGTATATACTCGTTTAAAGTTCTCTTTCCTATCCAGCGGCGGATCCAGGACGGGGTCGGATCGGTCGCTGCCCCCCCCCCCCCTTTTGGCGGCCTCAAAAGGGGGGGGATATAGAAAGACGGGAGAAGAAGAAGAAGAGGAAAAAAAAAAAGGGGGGGAATAGAGAAAAGTAGAGAAAAGAAGAGAGAGAAGGAAAATACAGGGAAAATATCGCTCTGATTAACGGGTCAGCAACGTATTGGATATGATTGAAACCGAATCCCACTGGGGGGGGGGGGGGGGGGGGTGCGGCCATTCGGCCGCGTTCTCCTCCTTTTTTGGTGGCCTTAACTGAATTTGAAATGGGAAAAGAGAGAACGACGGAAGAAAAAGGAGAAAAGAAAGAGAGAAACGAATGCAAAAGAGAAGAAGATAGAGGGTGAGAGAGAGAGAGAGAGAGAGAGAGAGAGAGAGAGAAAGGAAGAACATGAAACTTAAATTTACACAATACAGATTACATTCTTTCTAGCTTCTCACCAATCCGACTTTTTATTGCTTTTTGTAGCTCTTTTACTCGTCTTTTATTACCATCTATCAGTGCAGCTTTCTTTCTTTCAACAGACCCCCGACTTCTTTTGTTACCCAAGGCTTGTTTTTGTTTTTTCTTTATCATTCACCCTCCCCCTCCCTACCCGAGCTGCCAGGCAAGCGCTTTCTACGAGAGCCTGTCTCCGAAAGACTTTACAATGAATATAATTTATTTTCATGAATATTGATGTATACATTTTTTAACTTGTTGGAAATTGTTTTAATTAATTATGCTGTGCATTACGATTTCCTACTGCGTATTTTGTATATCACTTTATATTTTAGATATTTAATTTTTATCTGGGGGCCATCAAAGACAGCAGTTTATTAACTGAAGAGACAATCCTGTATATATAAAACTGAACATAAATATACAGAAAGAAATTAAAAGTTGGCTCCCCGAAGTTGGGGTCCTTGCATACTGGTACTTATTTTGTTTTGTTGGTGATTGAATGAATATAGATGATTTTAGAAGGAGTATAGGACTGCTACACGAATTCCATCGTTACAAGATGTTTAATCCATTGAACAAAAATGTCTCTATCTCTTCTCTCTTTCTCCCAGCTTTTCAACGCCCTTCCCGAGCCGTTCTCGAGCAAGATGAAAAATCCGTGTTGGAACATAGTGAAGAAGAAACCGAGACAGTGTCTTCCGTACTTTTACTTGATTGGGATGCCAAAGTGCGGCACCACGGATCTGTGGAATAAATTAATACGTCATCCCTATATCGTGTACACGCATAAGGAACCGCACTGGTGGAGTAGGACTAGAATAGGTAGGTGTTTTCGGTCAGTGAATCAGTAGAAGTTCTAGAGGGGAAGGGGAAGCTTGCTAGAGTGGGGAGGGGAAGATAAGGCCCACTACAAAAGAAAAACTTAAAACCCCTCCCCCCAACAGAAATCAAATAAATTAAAGGAAGGCACGTGTAGAGAATGAATGCACGATTAGCATCCCTTAAGTCCACCCCTCAAAACAAAATCTTCAAGCCTTTTCCCTCAAAATGATTAAGTAATTTCACCAAGGCACCTGTATAGAAAATGAATGTAAGAACCCCCTGAGCCTCCCCCCCCCCCCCCAAAAAAAAAACAATTATAAAAAATTATACATTTTTTATTTGAGGTAATAGCTAAGAGTTAAATGGAAATGTGCAGTCAGTGGTGGATCCAGGAGGGGGGCCGCACCCCCCCCCCCCCCCGGCCAAAAAAAGGACAAAAAAGTATATTTTTTTTTTTTGTGTGTGTGCTAAATAAAGCCCCAAAAAATAAATTTGCTCATCTGACCGTGATTAAATGCCTTAAAACCTGTGAGCTTCCAGGAGCTCTGCCCTCTGGATTTCACCCACGGCCCAAAGTCAGGAACCTGGATGCTCATCTGACAGTAATTTAATGCCTAGAACCCCTGAGCTCCTGGGGGCTCTGCCCCCTGGACCCCACACCAATTAGTGACCTGCCAGTGTCACAAATAAGGTATAAAAATATGCTAATCTGACGATAACTTAATGTATAAAACCCTTGAGCTTCTGGTGGCTCCGCCATCTGGACCTAACACCAATTTGTGTCCTGCTAGTGTCACAAATAAGGTATCGAAATATGCTCATCTGACAATAATTTAATGTATAACACCCCTGAGCTTCTGGGGGCTCCGCCATCTGGACCCAACACCACTTTGTGTCCTGCCAGTGTTACAAATAAGGTATCAAAATATGCTCATCTGACGGTAATTAAATGCCTATACCCCCTGAGCTTCTGGGGGCTACACCCCTTCACCCCCACCAAAAAACGTTCAGCAGGGCCTGCATGTACGAGTGGGGTGATGGGGATTTTTTTTGTCTACCCCCCCCCCCCCCCCCCCAAACGTTTTTGCCACTGCCGGTGTCACCATTACGTACCAATATTTGGCTCGCATAATTTCAAATTTGGGCCCCCCACCCCCAAAAAATTCTGGATTCATGCCTGTGTGCAGTCGGTCCCTAAAAAGAGGGTGTGGCATGGTACTATCATTTTAGGGGGCGCTGATATAATAAGAATGAGAACTGAACTGCAACAGAAAGAATAATTTGTGAATGATGATCACTCCATTTCATTTCATACCGTAAAACTACATCGGATGCAGTAAAATATTTTCATTTGTCACAGCTTTGACGGATACATCAATATCCTCCTGATATTATTCTAGTACCAAATCTTTCTTTGTTGTTTAATGTATGCTTTCATATTCCTGTTCTTCCTTGATAGGTCATGGCCATGCAGTAACAAAGTTAAAATCCGATCCCGTGTCTTACTACACCCGCTATGCTAAAGCTCTTGACAACTTTGCAAAAAGGGAGAGGCTCAACAGGACCAAGCTTGTCGTAGGTGAGACGATTCACACGATAGGCCTGTTCACAATTCGTTTGAACACCACGATTGTTAGTTTCTGTTACTAAATACAACAATGTTACGAAAGGAAGCTTCCCACCAACCTCCACCCCCCCCCCCCAACAAAAAAAACAAAACATAATCGCCTTGGTATCATCATTAAAAAGATTTAAAACCTTATTTTACGGACATTTGATTCGGAAGTATCGTTTTAACGATACCAGAGTAAGAAGTTTATGCCAACTAATGCAGTAGTCAAGTGTATGACTGTGTCGAAAGAAACATCATTGGTATTTAAAATAAGTCTTAGGGCTACATACATTATGAATGCAGAATGGAAAGAGGAGGCGAATGCTTTTAATGATATCTAATTGTATAGTTACACGGTTGGATGAAGTCTGCAACTATTCCATCCATATGACGACACATCGCGACGCCTCATTATGTAATGGACAATGAATTTGAATAGTAAATGCGTTTTGATTTGTATTAAAGACTTTTAAGCTGTAACTTGGTAAATATATAACATTTAATGTTACATCCTGGTGTGTGTAGGGGACGGTTCAGCGTCGACCATGTGGGATAACAGGTCCTGGAGGCATTACTATCCTAACGCAACCCGCGGCCCTCCTCATGTCATTGGGGAATTGATTGAGGCGATCCAGCCTGAAGCATTGGCTATTGCTATCCTGAGAAACCCTACGGATAGGTAAGCATCCTACAACTTGTGGTGATGATGGTGGTGATATTGATGACGGTGGTGATATTGATGAGAGTGGTGGTGATGGTGGTGGTGATATTGATGAGAGTGGTGGTGGTGGTGGTGGTGATATTGATGAGAGTGGTGGTGGTGGTGATATTGATGACGGTGGTGGTGGTGGTGATATTGATGACGGTGATGGTGGTGGTGATATTGATGACGGTGGTGGTGGTGGTGATATTGATGACGGTGGTGATATTGATGAGAGTGGTGGTGGTGGTGGTGGTGATATTGATAAGAGTGGTGGTGGTGGTGGTGGTGATATTGATGAGAGTGGTGGTGGTGGTAGTGGTGATATTGATGACGGTGGTGGTGGTTGTGATATTGATATTGGTGATGGTGGTGGTGATATTGATGATGGTGATGGTGGTGGTGATATTGATATTGATGACGGTGGTGGTGGTGGTGATATTGATGATGGTGGTGGTGGTGATATTGATGACGGTGATGATGGTGGTGATATTGGTGACGGTGGTGGTGGTGGTGATATTGATGACGGTGGTGGTGGTGGTGATATTGATGACGTTGGTGGTGGTGGTGATATTGATGACGGTGATGGTGGTGGTGATATTGATGACGGTGGTGGTGGTGGTGATATTGATGACGGTGATGGTGGTGGTGATATTGATGACGGTGATTATGGTGCTCGCGGCAATGAAATACGTAGTGACAGTGTGAGTGATCAGTAATAGTCAGAGGCGGATCCAGGGGGAGAGGACTGACTATTACTGATCACTAAAAAACCCCGTTAATTTTACCTTTTTTTGGTGGAAGATTTGCCCCCTCCACTGGCGCTGAGGGGGTTTCACTAATGAAATGTACTTTCTTGCTGCATCTCTTCACAGGTTATACTCGGACTTCCTCTATTTCACCAACACAAGTATGCTCAAATTAACACCTGAATACTTCCACGAACGAGTGAAGACGAGCATAGCCAAGTTCCATGAGTGTACCAAAGACTTTGATGTTCGTACATGCACATATGAAACCCAGGGTATAAAAGCTTATGTGGTAAGTAGCTTATCCATTGTATCCCAAATCCCAATGCATCTGCTTTCCATATATCCCTCGGTACACCCCTCACGGAACACGTACTTCCACTACCCCTCTTGATAATTCAGTCATGGATGCGCGACCAAATTCAAGGAATTTCAGATGTACATGAGTGTAACAATTCAAATGTCGTCTGTTTTGATATTTTTACTCCGAGCCGTTCCGATTGCGATTGAGTCAACTTCTTTTCATTTTGATCATTCGCAAAATTCATGGAGTTCATCAATCCTTATGCATTTTTCAACTTTTCTTATTGCTTCCTTCCAGTGTCTTTCACAAAATTGTATTTTAAAGTGATTGGGTATCTTCGCCTCACATTCTATACAAAATCCTGGATTAACTTATAAACCTTCAGGTCATTCAGGAATCCCATGACTTTAACAAGCAGATCGCCTGTCTGATTATCAAGATATTCATGATTAGAAAATCGAAATTTTAAAAACTGCTTTCCCAGGGTTTTTATAACACTACAGTTAATTGGGGAAAATGAGTATGGAAAAAAACCGGTCAGTCAAAGATTTTTACTTTTTAGAGGCACTTCATGATCATTTTGAAGCGAATTTTTGTTTAGGGCTCCATTATTACACCATATCGCAGACACTGATAACACTCTCAGATTTGTTAAACGGGAAACATTGTTTAACGATGCCTTTAAATGTTCTCACTTGTCATTATTGTTACAGAGATTGGAAGTCGGGTTGTACAGCATTTACGTCGGTGATTGGTTGTCATTCTTTCCAAGAAAGAAATTAAAAATAGTCAAGATGGCCGACTGGCATCAGAAATGCACCAAAACACTTGCAGAACTCTATCATTTCTTAGCATTAGGTAAGTGTATTAAAAATGCCTGGGCCCTGTTTCATAGAACTTGTTATCAATAACAAGTTACAATAATCACTGTTATGAGCTACTGAAATCGTGGCATTTGATTGGCTGAGAGCAAATTTGATGAAACAGCTAGTAGGGCACTGGTTCTACCCAAAAAGCCATACCAAACCATAACTATAGTCAATATACTTGATATTTGTGTTTATTTTTATGCTGTGACAAAATATCTATCAAGACTTAATTGAGCTATTAAGAACAAGACTATGTCTTAGTAACTTGAGAGCCTCCAAAACTGTAGCGCTTGGGGTATTCCAATTATTTTCCTCCTAATTAATACCCATACATAAAAGCAAAAATGTCAGTACCGGTAAATGCTGTAATGTTTTGTTAAAGGTTCATCCACTAATCTTTTTATTTTCCAAATATTGCCTTGTTTGATGATAGTTGGTACCACCTTCCTCCTTTTCTACTTCTCCTACTTGTTCGTCATTATCTCCTTATATTTTCTTGTTTATTATCATCGTGGGCCGCTTACACATCATTTCTTAGCAGTTAGGTAAAATGAACTAACCGTTCAATCACCATCATCATCTCCATAGTCATAGTATTTCCATCTTCTTTTTATAACAATTTCTTTTCTTTTTCTTCTTCCTTATCGTTCCAGAACCGCTTAAGATTCCATCCTTGATCAAGATTTGCCGAGACGAGGCAGAGAATGCTCGCTCTCCAGAGAAAATAAGTATTGGTCCAATGCTACCCGAGACGAGACAATTACTAAACGACTTTTACTCTCCTTATAACCTCGAACTTGCCCGTATGTTAGGAGATGACCGGTTTCTGTGGAACGATGAGAACGCGGGGAGCAGCGAAGAATCAGTGCCGTGAATCTTTCAGACTTGTAACCATGGTTACGCCTTTATGTCAAGAACTCAAGATCGGGAATCGTGTGCAAAAAATTCTAAACAAGTCATTTCTGACTCTTATGAATGTCAATTATCTGGTCATAGAATAAGGATGTGATGGAATAATTGTGAACACAGACGCTGCCAACTAGGCCTATATTATCGGATCAGGAAAGATACTCTTCATGTCGGCTGCCTCTTTTCTTGGAAGATATTTTTATGATGTTTTATTAACTAAATTGAAAGATGATGTATAGATCTATTACAGATACTTAAGAGGTAATATTTATTTTCTGAAGTCGGTCTTCCAAACCTGATGGGCTTAATGCATGCAGAGTTGCAGACAAAATATTCTTCGTCATCAGCATGATTTTATTCGATATTTTTAAAGCAGTACGGGAATTAGTCTTCTTTACTTTCGTTCACTTTGTACATAATTATGCTTGCCTTTGGAATGTCAATTGAACATTGTAACGTCTTAGTTTGCTTCGTCATTTTTTTAACATTTGAAATTGTTGATATCATGGAAGTATATGCCTTAGTATCTAAGGTTAGGATATATAGAGATTTGAATGTCTCTGTTGTTTGTCTTTCTCGTTTATCATGTGTTTCCTACGGTGGGGCAAAAACAATATTTGTAGAATATCGGTTTTATATGTTCTATTTTAAATATTGTATAAGAATTAGCGTTTCGCGATTCTGTCGTTCCTGTGGAGGGTTTAAATTAAGCCTTTGGAAATATTACATGTATATTAACAACAAAAAGAAAGATACGAGGTACATTTATTTATATAACTAATACGGAGTCGGTTAGAATTCGGTTTAGAGTCGGGTCGGCGGTGTGAATGAAATAATTAACAACCTGGTCACACGGCCACAAGACAGACGATCGACCAAAATATAAGATTACGAACTCCAACTTGTAATCGCTACATGTATGGGGATTTCAAAATGACCGAATCGGTAGTGTCACTGTTACGTAGTGGCAGACTACTTGTCCTTTTGTTCCAACACACCAAATTAATACCAAATTAATTTTGTCAAAATGTATAACTCAATTACTTAGGAGAAGCTTTCCTTTTTAGAGGTCATGTATTGATATGCTATCCATAAAATATGTTACTAGGGTGCCCAAGGAAAGAGCTGCATGAAGAGAAAAAACAGATATTAATGATATGTTTGTAAACGACAAACGGGAGTGTATAGTCCGTGCATACGTCTTATAATTGGTCGGATTTATTTCAAACTCCGCAATTCAGGTCTACTTATAATTCCACTATCAAACAAATTAACTCATTGCAAGGGTCGGATTGCCCTTTAAGGTAATGTAATATTTTGTTCGGTCTGTAGTCGGTCTATAGTCGGCCTCGTCGGTGTGACTGCTGGTAGTTCGGAGGACTCGGTTGTGATTTTGATTTTGTCGGTTAGTCGTAGTTTCCACCTAAGTTATGTTTTTTTTTCTTACGTTACATAATTATTACGCGATTATATATTTTGACTATATGTAATTTATATCGAGTTGTATAAGTTTGTTTGTAAAAAGCTCAGTGCTTTCGTATTTGTTTTTGGCATTTTTCTGCTTTACGTTTGAAGGCTTCTCGTCTGCCGATGAAATAGAGAAAACTAAAACAATACCGACAGCGCTGCAATGGTTACTTTTACTGTGATTCTGTATACAATAAAAAGCAAGGGAAAGAAAATCCACTTTAAATCATCTTTGATCCATTAACCTCCTGGAACTGGGCCCTGTTTCATAAAACTTGATATCAATAACAAGTTACAAGCTACTGTTATAAGCTACTGAAATCAGGCATCTGATTGGCTGAGAGCAAACTTGATATCAATAACAAGTTACAAGCTACTGTTATAAGCTACTGAAATCAGGCATCTGATTGGCTGAGAGCAAACTTGATATCAATAACAAGTTACAAGCTACTGTTATAAGCTACTGAAATCGAGGCATCTGATTGGCTGAGAGCAAATTTGTCATAGAAATTAGTCATTTGTTATAGATAAAAAAAAGTTTCATGAAACAGGCCCAAGGTTAGTGTCCCGACTAGTTCAGATATTAGACGCAGTAAAATCGCGGCGGTCATTTTACCACGATGTTGTAAAGTGCAATACGATTTTGTTGTATAATACAGAGCTCGATGAAGATGTGCAAGACCTTAGTTGCGTGCTGTTGCCTTTCATACACGTTTGCACAACCACGGCTGCTTTGCGGCGCCGTATCTGTGTTCCAGTATTTTTTGTTTTCTCGAAAGAGAGTACATTTTCCTCCGAACGAAGTTATGCTCAACTCAACATGACTAACCAAAAATTAGATTTCCACTATTCAATATTTCAGGCTTGTTCATCAATGACGCAGTAAACCGCCCCTCAAAAGGCCGCCGCGTCTTTTTGTTGCGGTAAATGAATGAATGGCAACTGCGCGTATTCACTGAGCTCTGTATAAGATACAGAAACGTGAAGCGTACTGTTACGGCATCATAAAAACCTACCGCGGATTTACCGCGTCATTTCTACACAGCCTTCAGAAAAAGAGAGAGTGTAGATGAGCGGGTAGGGGGCGCCAAAGTATTTTGTTTGGAGTAGTTATAGTACTAGAAGTAGTAGAAATAGTAATAGTAGTAGTAGGCCTATACATGGGTGTATGAATGCATACTACGGTGTATACAGCGTAGGGTTGCATGTATATAAACCCATGTTCTTATGGATATCAAAGGCAGCTTATTTATTGCTTTGTTTCATCCTAACCCTATGGGCTTTCTCCTATTTTCATCATCCACAGTTATTAGGTATTTTACAGCCTTATTCACTGTGCATTGTTAAACCGCAGCAGTATTTACATCATGATGTATTAAAAGTGTCCTTAGATTGACTTTTCTGTATTTTAATTATAACGCAAAGCTCAATGAATTCGTGTTGGACCTTTCTTGCCACAATTTAAAGCTATAGAGGCCTAATCACTCTCGTATTTAAACTTTAAGTTTGCTGAATCAGTAATGTCACTGTGATGTAAGTAGTTCCGGTTCCCATTTGTTCTTACACACAAAATGACTAATATATTTGTTTCGTTGTTGAAAATGTGTGCCTTGGGAGGATCAATTTTTTTCAGAGGACCTATGATAACAAAATATTCATGATATATTCTTAGCAGAAGGCCCAAAGGGAGAAGTCACTTGAAAGAAAAATATTTGACACGACAAACAAACCATTATACAGCAAAAAGGTTTGAAAAGTCGTGCCTCAATAAAAATGATAACAATAATTAAATTTAACACGATACATTATTGTCATAGAAAATGAGATAGAAAACAAAGATATGCATCGGTTAAATAGTCAAGGATGCAATCAAATTTCAGAGCAAGTAAATTTTAAAAATGTTTAATTGTTTAAATATGTTTCAGGGTGACACAGGAAGAACAGTGTCATATATTTTTATGACACTGAACGGGCAATCCAGCCAATCATTTTTAAGCAATCTATATACACATGTAATTAATTTTTTTTTAATTCTGTTATGTTTCATTTCGTTTTATGTCATATGTTATTTGTCTTTTTAATATGATTGGAAATAAATACAATACAATACAATACAAGACGTTTATAGTCATGCTACTCCACGAGCTTAGTCATTATAAAATGCTTTACCAACGTAACTTGTTTTTATGCCTCCGCCACCGACGGTGGTGCCGGAGGCATCATGTTTTCGGGTTGTCCGTCCGTACGTCCGTACGTCCGTACGTCCGTCCCGTTTGACCGTTATCACAATATCTCAAGAACCATTTAAGATTTAAACTTAAGACTCGGGAATAGTATTTATCACCATAGGAAGACGATCTGATTAGATTTTGGAGTACGTAGGTCAAAGGTCACAGGTCACAGAGGTCAACTTATGAAATTCCTTGTATTGAGTTTGTTAGCGCGATATCTCAAGAACCATTTGAGATTTAAACTTCAAACTTAAGGATAGTATGTATCACCATAGGAAGACGATCTGATTAGATTTTGGAGCACGTATGTCAAAGGTCAAGGGTCACAGAGGTCAACTTTTGAAATTCCATACATTGAGATTGTTATCATGATATCTCAAAAACCACTGGAGATTTAAACTTCAAACTTAGTGATAGTGTGTATCACTATAGGAAAACAATCTGATTACATTTTGGAGCACGTAGGTCAAAGGTCAAGGGTCATAGAGGTCAACTTATGAAATTCCATACATTGAGATTGTTATCATGATATCTCAAGAACCACTGGAGATGTAAAAACTTCAAACTTAAGGATAGTATGTATCACCATAGGAAGACGATCTGATTAGATTTTGGAGCACGTAGGTCAAAGGTCAAGGGTCACAGAGGTCAACTTATGAAATTCCATACATTGAGATTGTTATCATAATATCTCAAGAACCACTGGAGATTTAAACTTCAAACTTAATGATAGTGTGTATCACCATGGGAAGACAATCTGATTAGATTTTGGAGCACGTAGGTCAAAGGTCAAGGGTCACAGAGGTCAACTTATGAAATTCCATACATTGAGATCGTTATCGCGATATCTCAAGAACCACTGGAGATTTAAACTCCAAACTTAATTAAATTGCTCTATGGCGGAGGCATCATTTTCGACTGCGCGCAGTCAAAATTCCATCTAGTTTTCGTCTTCTTCCCTTTACTCAATGGCCGAGAGCCCAGGGGCGTAAAACGCCCTCTCCGGGTGCGAGAACATTGTCTTGATTGATGTTATTGAAATGTGAAACTTGTCCTGCCCAAGTTATTCTTGCCACAATTCGTAAAAAACACGAAAATAAGGGGCAATGAATGCTTGATGATTGTGCTCGTTCTGATCTGTCTACGCAACGAAGACAATCTAGTTTTTATTTCGGTTACAAAACATATTTATTTGTATCTTTTAACAGTTAGATGTTTTGTTTTGAAGGTCTAATTAGTGCCTTATTTTATTAAGAATATTTACGTTTGCATAATTGCATGCAATATGTCTCCAATATAAATGGAAGAGATTTTTCCCTGCCCCACATTTTGCCAAGGGACGTCATTATACATTCTTTTATTCTTATTTTTACTCCGCTTCCCTTTTCTAGTGCTTTCGTTGCATTTGTTTCATTCTTTTCTTATTTCTACGTTATGTTACATGTCCTTTATTACATTTTTATGAAATTGAGAGGTCTTCGCTTCTTATTCTGTCGATATTCCCCCTTTTCCGGCCCTGTGGCTTTATCGATATGTTCCATTGACTTTTTTTTTCAATACTAGTTTTCTTTCTGAATATTTTTAGATTTCAACTGCCCTTTCTAAGGCGTATTTCAATTTTAATTGAATAGTTCAATAGGCACTTCACTATTTTGTCTACTGAACTTATTTTAATGATTCAATGTGTAGTAAATTTGATAATGTTCATCTCTTTAATCTTAGTATTTAATTCAATTGACCTTTTGTACTATATTGTGGATGGAATTGGGCGGATATTAATCTATTTACCTATATCCTTACATTCTTAATCTCACTTTAATTTTGATATCGAATCCAAATTTTGAAATTTGAATTGATGATTCTGTTTTGTTTAAATTATTATCATCATTTTTTTATCCCCTATAAATATTATTTCATATTAGTTTTTTTGTGGTGGAAGACCAGAGGGCTACAGTTTTAGTTTTACTTTTTCCATGTATGGTCTCCATTAATAATTTTGTTTATTGTGTACCCAGGGTGGGGTGTACCACAGTTTGTTGTACCTTGTTGATCTTCTGTTATATGTTGAAATGCTGAATGATGATGATGATTAGACCATAGCTTTCATGAAGTTGTATGGGTGTTCTTTCTCTGCATTTGTGACGTACATGCAGGCCGTATTTGCAACCTTCCTTTTCTTTATTTATCAAAATTAGTTCTTCATATTATTTAATGTTACATTGTATAATATCATCATAGATTGTATATAATTGTGTATGCAGTGCTGTATTTTTTAATTTTTTATTTTATTTATTTTTTTTTGGTTTTTTTGGGGGGGGGGTTTTGATGAATATGAAACCCAATTTCATAATTTGAAGAAGAAATTGTGCGTCCTGTTCTATGAGGTATATCAGTCGTTTCATGATTATAGTATGGTCAATGATCAATCAATATTGTTGACTAGATTTATTCTTCTTCTTACTCTCTCTCCTCTCTTCTTTTCTTCCTCTTTCTTTTCTTTCTCTTTCTTCTTCTTTCTTCCTCTTTCTTCATCTCCGTTTTCATCCTTTTTGTCTTATCTTTCTCAACATCTTCCTATAATCTCTTTCCTTTACTTGTTCTTTCTTATATCTCATATTTTCTTTTCCTCGATATTCAAAGAATGGTTGATTATGTCATCTTGTCAAACAAAAGAGTTTTTATATTAAAGAAAGCACTTTTGTAGGAGAAAAAAAAACCAATGTGCAAAGTGTTTTCTTTTTGTCTCAAGAAAAAACTTTCTACATTATTATATGTATGGTACCCCCCCCCCCCCCCCCCCCCCCCCATTCCGATAGTTTTGGACCTGATATAATCTACATGTCAGTAATGATGAATGAAGTAAGAGTTGCAGAGACGTCAATCTTTCAAAAACAAATGGGGGAGGGGGTAGAAAACCACACTCCATACTCATTTCTAGTCGTTGGTTAATTAAAAGAAATACAAACACAAAAAAGAGCTATGGACTCACTTTTTTTCGCAATAAAGAATCTACTTTACTCCAGCAACATACATAGCATAAATGTACTATACATTTTCACACATTTACAGAATTCAAGCGCTACATATTTGAGAGAAATTTAAAAGGTGCACACACATTCAATACATTCACATAATCCAATTTTACACATACATATTTACATAACATCTCAAATGAAGGACTCGGAATCCATCAGTAAATTGTAAAATGTATGAACCATGAGCAAGTGAATATGAATTTTCTTTCCATGAAATGATATGGGCGATTTGAATGTTGATTCAAATTGTATATCATAATAAAGAAAGTGCTCTTTATCCACGTTACTTCTTATATTTGTTAAATCACAACATTTTCTCGTCGCCCTGCAATGGGACTACTTAAGAATCAGGGGCCATATTTAATTAAGTAAGTATTTAATTAAAATTTTTACTTGGCTAAGTAATATGTATTCAAATCATATCTGAGCATTTTACTTAAGAAAGTCAACTTTAAGGCAAAATCTTACCGGGAAGCCTTTTGAGGTCACATGGTCAATCCAAAATTATGTGCAATTAAAGCATTCAATTAAATAAGATAACTGTGTATGAAGCCATATGCCTGCCAATCAAGTCCTCCAAAATAATTGGCTAAGTCCGCAAGGGAACTGTCTTAAACTTAGGGTAATATACTTACTGAGTACCAAAGTATTTAATCTTACACGAAAACTTGGTAAACTACCCATATTTGTGACATTAGCATTGAATTGAATACCGGCCCATATCTAAAACACTGTCTACCAAATCAAGGTGATTTTTGATGGTATATACATATTGTACACAAATTTCAATTTACACATATTTTGTTTATATCTATAGACAATGACATTTTAAAAAAAAATCCAACCGACCGACCCAGGTTCTGGCACCTATAGGGCATCCCAACATCCTTTTTTTTAGGCCTTATATATGACACAAACAAAAACTTGCTCAGAGGAAAACATTAAATCATGTATCTACTTTCACATTTCTTTGTAAGATTGAACATGTTAAAACAATGATGAGTTTTCAAATCAAGAGCTAACCTAATAGATCATAGTTTAACAGATACAGCCTGTATTTGGTAACCCTGCTATGTGAATACAACTCTTTACAATTGAATTTCATCGTCAATTATCAATATCATCACCACCATCATCATCATCTTGCCCTTAACGTGACTCAGTAACATTGCCTCAGATTCTGAAACGATATCCAGGATTTAGCTCATGCTGCAATCATAACTATAAGCCTTTAAGTCAGTCAGGAATCCCATGACTTTTACAAGCCGATCGCCTGTCTGATTATCAAGATATTTATTATTGAAAATAAAATTTCATTTTTGTTTTTATAACACTACATTGGGGAAAATGAGTATGGTAAAACTGGTCACTCAAAGATTTTTACTTTTTTGAGGCACTTCTTGATATTTTAAAGCGCGATTTTTTTTATTAGGGCTTCAATAAAACACCATATCACAGACACTGAAAACATGTAGGGCCATGCATCTCAGATTTAACATGGCTAAACGATGCCTTTAAAGACCGTCAATACTACTGGGCCAGAAGGGATTAGACCACACAGCGAGGTCACTGACAGGTGGCTATTTCATTAACTCAGCTCTCAAATAACATAAGAAAAAGAGGATCATGGGGGACCAATGGTCACCGATTAGGCATTGTTTGTTATATAGAGGGCGCAAGTAGCTACAAGTAGTGCAGTGGGCCTTTAATCATCCCCATGGTTGAATAGCTTCTAGAGGACAAGCCTCTCTTCATTGGCAGCCTCGTCCCTGACCATTCTCCCAGCGTCTTGGTCCTGTTTCTGATGTAGGAAACATTGTTTCTTGCATTCCATCAAGGCCTGGAAGTCACCCCACATCGTCATCTGCTTCATGCTTGGTCCATGTCTCTCTTTCACTGCTTTCTGCTTGTCACGTAAACTCTGAAATGGTAGCAATGACTAATCAATTTAATTAATTGTTTCTTTATCACAACCAAACTAGTGGTTGAATTTAAAATAAAAATAAAAATACAAAGAGATGGATAACGATGATAAAAATAACGTACACTGATACTGTTTTCACACTGGCAAAATTTTGCTTAACCCTGGACTATAGGTGGGGTTAAAGGGGGTCTTATCCCCACCTATAGTCCGGTTAAAGCTTACTCCACTTTCTGTTCAGACACGTATTTACCAAAGTGGGCTAGCCCCACCTAAAGCATGGGGTTAGCTGGCCCTGCAGAAAAAAAACTTTGATGTGGCAATCTTTCTTCATGATTATTTCATTTAGTATTACAATTACACTGACGTTGTATCAATTATATCACTTTTTTATTATCATGATCATGTTTTTATAATTTTGTAACTTTGGAAAAAGGCTGTGAAGAGAAATAAAATAAATAAAATAAAATAAATCAATAACCATATTATCACTGATATCACTTGATGTACACAAGTAACTTTAAAAATGTTCATAAGACTGACGCAATCTCTGCTATCTTCTTTCAATTTCACCTTTTTGACCAATTTTTATCAAGAAACTTAAAGGCCCACTACACTACTGGTAGCTACTTGCGCCCTCTATATAACAAACAATGCCTAATCGGTGACCATTGGTCCCCCATGATCCTCTTTTTCTTATGTTAACTGAGAGCTGAGTTGATGAGATAACCACCTGTCCAGTGACCTTGCTGAGCGGTCTAATCCCTCCTGTAAACTACGGCAGATAAGCTTTAAATATTCTCAAGGCGAAAGTGTGGAAAAAAACTCACCTTTCCCAAATTCTCCTGTTCCTGTAGCTTGCGTGTATACTGATCCCTGAATGCCTTCTTCTTCTCCATCTGATCTGCGGACGTGTATGCTTTCATCTCGCTGGCTACCCGCTGGTTCTGCATCTCAACCATCTGCAGCATGCAATGAAGGTAGTGGTATCGGCTCTCCTCCTGACTGCACTCCTCACGATAAGCTCTCACCTCCTAAACAGATACATTAGTATAAAAATATACAATGACAATCGAGATTCTAGTTTTAGCTTGTTCCGAGAATGAGTCATTGTTTAATTGTTTTACATAACATCCCTTCCACAAGTTCCACCCGTATCTTCCACTTTTGTGATAGCATGTATCGTAATCACATTCACATTACATCTCAAACAAATTGCACTGCTCAAATGAAACACTGTATGTAGGACGTAAATATGTTTAGCTGTTGCTATACAGGGACTGCAGTATGGTAGTGCAGTTAATTCCACTCAGTGTTAATTGCACTACATGAGCGCCGTGACAACGCAGGAGTTGACCGCTGGAAGCATTAGAAATCTACTGTACGCTCGCTGAATTTTGCCATTTTTCTCCTTTTTTTTGGGGGGGGGGGGCGGGAAAACGAATACCGTAGTACCCTTTCCCAGGAAAAGGTGAACTTTTTGTGGCATCAGCAATAAAAAATAAACTATTCGCCAGGACATTTCTTTTCTAGTAAAACTATTTTTTTTCTTGTTGTGTACGTACTCTTTAATGCAACAATTTTACGATAAGGGACATAATAAAAACTATTGACTTGTATCACAATGTACATGTATGTCTTGATAACATCTATGTTTGTTGGTTTTACATCTCTACTATCTGCAGCATGAACAGGAGGGATTGAAATCAGCTCTCATCTCAACTGCATTCCTCACGATAAGCCCTCATATCCTAAAGTAGATTTCTTTTTTTCTGATATATTTTGAAAAATGTACAGTGTTCGAAACAGTTTTCCAAACCGGTCGGAGACCTTTTTTACATTTTCTTCTTGAGTCACATCATCTTTACTTCTAATGACGCCACAAGGTATTCATCAGATAACAAAAACAGATGACACAGATAATCGAAATACGACTTGCCTTATTACTTTATAATGATATATATCGTTGCCTGGCTGGCAGAAGGGCGTTAGCTCGAATTTCAGGTAAAAAAATGAAGCGTTAATCAGAAGGGCCTAATTAGCACTAAATTGCCTCAACTTTTATAAAACTGACTTATTTCTGAGAAAAAAATTGTGGCCGTGTTCTTCTATTACACTTCCATTTGTCTTTTAAGTTTTAAAGGTACTATGTCCCTTTTGCAGCCAACCTCAAATTCTGTAGAACTTTGCAGGAATTATGAATATGTCATGTATGTCCTATCTGTGAAATTTAAACGTTAGCAGTGTCCTCATATTCAAATTATGCAAGGAAACCCGTTTACTTGCTAGACTTCACTGTCAGACACTATTGAGTGACTGACTGGCTTTTTTTTCCTTCTTTGGTAATAACATACATGAAAAGAGTTGTAAAGGGTACATGAGCATTTGTCTACATCAATAACCCACTTCTTGTGATGGCCAAGATTAAACTGATTGAATCTTTGCGCAGCATAAAACGTTTGACCATTCTGTACAATCGTCTGAAAATCAAGACTATTACTTTTGGGCTCTATAGCCCTAAAGTCGATTTGACAACTTACAGTCGTTATTTTCCTACTTGAAGACATTTTCAAGCCCCACATTTTAGGGAAGTTCTAAATTAGTATTATCTTTCAAATGCAGTTGGAATTAAACTTTTTCATTTTTTTGGCCTGCAAATGGGACATAGTACCTTTAAACCAATTTTCGAAAAAGAAAGCAGTTAAATATAAAACAAATCTTTAAATGCGAATAATTCAAAAAGTAGCTTTTAAGTCGCTCAGGAGCTATCGCCCTTCTGCCAGCCAGCCGAGGATATATATATATATAGATATGTATAAGTAATATTCAAAGGCATAGGCAATAATGGATTTAATAGCATCATAACGTAGAATGATGTTCTCACCTGTTCAAGTTTAGAGCGATTGCTCTCCAGCCCGGCCGCCTTGGTATCGTATGCCGTCTTCTTATCGTCGTAAACCACCTGCATCTCTTGCGCCTGCTGACGTAGAGGGCGCAGCTCCTTAATGATCGGTGCCAGGTTCGCCTTCTTGGATGCTATGCTCGTATTCAGCTTTTGCACCTGTGAAGTGATTGTATATGATTCATATCGATTAGATTAAAATGATTTATATGATATGATATAAATGGAAAATATTTTTTAAAGACACATAGGAGTGGACTCTCAAGGGGAATTTGAAACCAATCGGATGTTTATCCAGATGGTGTCAATCACCAGGATTAGCCTGCAGTTTTATGACCAACAGGCCTTATGTAATGCTTTGCATTCCTCCATATGGTAAAGTTAGACTACCGTTCTCACTCACTTCCTAGACCAATCCAGGTTAGATCGGTCTAACTGTGAGTGTGAACAGGAGAGGTCTAGCTTGTTCGCACTATACAATAGCAACAAGAGCGGTCTAGCTTGTGAGTGTGAACATAACCGGAGCGTACCTCTGGAGCGATCCAGTGGATCGATCTAGCCTTGATAGGTCTAGGAAACGAGTGAGAATGGGATCTTATTATCTTCACCTGAAGACTCTCTGAGAAACTAGGGTTAAATTTTGTGTAGGACTCCAGGTTTGCTGTGTGCAGACTTGAAGCCCCATTTATGGTATTTCCACCAAGTCTTGTGTCAGCGAAATATGGCCTGCTGCACATGGAAACTGACGAACCTCTCCCTTTAATATTGAGAAGTCTGCACTGGCATGTCGGGGTTCACATATTTCTCTCCACTACAAAGTTATTAATAACAGAGATAACACAGGATGGTATTTTAGCATCCTCATTTTAGTGGTATTTTTTAAAAATTATCTTTCTGCTGAATGCTATAAATTTTATGAGTAGAAAAAGGAAAAAAACCAACCAAAAGAATTTAGTCCGCTTTTCCCCTGATACAGTGAAGCCTCATTCAGAAATGATGCTGTATACCGTAGAACTTTTTTTTTTTTGAATGACGTTAGTGTAATACGCTTCACATTTCTGAATCGTATTACACAGTGAATACACATAGGACCAATGTTGCACACACTTGCCATTCACTTTCACTTCATATCTGAACGAGCTTTGAATGTAGAACGCCTTGAGCATTTGACTGTCAAGTGGATTTGGCGCCTTATAAATCTTATGTATTATTATTATTATTATTATTCTTACCAGATGTGACATGTCCTCCAGAGTACGACCTTTGACATCATCCAACTCACTCTTGATTGTAGACACCTTCTCCAACTCCTCCTGGGTGTCATGGTAACCGGCCACGCCCTTCTTTGCTTCCAGTTTGGACTGTTGGACAATATAGAAGAACAATAAGTTTGGCTCACAATGATTTCTCAGTGGTAAATGCAGTACATTGGTTGCTATGTGACATAATGGAAGATCATGTGGTGACTGAGTTTAAATTTGGCTTCTTGCCTTTTAAACCTTTTTTTGTTGGTCAGTAATACTAAAACTAAAAAAATGCTGTCAGTCAATTAATTCTGGTGAATGAAATACATTATGGATGACCATGTCGTGACAAGGGGATTTTTTTATGTCAATTGACTGCTGAACAAAACCATTAAATCTAAGAAAATCTATTGTTACCAAAAGTTAAAAAATATCTCCTTGGTAAGACTGGCAATGCTACACATCTGCTAGCATGTCTCCATTAATACTGATATTGTACAAGGAATGAGACTGATTTCTTACAACCTGGGCCCCGGCATAAACTTACCATTGATGGTAACTTTGCCATCAATGGCAACTACCATGGTAGTTAACAGGGCTCAACAGCCAATCAAATCAAGGTTTCCATGGTAGTTACAATTGATGGCAAACTTACCATCAATAGTAAGTTTTGTGCAACGGGCCCCTGGACATCCAAAAACAAATCTACAAAGGGACCCATTGGGACAATGTAATTTGTAATATATCAGACTCAGCAATAATACAACACATACTCCTGCAACGAATGCTCTACAGTTCATTAACCAAATACCTAGCTTCTATCCTGTGTGAACTTTACATGTACCTAACCCTACAACTAGCCCTCAACCTACATATATTCTAAATTCCAGGGGCAACTGGAAGAACAGTATGAATACGAATGAGGCTACCCTGCGTAAACACAACATATTGTTATCATTACTATTACAGTCAAACCTGTCTATAGTGACCGCCCAAGGGAAACGCAAAAAGTGGTCTTTGTAAGACAGGTTTCTTCAGTGCATGTTTCAATGAGAAACCATTTTCAAGGAAAACAAAAAATGTGGTCTTTGTAGACAGATGGTCTTTGTAGACAGGTAGTCACTAAAGCAGGTTTGACTGTATTATTATTATCATAACCCTAACAACAACCCCAAGCCATTAACAAAACAAAGCCATGACCAATAGTGACCGTAGTCAGATCAGTGACTCACCAGACGGTGTTGTATCTGTTCGTCTCGTTGCTTGAGAATTTCCTCTGTCCTGGAGAGTACACCAAGCTCAGCACGCAGCTCTGCCAACTCTTGACGTTTCCTCTTGTAGTCCGTGCTCTTACCACGTAGCTTGTTGACGTAGCGCTTGAACTGAGAGGATTAGAAAAGAAGGAAATTTGGGTTAACAATAAATTTCAACAGCAAGCTTTTAACTCAGATTGCAGAGATATGTTTATTTCAGTTATATTAATTCAGTTGTAATGCATTTTTATTGTAAAACGTTCCTTGTCTGTATTTGATTTCTTGTTTACATTTGTTGTGTATTAAGGCCAAATAACAAAAATTAAGTGATTCTCGTCCCCGGCTGTGATGTACATTTTGTTTAAACAGCTTCAAAAGTTATACAAATCATTTGTTTTGTCATATATTACATCAGTATACTCACATAGCACAATATCTATGAGTAAATAGGCTTGGCGAGCTATAATTAGCATGGCAGCCATCTTGGGAAAAAAAATGCAAAATAGTAATGCCCTGCCTCCTCCTTTATTTTAAAGTCCAGATGAGAAACATGTGTTTTTTTAAATTTAGCCTTATAGCTTCATGGAAGATCAAATTTCACTGAATCGTTTATTTTTCTCTCTTCCGACATGTAATAAATAAATCAATTTTTAGGAACAAGGAGACCTTCATTCAATGGAATTATTTCGGTAGAAATATTCATATTTTTTGGAGCATCAAAGAATTTCCACTTACATCATCCCCTTTCAAGACCTCCTCTCCTTCTAGATTTTTGGCTGACTCCCTCTTCTCTACCAGCTCCTGCTTGGCTTGCACTAGCTCCTCCTTGGCCTCATGCAGACCATCCGCTCGACCTTCCTTCTTCCGGGCAATGATGGACGCTTGTTGACGAAAGAGGGAAAGCTTGTCATCCTTGGGGTCATTGCTCATCATTCGCTTCTCGATTAGGGCGTTCACTTCAGAGTTGACAGCTTTGATCTGTAAAGAAAATGTAAAAAAGGGGTTTTCATTATACAAAAGGTTCATGGGTATGGGTTACTACGTGGTTCTATGATAGTGCTCCTGTTACAATTACCCCATAATAATTCTCTTACATTTTTAACTAAACATGGTAATTTCACCAAGCAATTAAAATGCATATTTTGCAGTTCCAAGCAGGCAATATTCCCTGATATGTTCACCCTTCCTGGTTTCGCCATGGACTTTGTGTAAAACAGTTGCAGTCAATATTCAGCCTGATACGAATTGGCCTAGCTCGTTTAACATCCAGGACCTTCCAAGCAGCTCATTTGATTCTAATGACCATTTAGGCTAATAGTCATTTGGTTTAATCTCCAATAAGTCTACTACCTATTTAGTCTATCACTCATTTGGTCTAATTGCCAATCAGTCTATCTACCAGCTTGTCTAATGTCCATTTTGTCTACCATCCATAAAATCTAACAATCATTTGATGATTACAGTATCTTAACTGCTAAGGGGCCACCCTGTTGAAATCCAAAAAAAAATCAACAACAAAAAAATGATCATCCTTTATGATTAAATGATTATTAGATCATATGGATAGTAGGGTCGGTGTAGACCATATGGGAATAGACTAATCGGGTAGTAGACCAAACAGAAATTGACAGTTTAGTCATACCTGAGTCTGTATCTCCTCTAGATCTCCCTGTCCCATGGCTGGCTCGTTGACGACCCTCTCAAGATCCTGGCAAGCTTTCCTCAGAGTCTCCAAGTCCTTCGGAAGCTTTTCCTCGCACATGTAAGCATTGACCTTATTCTCCTCATCAAGCTTTTTCACCAAGTCTGTTGGTAAGATGAAGATGAAAACAAATGTGATATAACTGTGCTGATCAACACTGTTCATCCAGGTTCAAGGTTTTTTACGACAGATTTCTCAGATCGACTCTTGAAGTCCTCCAGAAGCTTCTCCATATAAAGCATTAACCTTGTTCTCATCATGTTTTTTTCACCAAGTTCAAACAAGTTCATTGGTGAAATGAAGGAAAAAAACAGTTAAGGTATATGAACATGTCTGCTGTTCATAAAGATTCAATATTTTTAGGAGAGATTCTTCAGAGCCTCCAAGTACTTCAGAAGCTTCTCCTAAGAAATGTAAGCATACACCTTGTTCACTTCATCAAGTTTATTCAGCAACTTACTCAGTAAAATGTAATAAAAGAATAATGAATACATTTCATATTAGACAGCACAAATCACATCATACATCGACATTGGCTACCAGAGTGCTCTGGAAATCATCACACATTGGCTGTAGCTCCAGCGGCCATTACAAGTGCACAGTATGTCCCAAGGCCTCTCCTGAATAGTACACAACAGCAATATTCACTCCAAGGAATTTTTGTGACTTTTAAATATTCAGTGTTGTATCAGTTGTGATTCTGTCACTTCGCAGTGTGAAACTTAAGTCAATCTTACTCACTTACAAATTTCTCTTCACATTTCATGCATGCTAGCAGACCTGTCAACCTCTGGAGTTTAAAAACTGTATTCTTTAATCCCAAAAGTTGTATTCTTTAATCCCAAAAGTTGTATTATACTGACAAAAACTGTATTTTCAACAACAACAAAAAGGATCAATGCCTCTTACAGTTCCTACATACAGGAATAATTTTTTCATGGATCATTTGGTTGAATATGCAAGATTTTGTCATGACTGGTTGTTCGATGAACCGATGAATATCCCCAAATTGCTGATGTGAGATTCTTGTAGGATACAGAATGGACATTTTGCCATTGAAAATGGCACACACACACAAAATACTCACACATTATTTTGTTTGTTTGGAAAATTCTACTGTCCTATTTACTTTTATATCCCGCATACTAAGAATCTTGCAATCTGATTGGTCTAAATGAGGTCACATGATAAAATATAGATAAGTACTATCTACCTGAGATAGTACTCTTGTAAAGTAATTTTTTGCTGCTGACCAACTTGCCCACCCTTGCCCATTGAAAACGCATAGCAAAGTAGATTACGCGAAATGTCAAATGAGCGTGCATCGACTGTATTACATGTATGCATGTTGCGCTTTGTAAAAATCTAGCTGAAGCTAAACTGTCTGCAGAATCAGTTCTTATTATTATGTAAAATTCACTATAATTATTGCCGATGTGGGATATAAAACAAATATTAACCTCCTTTACTCGGGCAATGGATACAAATTATAATCGCCTCGGTGATCTCGGCGATGATAGTTTGCACCATTACTCTCGTAGTCGATTAATATTTGCTTACTAGTGTTTCTGGTTTTACAGAAGGAAACACTCAAAAATATGGACAAATGTCCTTACCATCAGCTGATACTCCAACTGTAGACTGCTTCAAGTCCTTGAGTTGCTGCTTCATTCGCTGTAGTCTCTGCTCGGCATGGTGCAGCTAGGGAATATAGAATACATACAGAGATCAATTAGATATCATTCCAGGATGCATCCCAGTTTGTACTAGCCAGGGGGGTGTTTCACAAAGATCCTAAGTTGAACTTATCTTCAAGTTGGACTCAACAATTATGGAAAGCCATTAGCATCCTTGATATATTTTGTAAAAGTTATTTCAAAAGGCATAAAATGTTGATTCAAATCATTCATATTTTCTATTATCATGGGAGAATTCATGTTCTTGATGCGGAATTTATGAAAAGTCTAAAATACTTGAACTTTTGTTTTTGAATATATTTCATTATAATATATGTGATTGATACACGTCGGTAAAAACCCAAATTAGACACACCAGACTTATTTAGAGAGTAAAATATACCAATTTGGTCAATTCTTTGAGTGATTGATAAGTATACCTGGTTCTTCTGTTCTTGTCTCTGCTGTGCCAGTGATGCCTCCCTTTCCTGCTCCTTCCTGAAGTTCCTTGCGATAGACATCATATGCTCGTAGTTGGGTACGGTCTCCACCTGTAACATTAGAACAGTCATTGATGCTTGAGTCTTGAAGGAAATGTTCTTGCGAAATTAATTTAATAATAATTATTGTTAGAACATCATTAGTGTGTTAAATTTACTTGTCTTTATAGTGTAGCACATAAGATATAGCTTTGTGCTTTGTATTATCTGGTATGGTTGTCTATTAATACTACAACTACTACTTTCTACTATTACTACTATTACTATAACTACTGTACTACTTCTACTACTACTACTACTACTACTATTATTACTTCTACCGATACTAATGATTCTACTACTGCTACTACTACTTCTACTACTACTACATCACTACTATTACTACTACTACTTCTTCTTCTACAACGACTACTATTAGTACTACTACAACTACTACTATACTACTACCAGTATTATCATTACTACTACAACTACAACTACTACACTTCAACATGCCATGTCTATCCTATGTATTTGACCTCTTACCTTTTTCTTCAGTCTCTCGATCCTCTTTGCGAGTTGGTCTTTCTCATCTTCCATCTGTGAGATGTCTTTCTTGATCTCTGTCGTTGAGAAACCTGACGTCTTCAGAGACTCCGAAGTCCTGTGCAGCTCCATGAATGCATCGACCTGCGCCTCGTACTAGAAATAGAACAGCAGTACTTGACGGTTAGATTGTGTAGATTGACAATGGTCATAACCATAGCTAGTTAGAGAAATAGTTGCATCAGTGGAAGTTTCTCCTGACTGGTCAGTCATTTCATTGAGAATCAAAATAGTTATAGTTCCCTCAGTGACTTTGAACTAATGCATTTTCTATGGCAAACATATGATCAATCTCTAATTTTTAGGAAACTAAATCATCTGTAAATCTAGTTCCCATCAGAGTCTTCAATTTTCGGCAATAAACAATGAATGAAAGATTTTTTGATATGACGATGACTAATACTTGGTAATACCAGAAAGCACCATTCTTTTGGGGGGATGAATTATGTGGAAAAATTGCATGGAATTGCATAGAATAGACCGATTTACTAACATTTTCAAATTGTATGCATACTTTTTAAACAAAGGTTGTTTTTGACGAGCTGAAAGTTTGCCTGGGCTTGCCTGACGTAGCAACCAGTAATGTATGCAGACTGGATTCCAAGTATTGTAGTCCATTAATTAATAACAGGTTAATGGAATAACTCATCACTAGGTCCCCAGGAAAGAAACATAAATAAATTTGAATAGGTTAGTTAACCGGTCTATAGGGCAATACTCAGAACCTCCCCCCACTCCCCCAAAAAATGATAACAAATATATAAATAAATGAATAAATAAATAATCCATGAGAAGGGTATATCCTACCTGAGAGTATGTATCCATGACGGCGTCCTCTGCAAGAATCTCTCCTGGTACTTCAATCTTCACGAGAAACCTGGCCAGATACGCCCTCTTCTTCAACTCGGGCATCTTCTGGAAGAGCCATTCTAAGATGGAGTAGACCACTGGCTTGTTGCCGGCTACTAAGCCCTGCCGAAAGGTAGCCCTGTTCCCGTAATAAAATGATTCATTAATCAGTTGGATTAAGAAGTGATTATTAATTAATAAGAAACTCTAAAGGATGTCCCTCTGCATTCAAAAGTTTAGAATGACTTTGAGTCTTCTTTAATAGGATAGAACCATTCTAAAATGAAACTAGAAATGCAATCGTGTCACAACGATGTGCGTGCAATGACGCCATGTTTCTACGTGTCAAACGAAAGAGCTTCTCTCGGACTATCCAGAGCAATTTGTTCGAAGTCTGTAGCTTCTGTGATATTGGAGATAGGTAGGGCGAAAGAAAGGCCTCAAGAGTGACCTTGATGGCATGGTAATGACTACGCCTACGAAGTTTGTAAGAAATTGGGATAGGGGAAAGAACCTAGAAAGAGTTACTAAACACTGCGTGCAAAAACCAAGGGGATTTGGTGCATGTTCGTCATTGCAATAAACATCGTTCTGGGGGCCAAAAGCGTGAACCCGATATGCCCCATAGACAATGCGTGTAATGAATGGGCGGAAAACGTACAGGATCTGTATTATGACCGGAGTTAAATTGTTTTTTCTCTCTCTCTTTATGTCTCTTTATAGGCCGTATTTGGTATCATTAGAAAGAGAATTTCATGGTTGTTATTGTAAACTACTCTCTTTTTATCTATGATAATCCTATCGAAACATGTGATGTAAAATAGATTTATAGAACAAAATGGCGTCTTGAATGGCCCCCTTGACCAATTTCGAAAATCCGGCCAAGAGGTGCCCTGCGTATTGGAACTCGGCATGCCACTGCAAATTTTCAAGGAAAAAAAAGGACATTTAGGGGGCGAAAAGCAGTCTGAAAAAATGACGTCATAGCCGATACGTGTTAGATTCGGGCGGAATTCGTGTAGTGACCTTTGTTAAAATGCGATTTACTCACAATTTTCTGTGTGAACATATACTGTACTTGGTATCATGCGAAAGGGCACTTCATTGCGGTCAGTTTGACACTATTGTTATCTCCGCCAAATGTATTGCACGCATTTAACGCGCTATAACGTAATGCATAGTAAATTCATCATTTTTGGCGATAACTTTGCGCTGACACGTTCAAATTTTACCAAACTTGGCAGACAGTTGTCACGTATATGGATACATATGTCTGCCTAATTTCATTGACGTTGGTACAAAGATCGCCATTTTAGAGCAAGTTGAAGTTATTTTGGAATTTTCTTGAAAATGGCGAATTTGGAGGGCATTTTTCTCAAAGTCGGTCAGTGTTAGGGTATATAATTTTGTATATGGCTGGAAAGGGCATATCCTCAAGTATCTAAATCCAAAAAAGGGTACGGATCTGCCAAGCCATAATGGAGATACGGCCACAGAAAGAAAGCCAATTCCCAGAACTTTAGAGGGCGCTATTTATGTAGTGCAAAGCCATTGGAGCGTGAAATTTGGCATGGCTATGTGCAATTATGAGACAAAGATACTGCGAGAAGATGAGACGGAACGGAATTGGTTAAAGAAAGTTATTGCAATTTTTAGATTTGTAGGGGTCTAGTTTTCAAGAATTTGAGAGATTGTTGACGGAGTCGGTTTCAGATTTGAATTTTGACTATGAAGATGGCATTTTGAAGGTCAAGTTATACGTCGCAGATGAAAGAACATCTCTTAGACTATCTAAAGGAATTTGTTAGAAGTTTGTAGGATCTAGTATAGTGGAGATAGGAAGGAATGAAGAAAGGCCTTAAAATGGACCAGAAACGGACAAAATAGCGCCTGGATGGTTATGCATGAGTGATTTCGAAAATCGAAAAAGTAGGTGACCTTGATGAGATATCAGAGATTACGCCTACGAAATTTGAAAGGAAAAGAACTTGAGGAAAGTACCTAACTAGGAATAACAAGCACTACGTGCAAAACGAATAGGATTTCCGGACGATAAGGAAGAGGATAAGTATATTAATGGGGCAGAATGTGAACGAAAACAAGGCAATGACGAAGGTTCGTCATTGCAATAATTAAAACACAGGCTTGTTACCGGCTGATACACCCTGCCAAAATGTGGCCCTGTTTATGGTTTAAAGGCAATTCAGTTGTCATATAAAATCTTACTGGGGGTAATTTAATTCATCAGGAAGATTAGTAGTGATCTAAAGAATGCCTTTGAATCTGAAAAAAAATAACTGGGGTGAGTTTTTGCTCTTAATGCAGTCTAATAGTTCCAAGTGGACAGAACATAAATGATGAAGCTTTTCACATCACATCATGCATACATATCTGCATATTGGGTGTAAGCATTCAGACCATAGCACAAGCTTGAATAGTTCAAAAGCAATACTGAATTGAAATGTTTTTTTATCTTCTCCATTTTTTCCCCCCATGCATCTCCAGGTAATATCACTTGGCTACCTTTGCAGAACCAGCTCAGACAAGGAGCATGACTCTTTTTCTGAATGATTATATTACTAGTATAATTATTATTTTAAAAACCTTAAAACACAATCCTGTTGAGGAAAAGGATGAATTCGATACTTACGGCTCAACCGTAGGCTTGTATTTTAGGACTCTGAGTTCAGATAACATTCTCATGGCTGTAGCATCAGGCGTTTCCTCTCTGATATCAAGCTTATGCTGGAGGGGAAAAGTATGGAAATATTTTGGATATAAATATCAAATATAACAAATAATAACAATAGTAACACTCGTATAGCGCCTAATAGTACGTTAACATTACATTGTAATTATCATTACCTCGGTCATTCGATTCAAATGCTAATCCGCACATGATAGTGCCAATGCTCCTCTCCCTGAGGAGTATTCCGGCCAGGTGCCATTTTACAAGCGCACACATGCCAATCCAACCACATCAACTTTAGCATCCTACTAGGTATCCATTTAATACCTGGGTGGGGAGTGGCAAATAGAGATAAGTGTCTTGGCAGAGGACATTAGTGCCGCGGTGGGACTCCAACTGCGAACCATTTGACCCACAGTCCAGTGACATATCCACTAGACCACAACACCTCTACAATTTTATCCTCTGTAGCCAGGGCATCAAAGCTGATTAGATTGTAGCTCCTTATTTTATTTTATTCCATTTTTTAAAATGTTTTGCTGGTGACCACTTAACCATTCAAGTCTTACCTGTGGATTGACTTCGGATAAGACATCATTGAGAACCTGCAGCAGTTGAAGGGGCTCTAAGGCATCAAAGCTGATCAGATTGTAGTTCCTCCTGTAGGGTTCTTTGTTGAGTTGCTCAACCACATACTTCAGTATGGTACTCATCTTGAATTACTTTAAAAGCTATCGTAGTTCCACAAGAATTAATGATCGAAAGTGGATGTTCACATGCTTTCCTAATAGGGAAAAAAAATAGAGAGGAATTAAGCATGCATATATGTAGTTACATAATCTTGATTGCTTTGAAACAGAGTTCACTTCTCCACTGTGATGTGTCCCATTCTTATTTTTATGAATTTAATATTCATAAATGTATGATACATTTGCAGACTTAACAATATTATTAAGGAGAGGTATTTACTCACTTCTATATTATGGATTTTGATACTGGGGCCAGTTTCTCGAAAGTGTCATGACATAAGTCTAAGTGTGTGGACAATATAGAAAAGCATTTCAATTATATTACACGTTTCAATGGAATGTCCAAGAAGTTAAAGTCTAAATTGTAAACTTGAGCTTTTCACAGTCAACAGGTAAAGCAAAGTTACTCTATTTTTTAATACTATGGCGGATGCTTACTTCTCGCTCATCAGCATTTTCTTAATTCCACTTCTTCAAAATCTCTTGTTCAACATTTCCTTCTTTGCAGAGTTTGTTTTTTGAACTTTTGATGATTCCTCTTTTCCATTGCTATCTTGTTACCCATCCTCTTCATCTTTGATGTGTTCTTCATGTTTGTTATCTTCTGGCGTTCTGCTTCTTTCTAATTCCTCCTTTCCTGCCCGATTTATCTTCTACTTTAATAACAATATATACATCAAATCCAAAAACAGTCATCTGTCTTAATTCTTCCCCAAGATTTTTCATTCATGTTGTTCTCAAACTTTTTTCATATTCTCCTCATTTCTCTACTCTCTTTCATCACCCCCTCCTCCTCCTCTTTTGGGTGTCTTATTATTCTTTCCTCCTCCTCCTCCTCCTTCTTCTTCTTCTTCTTCTTCTTCTTCTTCTTCTTCTTCTTCTTCTTCTTCTTCTTCTTCTTCCTCTTCCTCTTCCTCTTCCTCTTCCTCTTCCTCTTCCTCTTCCTCTTCCTCTTCCTCTTCCTCTTCCTCTTCCTCTTCCTCTTCCTCTTCCTCTTCCTCTTCCTCCTCCTCCTCCTCCTCCTCCTCCTCCTCCTCCTCCTCCTCCTCCTCCTCCTTCCTCCTTCCTCCTCCTCCTCCTCCTCCTTCTCCTCCTCCTTCTTCTTCTCCTTCTTCTCCTACTTCTTCTTCTTCTTCTTCTTCTTACATCAGATAAGAAGATCTAGATTATCTAAAGACGTAAAAACAAAACTAAAAAGTCCGAAATCTCATCTTGTAAAATGACATGGATGGGACTGAGCTGAGATTGAGAAAGAGAAACCCACTAAAAAAAACTGCAGTAGGTCTACAACCATCTACAATAATACATTATTAACAATTGTGCGATATAAACTTAAGGTTATTCGTTTTGTGTTCAAAATAATGAGTTTCAAATACATACGATCAACATTTGGTGAGATATGAGCCGAATTCTTCTGCCTTTTCCCTCTCTGTCGCGGTCCAAAAAGCGTCAGTCAAAGAATTTCGTCGCTCAGTGACGTAAAGGCTCATGGGATATCTCGAAAAAGCATTGATTTTCATTCTCCTAGGCGGTTTTCATGTAGCGGGTTGGGCCAACGTGTCCTTAGTTCAGTGTAATTTACCCGGACGCATCTCGGCTCTGAGAGTCGCCTCTGTGTATGTAACATGCATGCAATTGTACTGTCCATATGTTTTCGTACACGTATTCTTATGCTTGCCAAGATCAATGGTGATTGATAGAAGTGGATAAATTACAGTCCATTTGTGAGCAAAGAAAGAACTCATTTATTGAGGAAAGTGTAGAGTACTTTAGGAGACAAGGAAGAACTGGTATTATGTCAAGTGAACGTGGAGAAAATGTGGTAAGAAATTTAGTTTTTGTTCTAAAAAAATGAATGAAAATGAGAATTCTGAATAGAATCTGAGAGTGAGAGTGAGATGGAAATGAAACAGATGGAAACATTCAAACAGGCCCGTGTCCTATGATGTAAATAAGACAGAAATAACCGTCTGGTATACTATCAATAGGGGCGCTGGTCCAAGAATAAGGATTGTCCGCATTTTCGTGGACGATTCGTATTTCCGATCCACGCATTGGTGTTGCGAAAAATGGATTCTGCAATGTTTTTCGTGATAAATTTCACATTGACTTGTAGACTCTAAAGGACTTTCACGTAATATGAGCGTTAAATCCTTGGGAAGACGGACAACCCATTAAAGTAGAAGGTGTCACAGTGAAATGGGGGAATCCGTTTTTTGCATTGCCAGCGCGCGGATCGGGAACCCGAAACCTGCCGAAGAAATAAAAAAAATTGTGGACGATCCATATTTTTTAGGATGCGATTTGTCCTTGTTTTTAAGGATATCCTAGTTTATGCGGACAATCCTCATTTTCAGACCAGCGCCCCTACTTACTTGGTAATTGGTAAGCCTTTGATAAAACTGAATTAACTGACATTTGTCAAGTTAACCTTCCCATACATGTATGTACAATACTGACGCTTTCGATCTAGATCTAGATGTAAATAAAAAGAAATAGGCCTATAAAGAATAAATTTTAACTAAAAACAGTATGGCACTTTACGTTAATGGAATTATTATTGTCTTCTTTATTTCTTTAATCGTTTTCAGGTTGAGGAGGAGCCGTGCAAAGTAGATAAGTGGAATGGAACAGCTGTAAAGAATGCCTTGGATGATGACATCAGGAGGGTAAGAATTGCGTTTTTAAATTTAATCTAATTTTTATGAAGGTAGTCCGCGGTTAAAGACGCACGTTCCCCGTATTCCAGAGGGCGTTCAAAATGCGTACGCGCTGGTGGACGCGGTGCTAGCTGCCTAATGACACCAACAGAATACGGCTCTTACGCAGATGGCATGTTCTGAATGCCTGCACAAGGCCGATTATCGCATACATGTGCCGAAGTAATACCAATCACAGTTCGGCTCTAAGATTTGGCTGCTGTTTCCGCCCACTTTCGTGACGTCACAATTGGCAGGGATCAGCTGGCTTGGCGAAGGCAGGCTGTACTTTGATTGACAGCTGTATGCAAATTAGAAGTCGATCTTCGGAACCAAGATGGTGATGACTAGAGCAGTGATAACTACACTGGCAGGGTGCGCCTTTAAAGTCCCGCCGAGGCACTAATGTCCTTTGGCAAAACATTGATCTATACTTGCCACACTCTACCCAGGTGAAGTAAATGGGGACCTGGTAGGAATTTATTTTTTGGAACGCAGTGCGTGTAACAGCTGCACTGCTAAAGCCAGGGTAATTATGCTATGAAGATTTCATAAAATTTATCGTCAAAGAATTCCGGAGAAAGTGCGATCTCAAATTTGGATGTTGAATTGGAACTCAAGAAAAAGTCTTTTAAAAAACGAGGCCTTAATTTGTGCACGGGAGATAACAGCAGATTTATTATAAAAAGCAAACAATCCAATATAAGGTGATATTGTATTTTGCAAGGCAAAATATCATACAATCAGTTGGTACCACTTTTTACTAACAGTTTTGAGGAGATTTGCTCTAAAAACAACAATTCCCAGACCCTTGTCAGTAAGTTCATATTTTTTTCGGTATGGATGCAAAATTCTGCAAAAATTTGCCAATCTTTTGTCAATATTTCCATAATTTCACACCTAATTCCATAGAAAATGTTATCTCCGGTTAAATTTAGGTTCCTCTTTCCATTTGCTGGTGTCAAATTTTTCGAAATCTTACCCATTTTCTAAGATAGCGAACTAAGGTCACGTGTGAACTATGGTCAAATCACCATACAGTGTGGTCAGATTGCCCATGTCTGCGCATAGGCCTATCTCCCCGATTCTAACAAAACAAAACAAAATGAACACAAGATCTTGGTATCCATTTGAGCGATGCTTTATTTGCGCAAAAAACAAGTAAAAACTGATGAGAAAAATCACATTACGTGTGGTTAGGTTGGGCTAGCCATAACGTTTGTCCTACCTTGTAACAATTAATGTATGCGATTCACATTCTGAATTTTGAAATCATTTATTCATAATGTGTTATGGGTGAATGAAACGATTTTGTTCATTAAATTTGATTACTTTACCCCCTAAATGGTGTATTGCAGGACCCCGGCCGAGGAGGATTCTCTGGATAAACAATATTATTATTATTATTTTTATTATTGTTATTATTATTATTATTTTTATTAAGTCTATTTTTTAATGTTTGATTTCTCCAACAGATTTTCACCAAGGTGTTTGAATATGATGAGAACCATTCCTTGATTGATAACCGTCTGCGCTTATGCAGTGTCGCCTGTATGTTTGCCATCGTAGCCCTCATCTACGACTACCTTAAACCATTCCCGGAATCAAGATCTGTCCTTGCCTTCTGTGTCCTAGCATATCCTTTACAAACCTCTCCACTTTCTAAGAGAATGTGAGGACTTAATTTGAGCCACTGCAGAAATACTATCTATGCATGAACAGATAAAGGTCATTTGTACAAAACTGTAAAACACATCAAGACGACTGCTGGATACATATTCACGAAATTTATCTAATCATTGTTCATTAATAATATACACCAGCAGAACATTCTATGATACACAGGCCGACGTATTATTTTCAAGAGGGTAAACAAAAGGTATTCATGGAGCAATTCAAGAAGCACCTACATGTACATGTACATCACTTTGGCAGTCATTATTCTGTAATTCCCAAAGTGGGACGTCTCCATGTGTTAAAGATCTGTGGATATTTTGGGGTCTTTTGTTCAAGTGCTATCTCTAAAGTGGCTCATTGATTGTACCTTTTATCAATTTTACAATGTTGTCATTGTATTGAATTGAATGGTAAAAGTATGAAGGCAAATATTAGAATGCTGAGATATTCTAGTACCGTTGTGTTTTATTTGTATCCCTCTAATGTGTAAGGATCGTTGGTCATCTGACAGTCGTTTTAGTGATATTGACCGTTTTTTACCGATAATCAATGTTATCATCATTTTATTCTATGTAATATTATTATTATTTATTTTTTGGGGTTGGGAAGGGAGATTAGGGATTAGAATCTTATAGAAAGTATTGCAATGCTCTTTCAAAATTGGCGCACGGACTCGGTTTCGAACATGGGACCTCCCGGTAACGAGACCACTGCTCTACCACTGAGCCATCACGCTTACTCGATTGTGAATGTTAATGTTCTTGGCATTTCCTGCAAAGTGTTTTTACATTTTTTCAATAATATGCCCATTACAGTGTTCAGCAGTTTTTATATTCCTTGACCACCATTACACTTATTTTGGCATGATGTCATTGTTGACCCTGTATACAACCATGGTAGAGAAGAACCATTTCCTGGTGACGAATCAGAAGGATGCTGCCGGTATCGACCCCAGTGATACCTGGTGCTGCGACTCCTATATGAAGAGGTAATTATCACTTACATACCCGTGGACAGAAAGAGTTTGTAATAATGAGGTATTTGCCATGGCAGGAACAAGACGAAAGCTTCTGAATAATATAAGAGGTCGCCAGCTGAGCTTCTTGGGTCATGTTATTCGGAAGAATGGTTTGGAAAATCTTGCACTGACTGGGAGAATCGAGGGGAGGAGGAGTAGGGGTAGAAGGAGAATTCCGTGGATGAGGAGCTTAAGGAGTGAGATTTCTGAAAGTGGAATTTACAGGGAGAATGAATTACTTTATAGAATATGGTACAGAGAGTTGTTGCATTCCATGGTCGCCAACGTCTCAACGTAAAGAAGAACAAGACCCAGTTCAGGTATCAACATATATATATAACAGCTTTTCAGGTAACACCAGCAGTCTGTGTAAGGAGCATCCCAAAGAAGCCAATCAAATTGATTTGCTGCCGATTAGTTGATGTTACGTACATGTATCACTAAAATCAGACACGATTATCATATGTACATGTATTTATGATTAGTATGAATGCGTAGTTGAATGTGTATACAACATCCATCAAGTAATTTTCCTATTTTTAGGCATAGAAGTTCTATGTTGTCAGTCAGACATGGTTTTGTCAAATTTCTCACAGATACATCACCCCACACAGATATATAGTCTAAACCTCTCCCTTCTCTTTTGATTTTCTTCAGGTTCGACGATGAATACAATCTGGTTCTCCAGTTTGAAGACGGCAAAACAAAGGAGAAGAGAGAAAGCAGCATCACCAAATCTGTCGGTTCGTGGTTTGACGAGAACGGATTGCTTCTTCACGAGCTTTTCCAAAATGATGTTTGTAAGCTGCACAGTAGTCTACTGGCCGAGAAGAAAGACAAGTAGTGCTCCTTTTTTCTTCCCTTTTTTTCTTCATATTAACCCTTTGCCACTGGGAACCGAGTCGTTCCAGTATTAAGCCTATAGGAATGTGCCATTTCGGCAGTCAATGCAAAGGTGAATTTCATGTTTGAATGTCGCTGATGTTAGGGTTGGTCTCTCTTTCTTTCTGTTACTTGAGGTAAATGTTATGTTAAGTTATAAGTGGTTTCTTTTTCTTCAAATTTTACACATGAAATATTCCACATTTATATCATATTCAGTTCACATTTTCAATCTAATGTTTATCTTATATTGTCTGAAGTATGTGTTTTTTTCAAGTTGGTTTTAATAGAAGCAGAAAAATGAAAGGAACATGACTGAAAGTTTGAGCAATTTCCAATTAAAAATAAGAAAGTTTTTAATATTTGAAGGGGCAATCACTGATGACAACTTTTAAAATTCTTAACTTTCCTATTTTTTAATCGGATATTGCTCAAACTTTCACTAATATGTTTCTCTCATTATTTCTGCTTCTACTAAAACCAACTTAATATCAGGGTGGACTTCCCCTTTAATATTTGTGCCACTCATTGGCATTTTATTTGAATCAGTTAGCGGTGCCTGCTCCGGTATGATATACAAGGTTACAATGGAGAGAAACTATTCCAAGAAATCATCCGTCATCTTCACAGAATTTGATATTTTATCTCACACATGCTAAAATAGGGTATATATACATGCAGATTGCACAGTAGCATAGTGTAGAAAAGGTTCAGCTATTTTAATTCATTTTAATGCATGATTATTAAGTGTACATGTACCAGATATGTAGAATACTAGACTACTATTTGGATATTTTTTTTCTCACAACTACCTTACACACAATTTGGGTATGAACAATTATCCGGTATGCTGTTGGCTGCGTTATTGTGAATGAGTTTTTCCGTCTCTCTCCCTTGCTTTGATTGTGGGAAATAGATTTGACCTTTTCTTGAAGTCTGTATCAGACTTACATTTACTTTTTCTGTATCCACCAGCCCTGCCCCCACCCCTAAAAAAAAAATAATACATCTAATAAGATGGAGATAAGCAGGCATATGAATTATGAAAAAGCTTTTTGTTTTTAGCCAATTTACATACACCTACATTGCTCAAGTCTGTACATTATACATGTCTACAAGAGTGTGGTACATTTGTTTTGTTTGTCAATAAATTGTTACTCAATTTCACAATTTGATTTGAAAAGCTATTGCCATTATTTGTCTTGTGTCACAGCTGGGGTGGGGCTCAAGGGATGGTATTCTCGAAAGCGGACTAACTTTAGTCCATGGTTTAATCCACCAACTAAGTATTGAATGCCAAGTGTCCATATGAATAGTCTGCTTTCGAGAATACCACCCAAAGTCTATTTACTGGTAGTAATGAAGCATTGCCGTAATTGTAATCATCACCTGAAAAATACTTTGTGTATAGCTGAAATGTATAAAATCAACCTAAAAAACCTTTACCTGCCAAGCATTCTGTCGGTAAACGGTTATGAAGAATATACAGGATAACTGCGTATAGGGTGCACAGGGAATCCAAGTCCGACTCGAGTTCCATGTGAACCCTAAACTATATGCGAGTGCATAAGCATGCTTAAACTAGTTTATCTAATAAGAAGTTTTTCGTGTTTTAACTGCAGTAGCTCTTTGTAGAAGTAATATTTGAATACATTATAGCGTCATCGAACCCTTTACATCAAAAGCAAAACAGGTTTTGGTGATTGGTACACTTTAAATAAGCCCACTTTGAAGAATACCAAGAGATTACCAGCCATTGACTATGTACCACACATTAATTAAATACAGTTGACACAAATTATGATAGATACTTCTTTTATTGCTAAATTAAAAGACTCTTTTACGATTGTACAATCCTTTGGAATGTAGAAAATGCAGTAGAAAATGTTACAATACAAAGAATGTAAAACCAGCAACTTCAGGATCTGAAGCTTTCATAAGTGGATAATTATAATAACAGCACTTTTCACAGCCAGAAACTTGCAAATTGTAAATATTTCATGTTAATTTCAAATTCAACCATTTCACAGCATTAATCTGAAACACCTGTGAAATTGATGAAAGTTTGTGCATGCAAAAGTTTCTGGTTTCGCAGTAAAAATGAACACATGGATTAAAGTAGTAGAAAAATATGGATTAAAGTAGTAGAAAAATATGCACGCAACATTTATTTACTCTGACTCATCAATCTACAAACACATACTAAAGTAATGTGAGTGATTAAGGACTCCAACACTGAAGGCGGACTGTGCCGAAACTTGTGTTTAAAGCTCATAAAATAAATTGCCAGTGATTTTACAGTCACTTTGGAATAAGCATTCCAGTTAGCTTTCTTTATACCCCTAATAAATAATTCTCCCCCCCCCTCCTAGATGGCTAGAAAGGAACTAAAAGTTATACTACAATCTCACAAAACATTTTAATGTCCAATACCAATATCATGGGTAAAACATAATTATCTTTGCACTCTATTACTCTTAATAGTTTTATTCAGGAATTCAGATTGAGATTGTGTCGCACCACCCATTGTTTTGGAACTCTTTATTATAAAAAATGTGCCTGTATGATTTCAAATATGACAAAATAGATACTAAGGTAGAACCTGCAGTAATTGGGTACAGGATGTTTAAACAAGGCTTCAGTATTGAATTTTCTACATCAAACTGACTTCATGCTAAAAATAAGCACTCTACAGACTTCACATAAAAGATATAACACCATTAAAAAAAATTATATTTAACATACATAAACCATTGATATGTGTGAAGAAAAAAAATTTGTGTTCTTTCTGTTGAGTATTTGTATCATTTTGTTCCGGCATTTATCAGCTATAGAACAAATATGTTGTGGTATATATTATATAATACCTAGTTTCAAATCAAAATCTTAAATTTATGATCTAACACATAGACGCAATGCTAATTACTTGATGTCAAATTGTGGCATTCGTAAACGACACATGCACAAATTTCATCTACAACTGCTTTGAATACAAGAGAACTACAAATAGCAGCTTTCTATGATGAAAAAAAGACAGGCCACATATGGTAATCAAGCGATACCAGTTCAAAATGCCAATTTTATAGTAAGCAACATTTTTTGTACAATCTAGCACAACAGGTAACTACTACCTAGTAACTACATGAACATAACATATAAAATCAACCTGCAGCATTACTGACTGAACTACTGAATGTGAATTAAAGTCCTTGGCAGAAGTGAAAAACAAAATAGATGAATTATATATCAATAGAAAGCTTACAAGATAAAGGTTACAATAATATAAATGATATGCTATTTTAGTGTCTTTCAGCGGATTAACAGCTCTTCATTCAGCTTTACATTGATATAAAGTTGTGTTTTCATCGGATAGGGCCTTTAAAGTACATGCATGTACACAGTAAAAGAATGTTACATATCATGATAATACAAAAGATTAAGGCTCTTATTGTATAAAAGTGAAAGACAGATGGTCACAAAATAACCGGTAGAGTCACAGTAGTGATTACTTTCATTTTCCCATTCACTATTTTTCTAAAACAAAAAATTGCCCAAACATACCCCCCCCCCCCCCCTTATGAAAACAACAGCTTTGTTGCCAGTTGCCAACAAGAAGGCTATTACACATGGACTTAGATTGTCAGTACATGTACATGTATATACAGCAGCACTATTGTAGACAATACTCTTCCAGAAAATGGGACATTACAATTTACATGTATACCACACATAAAAAAACTACCATTATGTCTTCACTCTCTCAATCTCCTCTCATCTTCTCTTTAAAAATATATTCCTCTTTTTTTATATTATTCTCTCTCTTTCTCACCAGCTATATGTAACTCTTGTTCTTTCCTGTTGTAGTGTCACTTCACATTAAAAGTGCACAATTGTTAGTGGAGCAGAAAATGATCCCCTTTAAGCGGACTTTCAAGAACACTTTCCACAAATTCTGACCCTTTTTGGGGCCCCCCCCCCAACCAAAAATAGGTACAAATGTGCTCTAAATATCAATCATTTAGGGGTTATCAAGTATAAATTCACACATAGTACCGTTTTTTTTAAAACAAAATTCGCCTTAATGTTATTCGAGTTGCAAGTTTCTCTTAAATATGTGACACTGAAGCAATTCCTTGCTTTTTCAAATCCACAAACATGTCAGAGTTGCAAACATTCCTGAAAACTGTCCCCTTTTGCAAGAAATTTCTAACTATCATGCATGCACAAAGTCACTTATATATTTCAACACAGAATGAAGGTTTATTGCCGTTCGGTCTACTATCCAATTAGTATATTCCCATATGGTCTACACCCAGCCCGTCCACTGTTCACATGGTCTAATAATCATTTAATCATAAATATCATTTGGTCCATTGACCATTTAGGCTAATGGTCATTTGGTCTAATTTCCAGTCGGGTTTAATTCCTAGCTAATGCCCATCTTGTCTACTATCCATAATGACCAATAGTCATTTGATGATGATTATTATTCATGATTGAATGATTATTAGACCATGTGGATAGTAGATCCCTGGGCTGGGAGTAGACTATTTGGGAATAGACCAATTTAGTAGTAGACTAACTGGTTATAGACCAAACAGCAAGTCACCGGAATGAATACCCTCCTTTACAATGGCTCCATACAGTTAATGTTTCGAACAATCCTCATCTCGATCACCCTCTTTTCAAGTTCTCTTCCTATAATGTCCACTCTCTTGGTCTATGCGTCAGACCCCACCCGACAACCTCCTGTTTCATCAGCGACAGGTGCGGCATGTGAGATTTCGGTATTGACGGCGTCGAGATGAAGGGTATATCCTCCTCGCCCCCAAAAGACCGCCCAAGAACCGACGCCCTCCCCGTCTCCTTATCAAACGAGGCGCTCAGCTTCCCCGACATGGGCCTCATGTGGCCCAACATTGAGTAATTCAGGCTTCTCGCCGACAGATTCGCAGTCGTCGACCCCAGTGCGGATTTCGGACGTATTCTTAGACGGTCATCCCTCTCGTCAGTGTTGTCTTTCTTGGTCTTGACACGACCTCCGATGGGGTGACCTAGGTTATAGGTCGGAGTGGCCGATTCACTGTAACTCCTGGTATGAAGTCTATTTGACTTGCCTGCGAACCAGGTATCTGAACCGTCTGAAAAATAGACATTTTAAAAAAATATATAAATGTTGGGCGTTATATAAGGGCGTAATTACGTCGTATTAGGGAATTTTTACATTGTATTAGGGTGTTATAATGCCGTAATAAATAGGGAAAATTTGTTGGTGGAATCAGGCACCCTAGTTTTCAGGTAAAACTATTAAAGGAAAAAAATCATGAGTAATTTCCCTGTATGATAGATAATGCAGTCAAAATGGTACTATAGCCATTGTTTTTGGAATATTTAAAACTTAACTGAAAGGGTGTAATAGAATATCTTATATACCTCACTTAAGTAATCCAGCAATCTGATTGGTCGAAATTGCATTCATAAACTTTAACTGTTCCCGAAAATTCCCAGTAACCATGATTAAAACAGTTCTAAAATCCCAATAACCATGGTTACCGGGAAAATAGTTCAGTCTCCATGGTTACCCCATAGGTTTACATGTTAAAAAATGGTCTGAGCGATCGAGGATACCGTACGTGTGCGAAGAATTGGTCGGTAATTTCAATACAATTGAATCTCGATCGATCTTACCGACAATTTTATCGTGCATTGTTGACATGAAGACGAAAATAAACTTCCAAAAACAAAAAAACAACATCTGCCGATAGATCTTGATCTAAGTTCGGGCCAATATGCATTGCAAAAGTAAAAGAAGGGCCCGTTTAATGGAGCAGCGGCGAAGCATCCACCACGCGAAGCCGTTTTCAATCCATTTTAATGTATATATTAGAAAAAAACTGCTATATATGGTGACAGAGCGCGCTGGCTGAGCGGTTTAAGGCGCTGATTTTAGTTACATCACCTTTTGTACGCAAGAGATCGAATCCCATTTTCAACAAAAGTTTTTTTATTTTTTATTTTTTATTTTTTAGTCTATTTTTTTTTGGCATATAAAAGTATTAATGACTGCTTTAATATTCGAGAAATAGTATAGTATTAATGACTGCTTTGAGAGAAATAGTTGTTTTTATACGCTCAAGGGAAGGTTAGAATTGTGCTGTCGACTGTATCAATTAGACTATTCAACACATACCGGTAAAGCATTATTAACATGATTCAAGGCTGAGAATGCTATAGCAGTGTCTGAATTTTTTTGGATGATAAATTGTGGGAAACATCATCAATCAGCATAATTTTGTCTGAGAGCTATCAAAAATTCAATTTAAATATTTGATTATTTTTCTGTAACAATATTGCAATCTAGAATTTACTCTTTTATTCACTGGTACCTACAAACTTTGGACAACACTGAAAAAAAAGTTCTCACCTTCAAACCCTTTCCCTGCTGTATTCATGTATGATTCGCCAACCGATCTTCCATCAAAGTAGTCCAACACCTTAGGCTCTGCAATTAAAGACAAATGTTCAATTTACTTTCAAAGTGTGGCCCCTCTAAAGTGTTGGGAGCCCCAAATTTGATGGCAAAATTTAACTCAAATTGTGTAATGATGTACTGAAAGAGGATGTCATTTAACACTTAACTCAGCAAGAACTTTCATAACAAATGTGTTTGAAGACACATATTGCTGACAGAATACAAAACTTGGATTTTTGTGTTGTATGCAGAAAACCGAAATTTTGTATTTTTTCATCAATATTCATCTTCAAACACATTCATTTAGAAGTCAGTGTTAAATGACATCCTCTTTCACTTCATTATACATATGAAGTGAATTTTTGTCATCAAATATTTTGGGCTTCAACACTTTAGAGAGGCTTTATGTTTGATTTTTCATGTATTTCATGTATGCTTTATACATTCAAGTTGAATCGGGCAATGTTAGGACATACAGCTCAATATGTACAGGCAGCCCTTAAGTGATCTCTTCCATTTATCATTGTCTGATTTAGAACAGAATACCTCAAATATTTATCCTGGATCTTTAACTCCTCATACTTGAAAAATGGGTCCTTACTTTCTTTCACCAAAATGTTTAGGAGATTAAAACTACATTGTATATTAACTTATGAATAATTCACCCACATAACTTTGTTATGAGGATTTTCATTTTGTCATACACTGGTAGTTGGAAATACAATCAAATCTGTCTATTAAGCCCACTCAAGTAAAAATAGAAATATGCAAATGTTATTTAGTTTAATATCCAGATAATAGTCTAATTCCCAGTTTGTCCAATGTCCATTTTGTCCACCGGCATCCATAAGGTCTAATAATCATTTTGATGACTATTATTATTTAATGATTAAATGATTATGAGACCATTGTGGATAGAAGAAATGGGTATTAGACAAACTGGGAAATAGACAGATTGGAAAATAAACTAAATGGGCAATAGACCAAATGACTATTCGCCAAAATTATAATTAGACCAAATGATAAGTAGACGAAATGATGATAAGACCATGTGTAAATTTACGGTAGAGGGGCTGGGTGTAGACCATATGGGAATAGACCAAATGGGTAGACAAACTTGTTCTAGACCAACAGCAATAAACCACCCACAGCACCCATGGCCAAGAGGAAGAAAATAACGGCGACCACTACAGAGAGTTGGTCATTGTAGAGAGGTAGCCATTATTGTGATTACTATATAAGCTGTGTAATGTTGACTTACTCTGTGTGGAGAATAGTGTACCTTCAACCGATGATTCTGGACTCACTGACTTGTATGTATCAAAGAGCCTGGGAAAAAAAAGATATTATTGAAAGGTCAGAACTCAGCAAAAATGTGTTAAAATTTGTAATATATGGCAAAATTCTATTACCCGTAATCAATCAACAGTTACCAATCAATATTATTACAAATCATAGAAATTCTGCTTCCTCAACCAGTAATGAACATTTGCAGTAGAGTAGCATTGTTACAGATGTATCAACTAGACATAGGTCTATACATAAATCCAGATAACTTAGGATGAAACCTGTTACAAAAGAATATGATATTTTTTCCATCAGGTTGAAATCAAATTATCAGCGTTATGCAACATAATATTCAGTCATTGTTTACTCTAAATCGTTTGTCACTTTTTTTTACAAGAGTATACCTGCCTGCTTGCTAAGAATGTTATATATTTATCTAGCTCATATTGTATCCTGAGAATTAAAAAAAATGATGATTGAAATGGAACTTGTTACTTTGTGTGGCCACACTTTTGCTGGATGAAGAAAAGAACAGAGAGAGGTATATAAGGAGAGGGAGAGTAGAGGTGTCGTGGTCTAGTGGGTACGTCACAGGAAGGTGGATCACAAGGTTCTCAGTTCAAGTTATCACCATCATCATCATCATCACCACCACCACCACCATCATCATCATCATCATCATCATCATCATCATCATCATCATCATCATCATCATCATCATCATCATCATCATCATCATCATCATCATCATCATCATCATCAACATCATTATTATTAATATACCGGTAAGTATAATTATTATTATCCTCATTATTATTGTCAATAAAGAAGTTAGTGACTTACCCTCTCTTAGCGAATGTGAACCTTATCCGAGATGGATGGATGAAGATACCATGTTTGTTTCTACAGCTGAAGTACTGCCTTCCCTTGTATAAACCATTGTGTTTACCAACTGCAGAAAAATATAATCATATTCAACTCTTTTATATAGCTTTACTCACTATGAACATGACGGACAATGAAAGCAGACAAAATATACAGTTCCTCAGGTAGACAAAGGAACATCCCTTCACTGCTATTATGTAAAAATGTGTAGAACAGGTGAATATGCATGTGACACCTGTTCTACACATTTTTACATAATAGCAGTGAAGGGATGTTCCTTTGTCTACCTGAGGAACTGTATATTTTGTCCGCTTTCATTGTCCGTCATGTTCATAGTGACTACAGAGTAAAGTAACTGAATCTGTATGTATCACTGTGTACCAATCACCAGAAAATATTCAAAGGACAATCCAATCCTTGTAATAAGTTGATTTGTATGAAAGCAGAAAAATAACAGAAACAGAATGGCAAAAGTTTGAAATGAATCGGACCAATAATAAGTAATGATTGTTTGAAGTATGAGATCACTAAGTCTATGCGAATCTCAAATTGGTAGTTTTCTTCCCCGATTTTTCTGCTTTTTGCTTTGAATTTCCCTTTAAATATTGGTAAAGGTGAACCTGCTACTAGATTGATCGATAAAGAAACTGTGTTTGTTCCTACAGCTGAAGTACTGCCTTCTTTTGTATACTATATACCATTTTGTTTACCAACTGTAGACAAAAAAACAATCATATTCAATATTTCCTGGTATCCTTCAGCTCAAAGAAATTTAATCATCTTAAAGTAAAGGTAACCTGTATTTGCCTGATAGGGTACTGTTGTATTTGGTATCATTTGTATTGCTTGCTAATTACCCGATTCATCAAGATCTATTCCAACACAGTTGTGAGGCCTCCTTTGTAGACTACTTCAAGGTCCCCTCATGAACTTTACCCTTGTATATGACCTCTACCTCTTGACCTCACCCTCTAACTAGACAGCAAGTGTCATAACTTCATCCCCTTTGCTTACTCACCCGGTTCATCTAGATCAAGTCCAACCCAGTCACCCGTGGTGTTTGTGAGTCCTCCTTTGTACTTCACGGTCCCCTCGTGAACTTCACCCTTGTATATGACCTCTACCCTTTGACCTATGTTGATGTTGATGAACAGGACCATGGCTAGGGAAGATCATGGGCTCACTGATCTGTAGGAATAGAATAATTGAAGACATATAATACTTGCAGCCATATTTTAAACTGTTACTGTCAATAGATAACGTCATCTTCCTTCATGCACAGTGCAGTAACACTAACAGTAACACTACAGTTTAAAATACGGCTGCAAGAATTTCAACACAGAGTTCACTTTCGACGAAGAAAATCCGGAAAAAAAAGACCCTTAAACGCATCATACAGTCAATCTGGTAAGTGGAACCGATATATTTGAGCTTACCGTAGGCCTAATTTTTGAGAATAAATGCATCGGATATGAATCCGCTAAAATGACATTATAGTCCAAAGTTTGCAGAGCTGGTTCAACGGTAGGCTTCTGTCTCTAAAGAGAGCTAGAGCCGACTCTACCCAAATAAGACATAAGAGGCTAACGGAAAAAAGAGACAGAAATTTTGGGTATAGTGCAAGATAAGCCCGAAAGATTCAGTCGCTGATATCGATGGTAATTGTTCCACTAATACCTTACGTCTGGCTCCACTGATTGCCTCTGATAAAAAATTCCCCATATCAGACAGCTATTTCTGTCTAATTACTCAGTCTCAGGATAACAAATGGGTTCACACATACTTATTTTGATATACCCCTGTATATAAGTTCTGATTTACGATAAATTAAGTTTAACGCAATGCCAGTAGACAGAGACAATCCCTCTTTGAAAATTGAATAGCCTTATAGGGTAGCTATAGCTGCCCGAAACATATACACCATATTCACCATCAGACATATATAGTGACATAAATGACATATCACACATCAAATATACAAATCGTTCGTGTATAGTCATAGTGACTGCACGAGCGCTCGATTTAGCCGGCGAGTCTGGTCAATGCTGTATCCTTTCTATACACCCTCATGCCTCATCCATGTACAAAATCAGCAAAGTGCATGCACTGCTAGCTGCTCCACTAGTATAGGCACTAGCAAATATTCAATCATGTCCCGTATATTTCAATGAAATTCCCGGCTTTAAAATGTACCTTAACTTACTCATTAAGCTGTCAAGATCAAGATTTAGTATCTGGTAGAAAAACAACTGATAAGAAGTACCCTTCCTTTCCCTGTCCCAGGCCCAGCTGTGATCTACACGCAGATGATGATCAACATCTCCATTTTCTGAGATCAGCCGGTCACCTGTGTTACGGTCCGATGCACCTGTTCACGCTAAATCCGTTGTTGTAGTAACCAGATTCCTACATTATTTTGTAGGGGTGTATTTCTAGAGAATGCTAAATATACATCATTAATCTTCCTATTTCCATCTATATTTTGAAACAAATACTTTATATATCTAGTAGTTATTATAAATTTATCAATAAAAAAGTAACAAGAGCGAAGGATTCTCTACAATAATTTTCAATACCCATGCAATGTTCACTAACCGCCATTGGGCCGGGCTATCCTCTATAATTTTCGGCATGAGCAGAAGGCAACAGAATCGCGCGAGGGAGGGGTGGGGTACATATGGTGGAGAAGTGAAGAAAAATCCCCTTCTGCGACGAACAGTGTCCTTTGCCGGTAAAAATGCCCCCATGAGCTCTGTTGAGGGTCTCCTTTCGTAAAATGGCCTCTTATGTATTCAGTATTGTATTTATTTTGTATTTATTAATTTCTGATATTTATACATGCAGGGCGACATGCACATATCACCAATTTGGTATTTCATCCCTTTAGCCATGCCCTCACTTTTACATCTTTTAAACAAGTTAATTTATGTTCATTAATGTACTATTACCAGTCTCTTTTTTCATGTAAAAGATTATATCATGTTTTGGATGGTTTTGAATAAAAATGAACTAATTGTAGTTCACAAAGAAGTATATAAATATACTGCAATAGTCACTTTATCTTGTGAATCATATACTAGTAGGCAGTGGCGTACGCAGGATTTTTTCAATTAGGAGGGACGTGTTTGAAAGTTGAAAATCGCGCCGACCCATCTTTCGCTAAGTGGTGGCGGGGGGGGGGGGGTTAGTGAGCACTAATCTCTTTTTTTTTTGCCCTACAAATTTGAAAATCGCGCCGACCGATATTTCGCTCAGTGGGGGGGGGGGGGGGCATTTTTGTTTTTACTTTTACACCTCCCCCTCCGCTTTAGCAAAACAAATATATTTGAAAATTGAGGGGGGGGGGTAATCCTCAAAACACCCCCCCCCCCCCCCCCCCCCCCCCTCTGCGAACGCGCCTGCTAGCACTCCAGCAAAGCATAGAGAGTCAATGCTATGCTAGTGGGTCTGTATAAATGAAGAAAAAAAATCAAAATAAAATCATAACGTTTACAAATAAAAAAAGAGATCGGGATAGACGGACATATGCCCAGCCCTATTACCTCTCCCCCCCCCCCCTTTCCCGTTCCACACATAGACCCCCTATTAGCTTATTGATATTAGCCAGTGGCTCAGATTTTGTGCTTTCTTTTCCTCTGCCAATTTGCTAGATGGAGAACACCATAACCTACAAAGCTTGCGCTGTGCTTCTTTGTTTTCGAATTTGACCCTCATAACGCTCATTTATTCATCGAATTGACATTCACCTCGTGTGTCATCGAAATAGTATGGCAGGTAAGATTAATTCAATCCATTTTTTTTTTTATAATTGACCCAATTGATCGAGAAATATCGACAAAATTTGGGGAAATTGATCCATAATAATTTTGTATGTGAGCCCATGTACCGACTTTCATGTTGGTCACTCCTGAACTTTTTAACTCGAAACTCACGTAAAGACGAGAAGAAAAAGAAGAAGAAGGAGGAGGAGGAGGAGAAGAAGGAGAAGGAGAAGGAGAAGAAGAAGAAGAAGAAGAAGAAGAAGAAGAAGAAGAAGAAAGGAGCAAAGCCAAAGATAGGGTGTCTGAACGATTTTTCAATTTTCAATTTGGGATCGTTTTTCACCATTTTTGTTTGATATTTGAATAAAAAATGTTATCAGAATAATACATTTCAAATTTCAAGTCTCACCGATGTTTCTATCAAAAGTTACAGCCCCTCCAAAACGCTGGTATATTCATATCATTTTGGTCAAAATCGACGAAAAAAAAAGTCCACGCAGAGTGATGTTGTTTTGCTAAATTCAGACAAACGGCTGTATCGCGCGATATGCAAGCGTATGCATATAGTACGCATGTTGCTAAGCCAATGCGCGACTTGCAGCTTGAGCCACGCTGTCTCCGCGATATGTGCCATTGACTAGTATGGTTGGCAATTCGCGCCGTAGAACCCGGAAGTGAATACACGTTGTAGTCAATGGCAATATTGCGGAGACAACGCACGTTGTCTCCGCGATATTGCCATTGACTATAACGTGTATTCACTTCCGGGTTTATCGCGCGAATTGCCAACCATAATTTCATTCACTATCATGTGTAATTGAATTTGGGGTTTCGTTCGTGCGCGGAGATGTTACGCGATGTAACCATGGTTTGGACTGAGCGGAGCGCACGCCCTCTAATTAGCTGATCCACCAAATAGCGAGAAGGATATTTTTAAACTGTTATCAGTTGTGATCCCTGGGGGCTAGCGAAAATATAAGCACATAGAATAATAGAATTGTTCCTTAGGACTGGGACTACTTATTAGGCCTGAGTCATGTCGGGATTTTCATAAACCGGGTCCCGACGGCCTTGCACCGATCGGGACCCGGTGTCCCGAAATCAGCTCGCAGGATTTGTCACTTGCCTCTATAAAAAGCGCATATCATCAGTATGTCCCTTAAAAGTGACCTTTTTTATCAGTCAAATAAATCAACACATGCATACCTCGGCACAGACTGGTATATTCTTCCATTTGACATTATTTTTCATCCATGATTGGCGATGTTTAGTGGCATTATCGTGCCTCTAAAAATAAAAAAACTCGAGCAAAAATATAAAGACAACATTCGAGCCGCCATTTTGATTCATGCAGGTTGAATAAATCGGGTCAAAGAATATGAATGTTAGAATAATAAAACGGCTTTCTAAAAAATTCTTCTTTACAACATACCGATCAAATAATTTGTTAAAGACAAAGAAATATTTATCTCTTATTTTAAACATCGCATGCTTTTTTTTAAAAGCTGAAAATTACTTGGTAATCACAACAAGAAGTTTCGATACGGACAGCTGTTGCAAGGCAAGTTCAGACTAGTCACGGAAAAATGCGCAGTGCACCTCTTAGCTGTAATGCGTGCCAGACCGAACCAAAACAAATATACTTGATCGTAACAAAAAATCATTCAAAACTACGAGAGCACAATTGGAAAGAGAACTACTGCTCAAAATTACCATAATCAGATACATTACTTGGACAAAGAATTCAATAATCGCCCAAGAAATGCCACAGAAAATGTGATAATCGAGGAGTAACTGGGTACATTTTTATCGCAAGGGGCCTTCTGCAAATACTCGAATACTTTGTTATACTGCTTTTACCGTAGAGGGCGGTATTTGTTTTCGATCTAGCCTCGTGTTCAATTTAAACACGTGTAATTCAGAGCAGAAGGCCCATTCCGATAATGATTGTACCTATAGTAACTCCTTAAATATCACTGTTTCTGTGGCTTTTCTTGGACAACTATTGTCTTCTTCCTCCAAGATATGTATCTGCTTACGATAATTTTGAGTAGTTGTCTTTCCAATTGTGCTCTCGTAGTTTTTAATGATTTTTTCTCGTTACGATCACGTCTTTGTTCTGGCACGCATTACAGCTAACGACGAGGAACACTGCGCATTTTTCCGAGACTAGTCTGAACTTGCCTTGCAACAGCTATCCGTATCGAAACTTCTTGTGATTACTAAGTAATTTTCAGCTTTTAAAAGAAGCATGCGGTGTTCAAAATCAAAGAAAAAATATATATTTTGTCTTTTAAAAATTATTCGATCGGTATGTTGCAAAGAAATACTTTTTAGAAGGCCGTTTTATTATTCAAACATTAATGTTTCTTTCAACCTGATTTAATTATCCTGCCGAGAGACCCGGCCAGTATAGTAGCTAGCTAGCAGCTGTTAACAACAACCCCATGGGTCGAACTGCTTTGCAACCCATATTTATATCAGCAGTTCGGATTGATTCAGGATGAGCTAGAATATGATTGGTAACAATTAAATACTTAAGTTTTAAGGTGGAATGATTTTAGTGGTGTGCAAAACTCCAATTTCTTACATGTTTCATTATTTTTTTCGGAGCGTCGGTTCTCAAAAACGAAACCGGGACCCGACGGCAACGGTCGGGTCCCGGTGTGATCGACCGTACCGACTCAAGCCTACTACTTATTGATCGGGGCGTCATATCTCAAAAGTGACAAACCTCAGAGTTAGCCAGGACACAATGTTTAAATTGCTGTTTTGACCAAGATATTTTTAGAATTTCGGGGGCTACGCCCCTTTGGAAATATTGGAATTCACCTGCTCTTTCATATGCCACCTCATTTATTGATTATCACCTTCAGGATCACAACAGATAAAGGTTTGAATCTCGAATTGAAAAAAAAAAATTGACTTTTTTTGCATGGTCGCGCAGTGCAGGTAGACTGCATAGGGATGCGTGTAATCTCTATGGGAAGAATTTTAGCACACAACATCGGGTGCGCGATCAGACACCCTACCAAAGAGGAGAAAGGAGAAGGGGAAAAGAAAGAAGAATGGGAAAGGAAGAAAAGAGATTAAGATTAAGTCTAATACCCCTTTCATAGTGCTTCTAGTTCTATCGGAGTCACACCGATGAAAATACCGATTTAATTTTCGTTATGTAAACGAAGGTAAAATCGCCGCTTTCCCTGCTATCCTTTTCATACTGTGGGTGAACTGCACTCGCTGTAGGGAGCCCTTGCCGTAAGGAAAGAATTATTGTGCAATTATTAAGCCCGCGCCTCATCTAGTTAGCATGCAGCATGCTCAACAAAAGTCAATAAACACAGCTGGTTATGATAAAGCGTGCGTACACTGCGACCTTTGACCATTTTCTTCAGCCTTTTAATCTGTGTTTTCTCCCGAACGCATTCACAGTGGCTGTTTCATCGGTGTCACACCGATAGAAAGAGAATTTAATCGCCTATTTCTCTTCTTTTCATCGGCTATTCTTTCGGCTCTTTCTCCTTTGTACCATTCATAATGGCTCTTTCATTGGATGCGTCTGGATGCATCTGATGAAAATCAGGCCAGTTTGAAAGGGGTATAAGACTTAGTAAGAGGAAAAAGAAGAAAAAAAAAATAATGACAGAAGCATAAAATTATTTTTGGTTACAGATGTACATGCTTTTTTAGTAATGAGCATTCTAGACATAAATAACCGTCTGGTATAAGGAATTCTTTAATTAAACTGACATTTGTTAAACTTCCCCATACACAGACGGTAACCCTTGCAACAGGCACAAGGCCAAAAATCCAAAAAAGCTTGCCCTCAGTTTCCCTTTATCTAGACTTAACAGTTTCATTTAGAAACAAAAAGATGATTGGAAAGAAAATAGATCTAATTTTCAATATACAATAAATAAAAATAACAAAAAATCATTGTAAAACAATTTCTTGAAGCTATTGCGCCCAATTAGATCGGTAATCAAACACAAACTGCATTGTGTAACCCCTCCTCACTCACCTGTATAATGTACTTCAGTCTCTGGATAGAGGCAGTCAATGAAGCCAGACAATTAAGTCTCAGCAAATATCAGAGACTGAAACTTGCTTTTTTGTCATTTTTTGCATATTACTAACTTTGCTAATATGATTTATTGCCTGATATAACTTATTTGAAGTAACTCATTACCTCTACTTGTAACCTTTCATGAAAATATATTTTCTTTATCTTTGTGCACCTAGATGATGATTGGTTTTCTGGTGAGGCGGGAGGAGAAGAAGGAGGAAAATCAGGGAAAAAGAATCAGAAAAGGAGAGCCAAGGCAAAGAAGGGGAAAAGCAGCATTTCTCAAGAGAATCAAGTAGACCCAGTTGAAGAGCTCCGACAGCGGCTGGCAGATGCCAAAATCAATAAGGTAATTTTAGATTTCAGTGCGATGGTTCTGATATTTTTAGCCTTGTGATTGCATCTGTCGAGTCTTTGTCATTTTTCTCATGTTTTTTTGACATTATTACCATCACCTTATAAAAAACAGAAAGGAAAGAAAAAGATTCTCACATTTTGGGGTTGCCTTTTCACTTTAAAAATATCTGGAGAAAAAAGGGGGGTTCCCCTGTTCACTACAAGAGGGTGAAAACAAATTTTAGGAAGGGGGTATGGCAGGGGTCACATAAGCCCCTCATCACCCATAGATTTTATGGGCCTGTACATACTGACAGTTTATATTTTACGCTAGCTCAAGTGAATCACTGCTGTTGTCAAAACAAAATGTAACATACCTGTGTTAAGCATGAAATCACACTAGTAGAAGTGTTTTAAACATTTTTGATGAGTTATGTTGATGACTGTGTTTTCTTTCTCTTACTGGTATTTTACTTGAACTTCTTGAAGGACCACACACTTGCAGGAAAACTGAGACAACAACTTTGGATTGTGCAAGACTTAGCTGCTGGAGTGAAGTGAGTGCAGAATTGTAACCCTAACATGTGTTCTTTTACACAGTTTGATTATAATAATGATAATAATAATAGTGGGTTCTGGTATTTATTTATTTATTTATGTTTGTTTCATTCACCTAGGGTAACCCCATTAGAGAGTAAAACACTCTTGTACTTGGGGGCTTACGGTATAGCGCTCATGTCTGTCAAACTTGACACTTCTGGCTCTATTTTAAATTGATCTTTAAACTTGAAGAGTGTGTTGAGTTCTGTCAAAGATTCCTTTTTAAATTGAGCTTTCTCATGCTCTTAGTCTTTTTATTTCCATGTGAAAAAATAGCAATAATGACACATGAAAAGTAATACTTTTGAAATGCCCTCATATTCCAAGTATGACTAGGATTAATGAAAAACTCTGGACAGATTTGTGACCCTGATTTGTACGTCCCTTGAGAGATCAATGCCAGTAAATGGTGAGAGCAAACAGTGGCATGAATGACCTTCCATAGTTAAGTCCAACTTTAAGTCGATCTTAGTCTTTGTGAAATACTCCCCAGGAGTGTGTTGAGCCATATTATTTCAGATTCAGAATCAGAACCAGATCGCCTTTAACCCATTACCTACTGGAACCAGATGGTCCCTGTGTTAAGCCTATGCAAAATATTGCAAATGAGAGAATTCAGGAGTCAGCGGGTTATTAATGAATCTTCTTATCATTCAATTTTACAGACCGAAAGTAGACCAAGATGATAAAGATGGACAGGCCATGGTGGAGGAATTTGAGAGGACTGGTATCATATCTCTTCCATCCAACGATGCAGCTAACCCTGCTAACAAAGCAGAAGAAAAGGCTTCCAAATCTGAACCAGTCTTCTTCACTCCCGTAGCTGGCGGTGCGGTGGTAGAAGATAAGCAATTCAAAAACTTGAAAAAGAAATTGAAGCAGATTGAGACACTCAAGGAAAAACAGAAGAAAGGAGAGAAATTAGAATCCAATCAGGTTTGTGCAGACTTCGACAATGTAACTAATGTGTGTTGAAATGTTACCCCCAGTTTTATTGGTTATCATTCTTATCTCGCCTCTTTTCCTGAAACCTTTTCCTTCATCACCTCCTTCCGTTTGATTCATATTCTATGACAGTATTTCTATTTCTATAACTGTATTTCTATCAAATTTCTATATATTGAGGATTCAGTGACACAGACCTAACTCCATATTTTGCCAAAAATGAGTATTTGATATCAAAATGTTCAGAAAAATGTGGGCTTTCCAGGAAACACAAAGACTTAACTCCACCCAAGACCCCATTGAAGTCGATGGCTAGTGAAACGTAGACTTAACTCTTTAGGGCCCAAGTGCTCAGTGACACATAAACCACTTTTTCTCAGAATGGCCAAAATGGAGTTGCGTCTTTGTGTCACTGACCCCTCGATATGATCTTTTCATTTTACCGTATACCAGTAAAATTAATTAAAGGTAAAACAAAGTTTTGGTATGGGGTCATGAATTTGGTTGAAATGAACATATTGGAAGCATATGCGATCCTACAATATTCAGTGATCGTTGTCGCAGTTGAAATCGAGTCTAAAGTGATGAAATTTAATTTAGCTATCCAGCAATGTTCTTTGAATAAAATCGACCAATTTGCTATTACTATTTAGAATATATATATATCACAACTACATATTCTGAGATTTTCATGGTCGCAGCTACCATCGTATGATCGTAGGCGCTATTTTAAATTTATCAAAATTTACAGGGAGTAACGGTAAATTTATATATTCAATTTTTATCGAAAGCAGAAGTGTTTTAGGGGCTAAATTTTTAGTGCTTATAATACATCCATAGGGGCATCCAGATATATCAAAATTGTAAAGAATCACTATCCTGCCAATTTTCAAAATTTGCCAAAACTTTGTAATACCTTTAACTCTATTTCACATTTGATATATAAATTTGTTGTTTACATCAACAGTTTTTTTTTTTTATTGTACCTTGGTCTTGTTGCATAAAACTTACAACTGGTGGTAAACTTGCTATTAATGGTAATTACCATGGCTACATCACTCAACAGCCAATCAAATAAAGGTTTACATTGAAGTTACCATCAATGGTAAGTTTTTTTGCAACAGGGCCATTGAAGGAAAGTTTAACCAACTGTACACAACCCCTCAAAAAAAGAAGCAATTGTTGATTTCGTTTTCTAACTCTGTTTTGCAGTTGGAGAAGATCAAATCCGAGGCTTCCGTCCGCAAAGAAATCCAGGAGACAGAGGAGCTCATCAGTAGACTTTCTGCTGAAATCAAGAGTTGACAACAGTTCATCTGTGTTGAGAAGCTACAAATTACCTCATATTGATGGGGGAACTGCCTTCCATGTTTTGTGGAGCCCCTGCCTTATCGAACAAGCATTACAAGACTGCTGGCTGAGATACTTCACGTTGCACGTTTTCACTACCATGTGAAGCAACAAGGAGGATCAAATCAAACCTTGACTTATGTGAGCATTGCTTGAGGAAGAGATAACATTCAGAGTTCAAAATGCAACAGGCCATTGTAGTTGCGATCAGGACATGTACATGCATTTAGTTTATACATTTCCATTTAGATAGAGAGGTATATCGGCAATACAGTTTATTGCTATCATGGAATGCAACAATTATTTTATTAGAAGCAGCATTTAAAGAGAAAATAAAAATGAGAATATTTTCCTTATTTCATTGCCTCTTTATGAAAATTAAATGTAGATTAATAATCTGTATTGAATTATCATATTCTCTGTATGTTTAATACAAGAGCCATCAGGTTCCCCTAGGCAATGGGTTAAATGAATAAAATACCTTTACAGTAAGTGTTTTGAATTAATGCAAAATTCATATCTTGCCCCAATATCCTACAGAAAAAAATCCTCTGTGTGGCCATGCCTTGAACCATAATGCATGGCTCTACAGAGGATTTTTTCCTCTTGGGGACTGGGAGAAAATGCAATGAATTATTGATAATTTATTGCATTTTCTTTTTTTTTGTATTTGTGGGGGCGGCCCCGTACCCTAGCCCCCACTGCATACATTACAGCCATGATTCAGTAGCTAAGCAATGGCCTCGTTACTGTGAGCCCCCAGGATCAAAACCGTGTCGATCAGCTATATTAGTGCCCTTTTGTGAGGCATTAATCCTCATTACTGTCAGTTATGACTTAAGGACGTAAGTCCCCTAGTTGATTAGCATAGTAGCACACACATGCTTTAGCAGTCACGCAAAACAAACATTGCAAAATAGTATTCAATAAAATCTGAGAATGTGTACTATTATTTAGATCTATTAGGAATAAATCATCATTGTCTAAATCATTCCATAAATTGGGGTAAAAATAATTATTCCACCTTTATGACCAACAGTGTAGTTGACTTTTGTTTGTCTCGATTTTGTTTGCTTGTATTTTGGAATCATTTCCATAATGAATGTTCAGTGGATTATACATTAAAAATTTCATCATGTTACAAGGACATTTTTGCTTTTTGTATTTTAAGATGTATTGCACAAACCTGCCTTGAACTGAAATAGGTTAATTGACCTGGTCATTTGTAAAAATTTGTACAAGTTCATTGAAATAAAGAAATTATTACAATGTAAATTGCACTTGTTTCATTATTCTGGATCAATTCATATTTAACAAAATGCAAACTTTGGATTTGATTATCTTTTGCATAATGATATAGAGTAACATCTTTTATATGCACAATATTGTCCATTACTGAAACAAGATACTGGTACTAGATATGTTCTATGAATGGGAGAACTTTCATTTTGACCAAAATTTAAATGTGCCTTTTCCTTAAATTAACAATCAACATGATGGGGGGGGGGGGTTGAGCAAGAGGGAGGGGGTGGAGGGGGAGGTATGTAGACTATTGGATGAGAAAAAGAAAGAGACATCGGGGTGAGAGGTGGGAGAGAGAGAATTAGAAACATATGGACGAGAAATAAATAGAGAGGATTAGGAAATAGACTAGTCTATTAACATATTCAAAATTTATAGATGTTTCTTTCATAGGGACCTAGTGACATGTTATCATATTCTCCTGTGAATGAACTACAATACTTGGATTTCAGTTTGAATATGTTATTTGTTGCTATGTCAGGCAAGCTTTGTGCAGGCTTTAAAGGTTTAGACCAGTTCTGGTCATGCGATTGCATTGTGAAAGAAACGTTGTGGAATCGATTAGAAAAGGTTGATCATCTAGCATATAAGTACTGGTGTGTACTGCAAGGTTCTGGAATCATCAAAATGATAAGAAATTTGGCCCAGTCTTGGTAAAGTTACAAGCACAGTACACAGAAAGATGTATATGGGACTACCCACACGTACATTTCATATTATATATTATATTTCCTTCAATAATGAATTATCAACAAATGTAAATTCTGAAGATTTGTGACCATGATTTGCATGTCCTTTGAAAGACCAATGCCAGTAAATGGTGAGAGCAAACAGTGGCATGATCGACCTGCCATAGTTAAGTCCAACTTAAAGCTGATCTTAGTCTTTGTGAAACACTCCCCAAGCTATCAAAAAATAACACAAGTTTCAAGAAGAAAGATGTATGAAGGGAAAGAGGAAAATGAATTCTAATCTGGAAATTGCACTAGAAGAAATACAAAAAACTTGCTCTGATCCAATGACAAAAGACACTAATCATATAATTTGCTTTGAAAGTGTTATTTATTAAAGCAATAACTGTTGGAAGCATATGGGTAGAAGCAATACAAACATTTATATAAACATACAATTTGTCGAGTCGAAGGGTGAGCAGAAATACAACATGAATATCAACAAAAAAAGTGCAAGTTATCAAACAGCAAAATCACTATTACTTCTGCATTGGAATGCTTACAGAAGTAAGAAATGAAAGTATTTTGCGTGACTGGCGTGTGTTATATATTTCACTTGCATCTATCATTAATTAATGTAAATTCCTAATACATACATTCTATAACATAACAGTGTACATTGTATTGCCCCCATACGGCTGTACTTTATAATTACAGTACGATTCTCATTTCACTAAATATTATTAACTCCTTGTATAGCATAAATGATATAAATCATACAATATATTTGCAATTAATCATGAATTGTAGTTGAGGTATCGAACACTGCATTACTAGCACATCCTGGCTTTTTAATTGATGGTTTACAAATAAAACAATGAAATATAATCTGAAGCACCACAAATGATGATTGCACATAAACTATTACAGAAAATCTGATGAAGAATAAGATTGCATTGATAAAGCAACAATGCACATATTTTAATACAATGTGTCAATACTATGTTATATTTTTTCTTTTTTAAAGATGGAAAATAAATTGAAATTGAAATTGAATTGAAATTGAAATGCAGGTGGATAATTCATGAGGTAATATCCTAAAACAATATTTATCCATGCGGTAGTTTTGAAAAAATGTTTGGATTCCATAGCTTACTATAGAAGCAGAAAAATTATGAATTCACAATGATGATTATGCATGTACATGATTTACCATCCCTTTCGCTACAATCTTTCCAGATTTTGGGGTTTGGATCAATAACTTGTGATTCAGAGCCCTAAAATATGCCAGTACAGTAGTAGAAAGGGCCAAAATGTATGCACACACTCACTATGAATATGACGGACAAAGAAAGTGGACAAAATATACAGTTCCTCAGGTAGACAAAGGAACATCCCTTCACTGCTCTTATGTAAAAATGTGTAGAACAGGTGAATATGCACGTGACACCTGTTCTACACATTTTTACATAATAGCAGTGAATAGATGTTACTTTGTCTACCTGAGAAACTGTATATTTTGTCCGCTTTCTTTGTCTGTCATGTTCCTAGTTACTGCCTCCATTTTTGTTCCATGACTATATTGCATGTGGTGCTAGGAATTTTAAGCAGGAAAACAAGCTATAAATTCTTTAAATTTGCAACACAATGAGAGATTTAAAATCATTGTTAGACAAATTTTGTTGATAACAGATTTCCTTCTTTAATTCTGCTTTCTTGTTGGGGTCATAGGTCATTAGAACATAGCAACCATACATACAACAAAAGATGCATACTAAAACCAATTTCCGGAATTAAGAAGGAAATCACAAACAAGTTATACAATAAAGAATCCATTCCAAAAGTAGCATGGGGTATACAATGTTAAGAACAAATTTCCTCAATTACTTGTGGGGAGGATATTGCATATGATAACTTTACTGGGAAGCGTAATTCTCATAGATTCATTATATATATATATATCTAAATAGGCCAACATCCAGTTTTTCTCAGTAAATAAATGAAATTGCATACACCTTTACTGAAAATACTTGAAAATATTTGTCCTCTTGTTGATAAAATGTAACGCAGATTAATGCCTTACCAATGCGTACGAGCGCATTGATTTCGTTTCGAACCTGGGACCTCTCGGTTAAAAGACCATTGCTCTCCCAGTGAGCCATCACGCCTCCTTTTTTAAGCACAAACTATTTTTATTTCAGGGATATGAAGTTATTCTAATAAAAGGATAACAGGCAGCAGCAGATGTAGTACCAGAGCTTTATTAATAGTACATATAATCAGAATGGTAATATAACAATGAGAAGAAAATATACCTTGACCAAAGAGAATAAGAGAATAATAACAATTTCACATATATATATATATATATTTATATATATATATATATATATATATATGGAATGTCAAATTTTACTACATATTAATAATATGTTCATAGAGCTTTCAAATTGGCAAGATTACAGAGAAAAACATGTTCATAAGAGGCAAAATTATGGAATTGTAGCTTATAATATTTATCATACAAACCATAAACAAACTGAAATATACACTTTTGTTATATATGAACATTATAGGAGCAAGATAAAGGAAATATTTTGTGTCTTTAATAGGTTGGAAGTGATTTAACTGTATTTTTCTACAATTTCAAGTAAATCCTATTACTAAGATGAACAATAAAACAATACTTTCAACAGAGAAACAGCCTCTCTTACCCAATAAATATATAAACACGTCATTTAATTATGTTTCACTGCATTATTGCTTTCAGTATATGACCTTTAACTCAGTTGAACGGTATACTATGGGACAATAACACCCCCCCCCCCCCAACAAAAACAAAACAAAACAGCACATACTGCTACTAGCTGGGCTTGAATGTACATAATTGATTCATCAAGATTGAAGCAAAACATAACATAAAGCCCATCCGATATATCTAAACTATTCTTTTTATCTTTTTTAAAGAAAGAAAATATATAGTAAAGCTAATATGACATGTTTCCATGTACGCTTTAACATGTACAACTGAATATACCTGAGGGCTACTAATGAGAACATGTTCAAAACAGATATCGAGGCTGATACAGGGGCCAATAAGTATTAATCAATTTGTCTGCATGCTGTTCTTATAACAGTTATACCTTTTCCATATTTCATTTCAATGTCAGGGTTCAAATGTTAGCAGTCTAAAAACCTGAACAGAGCTAAAGATATAGTTGATAGAGTAACATTTAAAAAAAAAAAAAAAACCAAATTATACCAATCAATATACTATCCTCAAAGTACGAATCTATAGCAATGCGATATATTTCCAGAACAAAATTTAAGGAAAACAGAACAAAGTCCTCCAACAAAAATGAGAATAATTATAGAGTAATTGTACATAGCCCTCAAAAATATATATAGCAATATAGCCAAATGATATATTCCTAAAAAATAAACGAAATTGACATTTTCATCACATTGTTTCTGATATGTACTTTAAAAACAATGCAAAATATGGCAAAGATGAACATTCTTCAAATCATAGTAACTGAATATATTCAAAAATATATTTCATTTGTAGTTATAGCACAAAACAAGCATACCGGTACACAAATTGCATAAAATATAACATCCAAATCCCAAAATAACAATTCTGATTCTTTAATCCCTATTATACACAGGAAAAGGTTATAATGCAATGCCAACAACAACAAACACCCCCAAAAAAAATCAGTTTAAAAACCAATTAAGATGATAGTACACACCCTCCGTTCCCTGGGGAGGAAAGATTAATTGTGCTATGCAAGAGAATGGATGTATTATGTGAGGTTTTGCATTGATTGAATTGAAAAGAAATGGACTTAATCTTGCTGAGAAATCACATGCTCTGCACACGGTAATGGGTATGTGGGACTTCACACACAACAATGGGTAACGTGGAAAGGTCCGGTTCAAACTTTTCAGCTATTTTTTGTCAAATTTCAAACAGGAGGGCATCTTGAAGGGATTGAGTATCTTTGTCTCAGATTCTAAACAAAATCCTGAATTTAGCTCATGCTGCAATCATAATGATAAACCTTTAAGTCAGTCAGGAATCCCATGACTTTTACAAGATGAGCGCCTGTCTGATTATTAAGATATTTTTGATTGGAAATCAAAATTTCAAAAACCGTTTTCCTAATGGTTTTTGTAAGTCTATTGGGGAAAATGAGTATGGTAAAACCGGTCACTCGAACAATTTTTACTTTTTTGAGGCACTTCATGATAATTTTGTAGGGCTTCAATATTACACCATACCACAGACACTGATAACATGTAGGGCCATGCATCCCAGATTTGTAAAACTGGAAACATTGTAAAACTGGAAACATTGCTAAACAATGCCTTTAATAATAGCAATCCTTCTCAGGGGACATTTCTACTATGATATTCTTCCAAACTTGCAAAAGGAAAGAGAAAGTTCCGTCACAAATCATCTTTCATCTTTAACCAAACTAATCCAAACAGCAAAATCAAAAGGGTCTCCCCTATTTCTAAGCACTTGGTGATAACAAATTATACTTCACAACTTTCAATCAAAGCACTGCAAATTCTCACTGGACAAAATGGCCAAATATGTACATCTCTTCGCAGAAAAATATTAACGGTGCAATTGAACATTGTCGCAAGTCAAACATACAATGGATGGAATTCAAAATAAATCTGTACCGTAATATGCAAACGTGCAAATTTGTTGTAAAATGTCCATAGTCTGTACACAGAAGGACACGCATAACAAGCTATTGCTGGAGTGACACACACAATGATTGTACAAAAATTTGACTTTGCTAATTCACCAAACGGCTAAACTGACGTCAAAAAACTTTGTGCTAGAAACCATTGCATCCTACATGACCAAAGAGTATGATCATTCGATGCCCGCAAAGAGCTCTTATGGCATTAACAATAGATTTTACCGCTTTCTTGCAAAAAACCACCAATATGCAGCTAACTACGTACATAACAATACTCCTAAATACTATCTAGCGATGCAACTATCGCGAGAAAAAGGCTACGATGCTTTACTACATGAACAAATCTATCCTAACATAATCCAGCAATTACATGATCCATACAGCACTGACTCTATTCACTATAAGCATCTATTGACTATATCTAATTTCACATCTATGCTTTCGCTTTCTAATAGCTCACTAGACTCCGAACAGTACGGACTAGTATGACTACACGTTACTGACTACCGCAATACACTTTGTAAGCCATTCAGTACATACACAAGTGCCTATTTGATCTATAAAGCTTTTTTTATCATTTCTTTTAATATTTCAACAGTTTTTTTTACAAATATGAAAGCACTTTCCACTGAATCAACTATAAAAACAGACATGTATTGCTTTGTTCGACAAATGTGCAGCAACTGTGTAGGTACATGTAGTACAAAAAGCAATCTTTCCTATGGTATCTTCAAAGCCGCTTAACTTTGTCTGATTTTCAATTTCTGTGAGCAAGCGGACATAAAAGTCCTGCATATTGATTCATACCACATCCAAAATGGAGCATGTGTAGGTTGTACAAAAAGGACTTCTACCTATCTTCAAAGATCTTCATCTTCTATGAGCAAGCGAACTTTTTTTAGACATTTCGACAAATGGAAAAGATGTGTAGGTTGTACAAAAAAAACCTATCTATCTTCAAAGCATTATATTTTCTTCAGATTTTCAATTCTTATGAATAAGCGGACATTACAGTCCTGTACATTTAAACTACAGCACAGATGGAACAAATATGTATGTAGTACAAAGATCACTTTTACCTATCATCTAAGCAATTTATTTTCTTATGATTTTCATTTTTCTACAAGCGAGCGGAGGTGACGGTCCTCCACATTTATGCTACAGCATAACTGTATTAAACAAGACAGCCGCCATGAGAGCTTCTACAAATGTCCGTGTGAAACATCCATGATTCTACATTGATATCAAACTACACCAACAACGACTTCAATACTGGTAAAGGTGCACCAATCGCAAACAGCATTTCAAGCTTGCCACAGCCTAAAACACACACTGAATAAAGACCGTATTCACAAAGGATAGCGAACACGGGACAACACATGTAGTTCAGCCACGTAAAGAATGATGGCCTGTGGAATACTCTGCATGATCCCAACAAATAGGATCTGACAAAGCTATATCTAACATCTACACTGCAACTAACACAAATACAGAGAGGAGAAATTTTCTTTTGTGTAATTCTCACCACAATTCAGGTTGTGATGTTTTTTGTAATTTAGATCATGATGCATGAAAACAATTTCACTACATAATGCACCCTACAATTCAATGCAAAGTACATATTCTTGTTTCCTTTCCAAAGAGAGCACCATTTTGCTTGCACTTAGGTATTGACTTATCCAAAGCTATAGAGAACCTGTCTTAGTGACCACAATCCAACCTTCTATACAGGTCACCTGTCTAAAGTGGTCATATTATCTCTCATGAGGCCGAAAAGTATGTTGTAGAACCTGTCTATAAAGACCACTTATCTATGTATATAGTGGTCATCTACGTGTATTTTGTAACACTCTGAGAAGAACTACATGTAGTAGAACCTGTCTATAAAGGCCACCTGTCTACATTGGCCACACTTTTTGTTTCCCTTGGATGGCCTTCGTATACAGATATGACACAAGTTTTCTATCACCTCTCAAGTAATTGCAGTTCATTATTTTAATATCATTATCATTACTTTTGCAATATGTACAGCCACCTACAGTGAATGAAGATTCTAATGCTAACAATTTCTATGTTCTATTCTTTTTGTTTATCCAGAGTTTAGCATCTCTGTTGCGTGAGCTATTTATTAAGTCTCTATCAGACGGTCCAATAACATGATGGTCAATAACATGATGGTCAAATAACATGATGGTCAAATAAATAGCAAGAGTACCAATGTTGGGTTCTGGTCAGCTTTTAGAAAACTGACCGCTCCCGCAATACATGGAATGAACAAGGCAAGGTAAAACTAGACAAATGTGTATGCAAACTAGAGCCATCTTATAGAGAGAGTTTGGCCAACTTGATTCCACTTGGTCACAACTGTAAACTGAATATAATTCAGCCTGTGGACTGCCAGGTTCAGAATTTTTAATAAACCAAACAACTTGATTATAAATACACTAACATGGCAGATATATATGGTACACACCATGGGCCAGTTTCATAAAACTTGTTATCTATGACAACTGCTAAATTTCTATGACAAATTTGCTCTCAGCCAATCAGATGCCAGGATTTCAGTAGCTTATAACGGTAGCTTGTAACTTGTTATTGATATCAAGTGTTATGAAACAGGGCCAATATGTTGTGCCCAATGTGGACCGGGGTTGGCCAAACTCTCCTAATCAACAGCACCTTATGCAACGCGGCTGCAGCGCCCTCTCTTGGTGGTTACGCTGTCACACCGTTGAGTGGATTCCTCCCGTCCTCCATGGTGATGACCTCGATGACATCACAGTTGAACGACCTTTCCTTGGCAAGGCCGGGGTTCTCAAAGGTCAAGCAGTGCGTGCTGAATCCCTTTGTCAGGTCTCCTTCGATCAGGATGCCGTCTCCGTCGCTAATAAAGAAAAGAAGGCCGATGAAATACAAGTAATTATTGTGAGTTCTCATCTCTACAGACATATTCAGAAGAAAAAAATGGTAGTTGAATAACAAGTAATTTTTGTTAGTTCTCATCTCTAAGATTTGAATAATAAGAATTGAAGAAGATTTTTTTTTATTACAATATTACAGAAATATTAACGAAAAAGATGGTTGATGAAATACAACTAATCTTTGGTAAGTTCTCATCTCTAAGGTTTAAAAAAAAAATATTAAAGGAGCTTTTCATTGATTACAATATTACAGAGATATATTCAGAATGTTAACACCAGAGCCTTATTAACAACAACAAAAGTTGCAGATACAATACACTGTATCATTTGCTGACTCTGATCAAATCTGTTATAGGATTGTGCAGTTGCTATGGAAACATTTCAAGAAGATGTACATCAAAATTATAATAATAATGATTACATTTATAGGGCGCTTAAAGCAGGCGTTTCTAAGCGCACAGGTGGTACTGTGTAACTCAGTATAATTATTCAACATGTACAACAGCTTAAAAGCAACAAAATAAAACAAAATATTACTACTTGTGTGCGCCTCCAGTATAATATAATTGATTAAAAAGGTGGGTTTTAAGAAGGGTTTTGAATGATTCAATGGATGGGGCATTTTGAATATGGGGTGGGAGTTTGTTTCAGAGGGCAGGGGCAATCAATGAAAAGGCAGGGTCACCATAACGGGTTTTTGTACGTGGGCCGTGAATTAATTGCATGGAGAAAGATGAACGGAGGGATCAGTTGAGGAGGATCGAAGGTAGACTAGGTCATGAAGATATTTAGGGGCAAGGTTATGTGTTATTACTTACTGTTTTTGGTTAAATGTCACTTATAGAAAGCCTCAGAAGCTTAAATAAAAAGAATATAGTTGGCATAACTCTGATATTTTATGGTAATTAAGAATAGATTTCAAAGTTACATGAAATCTGATAGCATCAATCCGATGGCATAATAAATAAAAACTATCCTATAGCAAAACATATGAAAATAAATCCAGGATAATATTAACTGACAATCATCGAAATCAAGCCCACAATAATGATTTGTTTTTTCTGCTCTGAAAGTGATAACTTACCCTCCTCCGACAGCAACCAGACTCGGTGACGCTCTCATGAACATCTCGTTCATCTTCTTCTTCAAGTCTCCTCCACTGGCTCCACTGGCTCTCCTCTCTCCATCCTCCCCTTCTACTCCTCCATTCTCCTTCACCTCCTCCTCCTCCTTCTTCTCCTTCTTCTCCTCCTCCTTCTCCTCTTCCTTCTCCTCTTCCTTGGGAAGGATGCCCACCCAGGGGTACTTCTTCTCCTCCGGAGCAAAGCTAAAGAGGAAGCTTTCACCGGTGCCAAAGTAGATGCCCTTGTGGTCTCCGTCGTTTCTCGTGCTCCAGCTCGATGATAGGAAGGCTCCAAAGATCTGCAGGGGGCACAGAAAAGAAGATTTATATTAAGTTGTCCAAGAAGGAGAAAAAAATTGTTAATGTCGTTGTCATCATTACCGTCCTCCTCATCGTCATTAAAATCATCACAGCCATTACTACTAATTTCATTATCCTTGTCCTTATCGTTAATACCATCATCGTCATCATCATCATCATCACCATAATCATCATCATAATCATCATCACCATCACCATCACCATCATCATCACCATCACCACCACCATCACTATCACCAGCACCATCACTATCACCATCACCATCACCATTACCATCGTCATCATCATCATCACCATCACCATCACCATCACCATCACCATCATCACCATCACCATCACCATCATCATCATCATCATCAGCATCACCATCACCATCCTCATCATCATCATCACCATCAGCATCAGCATCATCACCATCACCATCATCATCACTATCACCAGCACCATCACTATCACCATCACCATCATCATCATCACCATCACCATTACCATCACCATCATTATCATCACCATCACCATCACCATCCTCATCATCATCATCACCATCAGCATCAGCATCATCACCATCACCACCACCATCACTATCACCAGCACCATCACTATCACTATCACTATCACCATCACCATCACCATCACCATCATCACCATCACCATCACCATCACCATCACCATCCTCATCTTCATCATCACCATCAGCATCAGCATCATCACCATCACCACCACCATCACTATCACCAGCACCATCACTATCACCATCAGTATCACCATCAGTATCACCATCACTATCACCAGCACCATCACTATCACCATCAGTATCACCATCACTATCACCAGCACCATCACTATCACCAGCACCATCACTATCACCATCACCATCATCATCATCACAATCACCATTACCATCACCATCATTATCATCACCATCACCATCACCATCCTCATCATCAGCATCAGCATCAGCATCATCACCATCACCACCACCATCACTATCACCAGCACCATCACTATCACCAGCACCATCACTATCACCATCACCATCACCATCACCATCACCATCATCATCATCATCATCACCATCACCATCACCATCACCATCACCATCCTTATCATCATCATCACCATCAGCATCAGCATCATCACCATCACCACCACCATCACTATCACCAGCACCATCACTATCACCATCACTATCACCATCACTATCACCAGCACCATCACTATCACCATCACCATCACCATCACCATCACCATCACCATCATCATCATCATCATCATCACCATCATCATCACCATCATCAGCATCAGCATCACCATCCTCATCATCATCATCACCATCACCACCATCACCACCATCAGCATCAGCATCATCATCGTCAAAATCATCATCACCATCACCATCACCATCACCATCGTCCTCGACATAGTCATCCTTCTCCTCCTCATCATCACCATCACCTTTGTTGTCCCACAATTCTCTACTTCATACCACATCTGTGGAGGTGCCATAGTAAAGTGGTCAAAGCACTTGACTTGAAATGCAAAGGTCGTGGGTTTGATCATGACACGGCACTAATGTCCTTAGGCAAGGCATTAATCTACATGTACATTTGCCACTCCATACCCAGGAGAAAATGGAGACTTGGTAGGATGACAAAAGCCTTTGTGTCAGTGGTTACCATACGCCCCTGCATAAAACAATACAGTAGGAATAATTCCCGAGAAGAGGAGATGGTGCACATTGTGCATGAATGAATCTAATCACTAGGGTAATATTATATGTAAAGCGATTTAACCCTTACTGTACTGGGCTATTTCGAGCACTCTCTGACTGGGGGGGGGGGGGGGGGGGGGGGGGGGGGGGGCTTCTATTGGTAAATCAATAATGATCAATCAGAGAGTGCTCGAAATGATCTCGGCCGTCGAATGTCCGATGAACGCGAAAATTTGCATGTTTGTAGATATTTATGTAAGGAACATGATGGTATAATTAGTTTTTCGCTAATATGCAAATTTTTGTCGTTATAGCCTAATTAATTATGCAAAATGCTAATTTTATGCATTTTACAGAAAACTCTACATATTTGTCCGTAAACTTGTGAAGAATCTTGAAAATGTATTGAATAAATGTTTCCTTCATCTCAAATTCATGAGTTTTCATTATTTTTACGATATTCGAAAATCAATAGGTTAATTTGCATAAATTATGAATATGCATTCATGAATATCAAATCCGGAAATATATATCGGGAACTAGAATCCTTACAAACATCGGCAGACTCCACTTTTTGAATGTTGTCACTCATTATTCAAATGAAACTTCTTTTCTATCACAAAAAAGTTATTTGAAGTAATTAATAATGATAATTTATGCAAATTTGATGCGATTTTCAACTATTTATTTTCTTATGTATTTTATTGTTTTTTATTTCTTATTATATCTATTGTTTTATTTCTAATGTATTCTTTTGTTCTGAAATACATCAAGTTACTTTGAGAAACATATAAAAGCAATTTGATATCAATTCATAGCTTCACATTTCTGCTTGTACATGAATATAAGCAATTATAGCACTTTTTTGATGACATGCGCATACTAATTGTTATGTAACATCTTACAGGAATATCCGATTTTGACGAAAATGGTATCAAAATGTGCGTAAAACTTGAGGAAAAAAAGTCATGAAACGACAATTCAAAATTCCAAGCGGTTGCGGTGAAATCTCCGAAAATGTCGAAGGGGGGGGCCTCCCAGGCCCCCCCCCCCCAGTACAGTAAGGGTTAATAGAGACAGTATTTCGTATTAAGTGCTATATAAATCTAGATTATTATTATCTGAAGCAACAGTCATCTAATAATGGAGTGCCACCCACCTCTTGGTCCGATGTCTTGATGAGTAGAATGGTCGGCTCACAGTATTCACATCGTGTGTAGAAGGTCGTCAATGAGAAACCATGCTCCTGCGTAGTGAAGACCAAGCTAGGCTGGTAGATACTAAACCGAGTTGGTATCCAGCTCCAGATAGTATGCAGCTATAAAAATGATAAACAAAAATCATTACATATTCGTAAAATGGAATAAACAATTAAAGACTAGATCATTCATACCCTTACCAATTTTTGTACTTATTTAAGTATGCGAAAAATTAATTTGCCCTAATTAATATATGAAATCTTATATCTAAAAGTATTCATCGAAAAACACAAAAACCTTATCAAATTTACATACATGTAGGGTGTGAATAATTTAGTTATTAACTGTATATAAGTAAGTATTATCTCACTCTCATGAATCTTAAGTCTAAAGCCACCAAAAGTGATAATTGCAAGTTAAATGTAGATTGTACATTCATGTATTGTCTTTTACAAGCAAGAAGGGTGTTAACTCTGCGTTAAAGACCAACTATACTACTTGTAGCTACTTGCTCCCTCTATATAGCAAACAATGCCTAAGCAGTGACTGTTGGTACCCCATGATCCTCTTTTTCTTATGTTAATTGAGAGCTGATTTGATGAGAAAACCACCTGCCAGTGACCATGCGGGGAGGTCTAATCCCTCCTGGCCAAACTAGTACAGATGGGCTTTAATAGTGTTGAGCTACGCAATATTACATACCTGCTGGTGTGTGATGATAGATGAACTGATCTGGTTCAGCTTGGTGATGACACTGTTCTGTCTCCTGCTGGCAGCCCTGTATGGTGAGTTATCCTCTCGTAGAGTCTCTTTATGCTTGGTTTGGAACGTTCCTATCACGGACCGGGACAAGCCTCGGAACTGGAACCCAACCTAGAGAGACAGAACAAAATGAATTGATGCGGTTTAGTTTTGTGACGATCCCATCATTCTGTCTCCTGCTAATAGCCCTGTATGGCGAGTAAGCCTCGCATGAAATCTGTTGGTCTAGTACGTTCCTATCACGGACCGCGACAAGCCTCGGAACTGGAACCCTAGAAACCCTAGAAACACGGTTTTCAAAGACATTTAGTTTAAAACATGGTTGCGTTCAAGCGATTTCAAGCTATTTTTCGTCGGTCATAAAAATAAACTTGTCGCTAAAAATCGCTTGAACGCAAGGGATAACTCAATCATGATTCTATAACGTCATTATCGTGGCCTGCTTCCAGTTTGGTCGACAGTCGACTGTCAACAAATTTAGAAAGCATGTGGTGAAGTTGACCTATACTTCCTGGGTCAAACTGCGCAATGAACAGTGGCTGAGCTTGAAATGAGCGAGAATCAGCGTTGATGAAAAAGTGCTTGAAAGCTCTCCTGTAGTAACCATGTTTTTTAATGGCGTTTTGATTCTAGCTTCAAAAAATCACTTGAACGCACCCTTAGAAGGATAAAAAGAGGAGAAGCCCTCAACTTACAGTTAGGAGAGTGTTTGGGCTGACTGGAATGGACCGGACAAATTCTCTGATTGAAGCAGCCACACCATCGGGCGCCTCTGCAGTACCTGGGCAATTTGAAGAAAAACCAGAACAACACTTCAAGATAAAACATGTCTGCAAATCATCTACAGATAGGCCAAATGCATTACCGGTATTTCGTCAACTTTAAAACCAGACTTCTGCATGCATGAAATGTTTGCATCTTCCTGCGAGTGGTTAAAGGTATAGACCGGTAGTGGTAAAATTGCGGTTCAAGGGTTTTGGGTGCAAAATATCCATTCAATATTGTTTAAATATTGCCTTCAGAGGTTTAGATGGCAATACTTCAACCTAAATTCACAAAAAAGCTAAAATACATGCCCAAATGTTCAATGTTCAAGTGCATTCGCGATAGGGAGGGAGGGAGGGAAGGTCTTTACCTAACTATACTTTTGGGGAGCTATTGTAAACAAAGAGAAACACTGGCCAGAGTACTTTTTGTTTTTGCTTTAACCCTGTAATCTGTTGTTTCATGAACCAGCCCACCACATGCCCACTTTCGACACATTGTGGGTGCAGGGTGCTTGGGACCCTTTATGTGTTTGTAAAGCCCCTGGGTATCTCTGCACCAGGGTATTGGAAGAGTTACAGAGTAGGTCATTGTCTGGGATGTGATCACACACTTAACGGCAATGTCATGACTGTCCGCATGTCTGAAGCTCACGTGCATCCCAAGGTGTCATCATGGAATATTATTAAAGGGACTTATATGCTATACTGTTGCTCATAAAGTTGGAACATATTTTCTAACTTTTAATTATTATTATAATTTTTTTTTTAAATTTATTCATTTATCTTTTTCTTTTTTTTTTTTTTTTTTTTTTTGGGGGGGGGGGGGGGGGGGGGGGGGGGTCCAAGGTGAAATTTTAGGGCCCACATTCACCAAGCCCCAGATTGTGTCAATACCTGATGTATGTCAGATCTATTATAAAAAAGGCATCTGATATTAAAAAGTAGCATCGATAGTTTAAACTTGCTTGAACATGTATGTATATTTCATAAGTGTGTCATGAACTTTTATGTTGCATGTAAACATATAAATTACTGTGTCTGGGTTGTTCTAGTGTGAGTTTTGTCTGTACTATTGTTAGTGATCATGGAATATTATTAAAGGGACAATTCAGCTTCACCATCACCCATAAAGTTGGAACAAATTTTCTTATCTCATTTCTATCATAAATTATCATATCTATCCAGGCCAGATCGATATGATAATTTACCAAATATATAAATTAGTATGCGGTTTCCGGGCAAAATTTGTATCATCGCGTATTAGTCAAAACATATTCTTTCACATGATTGGTAATAAGAGCTTCCATTTCATTTTTTGAGAGGGGGGCGTTTCCAAAAGTGGTCTTTACCTTTAATAAAATTCCATGATCACATCGTGCGATGCACGTGAGCTTCACACGTGCCAACAGTCATGACATTGCCCTTACGTGCTTGATCATGTCCCTGACAATGACCTAAACTGTAACTCTTCAGATGGTGCAGAAAAAGCCAGGGGCTGTACAAACACATAAAGGGTCCAAGCACCCGCATTGTATCGGAAGTGGGCATGTGGTGGGCTCGTTCATGAATTGAAACAACAGATTACAGGGTAATTTTTTTTTTTTCTAAAGGTAAAGACCTTCCTTCCCTCCCTCCCTCCCCCACCCTCCATCCTCCCTCCCCCTCCCTCCCTCCCTCCCTCCCTCCCTCCCTCCCTCCCTCCCTCCCTCCCTCCCTCCCTCCCTCCCTCCCTCCCTCCCTCCCTCCCTCCCCTCCCTCCCTCCCTCCCTCCCTCCCTCCCTCCCTCCCTCCCTCCCTCCCTCCCTCCCTCCCTCCCTCTTCCACACCTCCAGTCTATCATAACTTCACTGTACCTTTATGTTTCTTGTAGAGCATGAGAATAGCTAGTCCTACTCTGTAGAAGATCTTCAATCCTTCTGATAGATAGCAGTCCATCACTCGGATCTAAAGTGAGCAGAAAGGTCAAAAGGTCAAAAAACAGACGATAATATATCAAATTCAAAGCACAACACTGACAAACGATTGTTATCCACAGGCTCATCTTTTCTTATTGAATAGAGTACCGGTACCGAAGCTGTGACATCATAAAAATCTATTTTTTTAATTTCTTCATTTTCTGAAAGAGCATCAAAAATAATGTCCAAATGTCAAAAAACCAATTGAATATATGAAGTATTGGCCGAGATATGACCATCTGAATAAATAGATTTCCTATAGGAACTCAGTGTTTAATATTGCTCTGGCTTGTAATGTTATGAACCAGAGCAATATAACACTGAGTTTTTTTAAAAATTCAAAATTCAAAAAATAGATTTTTGATGACGTCACACTTCACCACTTCCTTTCAATCTTGAAACACTGAGCCTTATGTCATGGAAACATCATAAAGTCAAATTATTTCAAACTGGCAACTCCTGTGGAATGAAAATGATGATGATAATAATATTAACATCTGTTTCTTAAAAAGCACTTTACCATGAACTGAAAAATGCTTACAGATTATCATTATCATGATAAATTGATAATGTTGGTGATGATAGTGATAATGATAAAATCTACTTCTGTTCAGCCTTTGTGATATAATTTTTTTATTTAAATCTACTTTTAGTTATGTGTGTGTGTAAAGTGATATGGTTGTTTTTGTTTTGTTTTCTTGGGGGGGGGGGACTTTTTTTAAGTGGAATGTTATTGTTAAAGTGGCCCAAACATGTTGACCAATGTGTACAGTGCTTCGTGCACACCGCTTGGAGTGGATGGGATTAACACTTTAAATTTAAATTTACAGATATAAATATTATATAGCCATTAAGTTGATTCAAGTCATAATTGAATACTTCTATTCTGTAAATAAAATAAAATAAAAGTAAACAACCTACAAGTGAATACATTCACAAATGTATCTAAGTATCTATTACAATCTCTTTGTTTCAAGTATTTCCTCATTATATCAATTACTTTAATGTTCTGAAACTTGATCCCCGGATAGCATACACAGACATATGAAGAGCTCGTATATAGATGGAAATAGTTGTTTTGTTTGGATCCTTACCAATGTTCTAATTAGATGATTGATTTGTGCACTTGTCTTCTTCCTCACTTGTTAGGGTTGACATATCTTTTCTCAGATTGTGTAAAACAACACGAAATGTATTTTCAATACAGTTGAATGACACTAGGTAAGTACAATCATTACAGCAGTATTTTTCACTGTTATGTATTTTTAAAGTATTTGTACATTTCTTCTCTCTCACTCTCTTTCTCTCTCCCTCTCTCTCTCTCCCTCTCCCACACTCCCTCTACCTCTCTCCCTCCCTCTCCCCTTCTCCCGTTTCTCCCTCTCCCTCTCCCCCTCTCTCCCTCCCTCTCCCCCTCTCTCCCTCCCTCTCCCCTCTCTACCTCTCTCCCTCCCTCTCCCCTTCTTATTGTTTCAATAAGCTGCAGATATATTCCCTTCCCTTTTCCTTGTCTTTTGTAGTTAAATGTGAGTATCGGTTCATGTATCCCTGTAATCTCCCTTTCCCTGTTTTAGCGTGTATTTGTGTTTTATAAACTTTACTTTAGTTAATTATGTCATTTTTAGTTTAAGGAGCCTTTCCACAACAAGCTCTGCTTTTCCATACGCTCCGCCACTTTATCTCTTAAGTTAAACTTAATGGACAATATTCTGAATAGTGTGTACCGGTATTGTATGTACATGTATAAAATAATCATTTTCAATATGTTGTTACACTCTTTGTAAAATGAGATATTGTGGAAACCAATAAACTATCTTCTCCCCTTTCTCCCTCTCTCCCTCTCCCCTTCTCTCCCTCACTCTCCCCCTCTCCCTCTCTACCTCTCTCCCTCCCTCTCACTCTCTCCCTCCCTCTCCCCTTCTCTCCTCTCCCCCTCTCTCCCTCACTCTCCCCCTCTCTCTCCCTCTCCCTCTCACTCTCTCCCTCCCTCTCCCCTTCTCTCCCTCACTATTGCACAAGCCACAAAGTCTGAAAGGAGAATGCTCACTTTTTACAGATGAATAATGAGAGATGTAATGCTGGAAAGATGAAGTAACTAGGGAACAATTTAAGTGTACCCATCAAAAAGCATTCCACACGTATGAACCTCTAAAATTACAATTTTCATCACTTTGTAGCCTGTTACGATTTCCTTTAAAATTGGAAGGCCAAGGTCCATAAAATAGTAAAATAAAAGTTTTTGGAAAGTAACTTTGACAGTTTAACAAAAAAGCATGCATGTTTTTCTCATAACATGCCAACTGTGAATCTATCATTTCCTTTGAATAACACATTTAAAAGTTTGTTTAACTACCGGTATGTAAAAGTGCATCTGTTTCAAATAGGAAGTTTCCATTTTGTCTCAGGGGTTAAAAAAACAACCATGTTCCTTTTGCATTTATGCAAGAATTAGTGCTCTGACATTTGCTCTGCTGACTGTTTCTCCCAGCAGGGTTTATTGTGCGAGAAGTATAGGATTAGGGTTGGGGTCGCAACTGGGTATTTAGGTTAAGTTGAGGTATTACAGGGGGAGCGATTGTCGCAGCAACAAGTGCCTTGTGGCAACTGAAAGAATACATTCACTTTGAAGGTCATAAATGTTCAACACAAGACTACAGAGGAATTTGTAATACATGATCTTAGAGGTGTTGAGGTCTAGTGGATAATATAGTTTGGATTATGGACCACATATGTCATGGTTCAGGTCCAATCTCCAGCATGAATATCCTTTGGCAAGATATCTGCCACTTTCTTCCCAGGGGCAGTAAATAGGTACATGGTAGAAAGTTATTTTCCTTGAATACTGTCAGATTCTTAGAACAACTGGGCTAAAGTCAGGGTAAAATTACTACTTTGTTTGCACTTGGTGTATCCCCTGGGATATGCTTTAATGTAATAAAAATAATAATAGCTCACATTTATAATATGCCTAATACTTTGTTTCTAGGCGCAGCACATATTATTACCCCAGAAAAAGTGCTGTATCAAAGACCTTTTTGGATTGGATTGGTAAAATCAAATGCATTGGCAATGGCAGCTAGGTTATAATAGCTATAAAAGTCAAGGGTACAACAAACGAATGAAACCGGAAACAATGAGTAGATGTGTCCCAGAACAGTCACTACCACCCCGGTATACACAAAGGGCTTCTCAGGAAGTTATCTTACAACACCACATGTGTAAACAGCTACGGTAATATTATTGATGAGAATGTCATACATGGACTTTATTTGAGTGCAGGCCCCTGCGGTTAGGTCATGGTGGCTTCATTGCAATTATATTGAATCAATTTTTAATGTATTGTATTTTAATGCACCTTTCTACCTTTTGTAAATTCAATTTGTTTCAGCCTTTTGATATGAACGTACGTTTTTGTAATCATGAGCCAGTTCAATTCGATTCCATACTTACAACATGTGAGAAAGGAAGATCCTCTAGTATCCACCAGATCCAGTCTTGGTAGATCTCAGCAACGTCTCCTTGCTTGATGAACATCTTGTGAGCTGATGCCTGGAGGATAGACAGAAGAACAAAAGATAGATGAAAAGAAGATAGATTCATAGGTATATCTTGTGAGCTGTTGCCTGGAGGATAGACAGAAGAACAAAAGATAGATGAAAAGAAGATAGATTCATAGGTATAATGAATACTGATCTTGTGAGCTGTTGCCTGGAGGATAGACAGAAGAACAAAAGACAGATGAAAAGAAGATAGATTCATAGGTATAATGAATACTGATCTTGTGAGCTGTTGCCTGGAGGATAGACAGAAGAACAAAAGACAGATGAAAAGAAGATAGATTCATAGGTATAATGAATACCGATCTTGTGAGCTGTTGCCTGGAGGATAGACAGAAGAACAAAAGACAGATGAAAAGAAGATAGATTCATAGGTATAATGAATACTGATCTTGTGAGCTGTTGCCTGGAGGATAGACAGAAGAACAAAAGACAGATGAAAAGAAGATAGATTCATAGGTATAATGAATACTGATCTTGTGAGCTGTTGCCTGGAGGATAGACAGAAGAACAAAAGATAGATGAAAAGAAGGTAGATTCATGAGTATAATGAATACTGATCTTGTGAGCTGATGCTCTTTCACTACTAAACAGTTGATTTAAATTATTCAGCAAAACAATTTCTGGAGAATGTTTTTAATAATTTTACCAGTTTTTATTTTCGGTAAATAGTATATTGCAGAATTAATTCTAAACATGTCTCTGTAGATGTAGAATTACCCTGCAAGTACTGGGTATTTCCCATATCAAAATCTTAAGTGTATGTGTATTGCATGTTATGCAAATCATTAAAACCATGACCGAAACTCGCTGACAAGAAACCTTTACTTTCCATAGTGGACATTGCTTAATGGCAGTCATCAATCCATTATCATATGAAAGTTTGCAAAAGTACGTTCACCCTTGAATGACATATAATCAACCCTGCCATATAGGGGCCACCTCTCTAGAAAGGCAACCTGTCTACAATGGTCATTTGTTGTGTTCCCTGGGGTCTTAATAAACAGGTTTGATGGTAGAAAAATTCTTTAAACAAAAATTTCATTACAACTCCTATCAAACTATATTTCACACACTTGATAGAAGAGTTCTGTAAGTACTACAAATATGTTCATCATATCCTTTCCAAAGTTCTCAGAGATCAGTCATGTTTTGCCAGTAGGGCGCTTTCGCAAACACGACGGAAGGCAAAGACGAAGGTAACGCCAGCGATAAAACAGTCTGCACATGCGCAAGCCAGAATTTTCTCTGTCCTGTTTATTTTCACGACCGTACGCAGCCATGATAGCGTTCGTTCCCTAAACACGACGGAAGAGCTGTATCGCCGTAATTCTCCCGTAGCTTTTACACCTTAGTCAGACTATGAATGGTATGTAAATAGTGTGCCTGAAAACAAGTCTCTGTAAAAAGTATGGAAATCCAATTTAAAAGAGCTCAAGACACATGCTTGTTATAATGTACTAGGACAGGGAACAGCTAAGCAGTATCTAAGGTCAATTTGAACTTTAGAAAAAGGACATACAGTACAGCAAAAAAAATAATTGATATTCAATTTGATATAGGAATATTAAATGGGCTAAAAGGATAATGTATTTGTCTAAACTAAAAATAATGACATCTGCAACTATGGTCAATTTGAGCTGAAACAAGACATGAAGTACACCCTAACTTAAAGAGGTCCTCTTTCAAAAATGCAAAGAGCCCAAGAAGGTGTTAAATCAGCTGTATGATGAGGGATCGCTCTCAAATGAACTCATGACATTTTTAGATGGATTGAAGCAATCATACTAAGAACCAAGCCCTTTTTTGTGTTGCTATAGCAACCACAATTGATGTGTTCAGCTGTAACTATGGTCAATTCGACCTGAAACGAGACATGAAGTACACCCTAATTTTGAAGAGGCTCTCTTTACATCTCAAGGAGCCCAAATGGTGTTTAATCGGCTGTATGATGAGGGATCACTCTCAAATGAACTCGTGACATTTTCAGATGGATTGAAGCAATGAAGCATTCATACCCAGGACTAGCCTTTTCATGTTGCTATGACAACAACAATTGATGCATTCAACTATTGCCAATTTGACCTAAAATAAGACAAGGAGACAGTACAATTCGATTTTTGAAGAGGCCCTTTTTATATTGCAAGGAGCCCCGATGGTGTCAAATCGGCTGTAAGATGAGGGGTTACTCTGGAATGACTCCGATGACACTTTGAGATGGATCAAAGCGTTGCAGCAATCACGGTTGATTATTAAAGCCCTTTAAAGATTACTCAAGTGGTTCTCATACCAATCACGAGTGCATACAGGGTATCATAACCCAACTTCACTCTGGACTCCATCTAATTTTGTTTATCATTCTTTATAAAAAGAAAAGAAAATGCATTTCATTTCTTCTTCTATTTTTTTTTTGGGGGGGGGGGAGAGGAAGCTGAAAGTACCCAATTTGCTTGGCCCAAATTCACGTATATGTATTTGCCCATTCAATGTTTGTATGAGACGCAGCTTGGCAGCTCTTGAAATATTCAAGAAAGCTCTACTCTGAATACTGAATAATATAGGTATCGTTAATATTGCATAGTTATTTGAGGGATCCACATTCTACAAGCTCTGCTTCTCCATTCCAGTTTTTTTACTCTAAAAAAAAAAAGCATAAGGTACAGCAAATGTATTCTTATTTGTACTTCAATTAATGATTTGCAAAATGCATTTTTTTTTTAATGTACAATGATTTATTTCTTGTCATAATTGTTTATATTAATTGTTCTGATGGAAATTAAAATAAACTGAAACTGAAACTACTTGTGATCTTTTTGGAGGTTATTATTCAAAGCTATAACTTTGCAAGTCTATAGAGTATTGCACACACATAAGATACAAAATCCATCTCCTTCGAGTCCCTCATTACCCAGGCTACAAGTGCTATACTAGTTTTGCACACTAAGAATCATCACATACAACACAAGGACAGAATATACATGTATGACACTTATTCAGCTTTCCTTCTCTGGTCAAAATCCATCAGAAAACAATGGCTAAACTGGAAGAGGAATTTACTTGTGTAACTTTACCCAATCAAGTCAATTTACACCGATAATTGGTGGTGAAAACACATATTCAGAGAATTCTAAAAGTGCCTGTCCGTTCCCAATTAGTAAAAGTCATTGTTAATAATCAACAACTTCCTAGCAAGGAAGCTAACCACTGTGGGTGGGTGATTAATGAAACTGTGTACGTGGAGTCTGAAAGTAAAAGCACACATCCAGGCCAGTTTCCACCGCAGAAACACTTAAAATGACATTTATTGCTGTAAATTATACCATCAACAGAAAGAGGATATAAACTACACTTGGCACTTTCAGATTAATCAAAAATTAGTTTTCCATATTTGTATTTATCATTGGGCCTGCCTTCATCAGCTTCAGTTTGCCAAATAACCCGCCATTTTAACTATTCCGATCACAAATTAACCAGTTAATTTGCGTCCTGATCTCATCAGCCCACGGTTGCGATTAGCGGGATATTTGGTTGAGAAAATATCCCAAGAAATCTTGGACTTGTTTCCAAAATATCCTGCTATTTGGGACAAAGAGGGCTAATTTGCGCCCGTCCGAGCTAGTGATGAGCGTATCGGTCTGGTAAAGAAGCAATTTCGAGCTTCATGTATGAAATTAACGGGTTATTTGGCAAACTCAAGCTGATGATGACAGACCTATTGTTTCTTCTTCATATGACATCAAAATTGCATGACCAATAAACCACTTCCGCATGATGGGTTTTATGTGATTTGAAAGAGGCAGTGTCAGAAATCTGATTATCCAAATTAAATGTATGTGAATGGCTGCTATGTTTGCTGCAGCATGGTTTTTAAAGGAAAGGATATGATTTGGGAGTATTAGTTGATTGATTATTGAAAGTCACATTATCCTAAAGTTTGTCTTCTCAACTTTTATTTGATGCCATCCTAAGGATGGAAGGATCATGCATGACTGAGCTGTACAATTTTAAACTAGGCAAGGCATATTGACATTGTTCAGCTGCATCCTTTAATTTATCCTTTAATTAATTCTTCAAACAGAATGTCAATTGTCCCCTACTAACTGCAAATCTTGGGCATAGTCCAGTTTCAGGCTCAATTTTTTTGGGGGGACTCTCAGTCAGTGCCTGATTTAGTTATTGCACAGCTCGAGAGTCCTCTAATGATGTACTTGTTGTTATTGTTTATATTACCTTTTTGCAATATTCAATGATAATTATTTGATATTTTAACTAATGTAACTTATTTATGTATTCGTTACTGCCATTATATTATCTATACTTGATTTGAATTTTAATTTTGTACCCAAGACAGGTGTCAGTCTTCGGACTGTTTGTGCTTGGTTTTTTATGTGATTTGCTTTTATTTCAAGAAATCCTATATATAATAGTTTTAACGTGTTCCTGAAAGCAGTCAATATTTGTATAATAATTGTATTTATTGTTAGTTTCAATGTGGCAACGTCATGGTCAGTCTTAGCAGGAAAAGAATACTCATTTTAGGGCTGTATACTACTATACTGACATGCTAAGAATTTGCAACAATTGAAAGTGAATGGCAATTGTCCTGAATGATAACACATGACACGCAATCGCTCATTCCCTTGAAACATAAATGAAGAGCTTAATTTTAAAAAGGAGCTAAATCCACTTTTGATAAAATTGAGTTATTAATATCAGAACGTTGGTTCCCTAACTACCCGTCTTTCAACAAAATTATTTACCTAAATTTTGGGAGCAATTATGAAAAAAAGCACATTCTATTACTTTTCAATAGACGCCTGTACAAAATCTGGTAAACATTTTCTGTTTTCTCTGAAGTTATACAAATGAATTTAGCTCCTTTTGGAATTAAACTCTTTAAATATAGAGATGATGACTTGTATTTATGTCACTTTCCTTTATCTGGTTTCACTTCCTGGTATGAATGACATTTGCTAAAAACTCCCACATCATGATATCGATTAGTCTTTATTTGTAGCAATGTCAAATCTCTAATACAGATAACTGTCATTGGTTGGAGTAATCAGAGCATATAGTTTAAGGATATACCGGTAGACCAGAAGTGGTAAAATTGCAGTTCAAGGGTTTTGGGTGCAAAATATCCATTAAATATTGTTTAAATATTGCCTTCAGAGGTTTAGATGGCAATACTTCAACCTAAATTTGCCAAAAAGCAGAAATATATGCGCAAATGTTCAATGTTGAAGTGCATTCGTGATATCTATCCAGGCCGGATTGATATGATAATTTACCGAATATATCAATTAGTAGGCAGTTTTGCGGCAACATTTGTATCATCACATATTGGTCAAAACATTTTCTTTTACATGATTGGTAATAACAGCTTCCATTTCATTTTTAGAGAGGGGGCATTTCCTAAACTAGTATATACCTTTAAACCAACCTTGCAGGCAAGCTTTCAGATTCAATTTAGAATATTTACCTTGTTAATGGTGTTTAGATAATGATGTGTATGCCCATTACACAGGGCTCGCTGCATAAAACTTACCTTTAATTGTAACTTTGCCAATAATGTTAACTTCCATGGAAACCCAGATTTGATTGGCTGTTGAGTGATATATTGCCATGGTAGTTAATATTGATCGCAACGTTATCATCAATGGGAAGTTTTATGCAGCGGGGCCATCGGGCAGTTGTGAAATGGTACCTGTCAGGAATGCTTCCCAAGGAGTGGAGAATGTGCATACATTATGTGCGGGTAAGCCTAAATTCAATGACTGGGTTAATAACACAGCCCTAAGAGATATCATAGATATATTGAGCACCGATATAGAAACTAAGTGTATAATTACTAGTATTTATACATGTACATGTATGTAGCCATATCATCATTATAGGAACATGAGTAACTAGACTCTATTCTTTAATGACATATTTTTAGATTTTGAAGTGCCATGTATCGGATAATGATCCATAATTATTGCAATGTGTAATGTTTATCCATAACTGTAACATATATGTAATTTTAAAAAATGACGAGTGGGTACCATTGAATTGTACTTTACTCTGAAACCATGAAAATTTTATTGGACAATATTTCTTTCTGAGGATAATTTGTAGCTGATGTAGCATATATAAATGTTCTTTTCTACATGGGAAACACATACTGGTACCTGTAGATCAGAAAAGTACTACTTACCGGTAATAAAAGAGTTTTCTTGATATCTAAATTAATAATTTTTCCCTCCTCGAACTGCCGACAATTAATCATATTTTCCCCTCCTTCATAGTTTGAAATAAATAACAATGTATACTAGATGAACCATTGAGAAAGAAAATTGCTAAAATTAAACCCCCCCCCCCAAAAAAAAAAAAAAAAAAAAAAAAAAAAAATTGTACATGAAAATTGTGATTACCAGTATTATATTATACACCATGTTGCCAATATAAAGACTTCATTGGAAATAGACTCAAAATTTTCTATTAATATTTTCCTCTTTCTGTTCATTTTTATGCTTATCCCAGCATTCTAGATCAAGAGATAGTGCAAAAAAATATCACTAAAAGGAGACACTGTACTAATGGGAGTTGAGCGGAATAATGCAAAAGGACAAGTTTGTCTTTAACGAAGTAGCCTTTAAATAATAGTTCAAACTATAACTGTGTGGTTAAAATATGATACAATGCGCTCCTGCTTGTAGGAACTGCATTTGTGTGGATATGCGCTACTAAAATATAATTTATCATAAGAAAAAATATTATGCCCCCAACTTCATGTATAGCGTGCAAGAGATAAATAAATCACCATTGTTCCCCACCTCACTAGTAATCAATTAGATTTGAATGAAGTACTTATCATCAGCCTATGTCTACTGAGTTAGAATAAACTATAGTTTCAGTTTGACTAAAGATCAATTTTAATATACAATAATTAAAAATAACTACAGCTTGTACAAAACATGGATCTTTTGAAACAATCAACATGCAAAAAATATAACAATAGCCAATTTGTGGTCAGGTCACTGGTAGTGATTTTTCAAATGATTGATTTTGCGCTGTTAACAAAGTTGATTTATAGGTGGTATATAAAAAAAGAGTTCCTGAACACAATGCATCACAATTCGCTTATATTCTAACTATAATGTGTGAACTCACAATTTGATAAACTGTGTACACATCTCACACACAGCAGAAATGCTCTAGTGATATTTGCTGTGCACTGTTTTGTCAAAGATATAGGGTTAGGGTTTTAATCAGGTTTTAGGTTAGGTTAAAGATTCTATGTCCCATTTGCAGCCAACATCAAATTCTGTAGAACTTTGCATTAATTATGAATATGTCACGTATTTCCCATCTGTGAAATTTAAACGTTAGCAGTGTCCTAGTATTCAAATTATGCAAGGAAACACGTTTACTTTCTAGACTTCAATGCCAGACACTATTGAGTGACTGACTGACTTCATTTTTCCTTGGTATAAAATGAGCTGTAAAGGGTACATGAGCATTTGTCTGCATCAATAAACCACTTCTTGTAAAGGCCAAAATTAAACTGATAAAATCTTTGCGCAGCACAAGACGTACACCATTTGGTTCAAGGGTCTGAAAATCAGACTATTTACTAAAAGGATCGCAATCCCTAAAGTCGATTCGACAACTAATGATCATTATTTTCCCAACAAAAAGACATTTCTCTTTTTTAAGTGACTACGTTGCTTTTCAAGCACGATATCATTAATCCAAACAATGATAACAGGAATGTTTAACGCACTCTAGTATTACTTCAAGAGTTGATTGATGCTTTAATACCGTTATGCAGGAAAATTTGCAACAAAAATTGGGTTTTCTCTGCAACACTGCATACATTTGATTGATTAAAACAGTATTAAAGGTAATCAATGTCAAATACATACATGTAGCACACATGCAGACTTCACTTTCGGCAACCTTAATTCTTAAATTTCTGGTGAAACAAATAAATTCTGAGAGAAACTGGCCCAAAATAAACTTTTCTTGCCACGTTCAAAAGATCTTTTGAAAGGTAATTGTTATTATGACTGCAATCATGATTGTGTTTGCAATTGTGGTTGTGACTGTGATCCAGATTGTGATCCTGACTGGATGGGTGACTGTTATTTTTATCCTGACTGTAATCATAATAATGACTGCAATCATGATTGTTATGATTGAACTCATGATGATTGCAATCATGCTCTGATCCTGATTGGGATCTTGATAGTGACTGTGACCCGATTGTGATTGCAATCACGATTGTAAATATCATGTTGATTGTGACTAAAATTGTTATAGTGATTATGATTATGGTTTCTATTGTAATCACCATTCTGATTTTCATGGTGATTGTGTTTACAGTGACTTTGCTAGTGATTGTGAGTGAAATCACGATTGTGATTGTGATTGTAATCATGATTGGGATAGTGATCATGATTGGGATTGTAATCATGATTACGATGGTGATCGTGATTGAGTTTGACAATGTTGTAATCAGTATCATCAACCTACCGCAAACCTTGCAGCCAGCTTCTCAAAGCTAATCCTGAAGGACTCGTGCTCCACCCAGGACACCTCCAAGAATTTGTAGCGGGTGCTTCCTAGAAGCGCTGACAAACCGTCAAAGGTCTCTTCTGGACTCATGTAATGCAGGAGCATGCCTGCCAAGGGTGCCAGCAAAGGACAGAAGAGGATGTCCGGTCTGGTGTCGGCCAGGACGCAGAGGAGACGGTTGAGGCGGGCTTGACCCTCTGACTTAAGGGCATAGGCAGAGGCTGGGTGGTCAGGGTCCACAAAGCTTGGTAAAGTGATGGACGACGGATCTAAGAGAATGAATGGAGCAGTGTAACGTTACTCATTAAAAAAACATAATCAAGATAGAGTTGAGTAAGTAGGAGTATTTTAACTAGAGTGCACCCAACCAAAAGAGGAGGATATGAGAAGAAGAGGCTTAATAACAGAGTTGTTGAGACAAGTGGTTCAAACACTTGGTGATGCGATGGCTGTGGGTTCAGGCACCTCCCCGAATATGTTTTTTAGGCCAAGACTTTAATTTGCACTTGCTTGAAGTTGGGAATTCGACTAAGAGTTAGAAACCGACCATGAAGCACCTTTCCAAGCCAGCAAATAATAACTTTAATATCTGAATGCAAAGAAGAATAAATGAAAGAAAGCAATCTGCAAGAACTGGCAAATATCACAAACAGCTGTGCTGCTTTGGTAAATGCCACACAAAAATGAAATTGGTTAGATTCAGAGCTACAATGTAAATCCCCTCAAAAGAATTATTCAGATTTTGATTGCACTTTTTGTTGATACTCTACTTCTCCTATAAAATACTTTGCTTTCTTGTTTGTTATTCATTCCCAAGGAATACAAGTAACTGAAATGGAGAGATCACAGAGGTTAAAATATTGACTTCTTCCTTCCGTGCTAGGAAGTAAGAGTCTTTCATATCGAGGGGTCAGTGACACAAAGACGAAACTCAGTTTTGGCCATTTTGAGAAAAAGTGGTTGATGTGTCACTGAGCACTTGGGCCTTAAGGAGTTAAGTCTATGTTACACTAGCCATTGACTTCAATGGGGTGTTGGGTGGAGTTCAGTATTTATGTTTCCGGGAAAGCCCACATTTTTCTGAACACTTTGATATCAAATACTCTTTTTGGCAAAATATGGAGTTATGTCTTTGTGTCACTGAACCCTCAATAAGCACTTGAGATCTGACTCAGCTCAGGGAGTCATCAGAATTAGCAATAGCAAAGGCACTCTATCTCTCCCTCTCTTGGTTGGATGGTACAAACCAGTTCCCCCCCCCCCTGTTTACACTACCAAGATTTATTGCATAGCAAAACCAAAACCAAAACCAATACCAAAACCAAATACCAAAACGGTCTGCCAAAACACATGCACTCACATCCCTCAGACACCCACATAAACATACATTAACACACATAAAGGCAAGATAAGGAAACTGAGAAACAAGAAATTCTGACTTTATACATTGTACAATGAAAACATCGCAACAGACACATATATACACACACATAAAGGCTAGAAAAGAGAACTCAACGTCTCATTTAACAAATGAACTCACCCACTTCTATGAGAAACAGCAGATGCTCAACCTTTCCTCACTATATCGCTCTCACACACACACACACAAACACATTCCCCCACATCCCTCCCACACACACTTTAACACACAGCGGGGAAAGGTAAGGGAACTCAAAGTCTGATTTTATACGTTGTACAATGAACTCGCCCACTGAGTCTGTTCCTTTGCCAAAGAGTCCCTCTTCCACTTCGTGGTAGACATGGGAAACAGATGCTCAACCTTTCCTCACTATCTCTCTCACACAACACAAACACACATTACCCCACATCCCTCCCACACACAAACATTTGTCTGTCCCTTTGCCGAACAGTATACAAATACACTCATCCCCAACACATAAAAACACCACAACAGACATATACATGTATACATATATGTACGCATAAAGGCTAGAAAAGAGCTACATACACGTCAAGGCAAGATAAGAGAACTCAAAATCTGATGCCGTCAATGAACTCACCCACTGAGTCTGTCCCTCTTCCACTTCCTTATAGACATGGCAAACAGATGATCTTCTTTTCCTCTCTCTCTCTCTCTCTCTCTCTCTCTCACACATTGCCCACACATAAAAAACACCCACACCCACACATCAACATAAATAGAGACAAATAGACAAGATAAGGGAACTTAAAGTATGACTTTACACAATGAACTTACCCACTGAGTATGTCTCTTTGCCAAAGAGTCCCTCTTCCACTTTGTGATGGTAGACATGGGAAACAGATGCTCGACCTTTCCTCACTCTCTATCTCTCTCACACACACACACATTCACCCACATCCCTCCCACACACACATTAACACACAGGATAGCAAGGGAAGCGAACTCAAGATGTGAAAAACAGGTGCTCAAGATTTCATCACTCTCTCTCTCATGCAAACAAATTATGCACTCAACCCCCACACATAAAACCACCACCAGACATACACATAAAGACTAGAGAAGAGAACTCAACGTCTCACTTTACACAATAAACTCACCCACTGAGTCTGTCTCTTTTCCAAAGAGTCCCTCTTCCACCTCGTGGTAGACATGGGAAACAGATGCTCCAGAACTGTTCTTGAGACATAGCGTCTTCCACATCTCCTTGCGAACCTAATAATGATACAAGAGAGGCCCTCGTGAGGTGAGAAAAGAAAGGAGCCCATATCTACAATCTAACAATCAAGCAATGGTTTTAGTGAATTATAGCTGATCAATTCAGTTAAGAGCTTCCATATTACAAAACATTGAAAAGAAGCCCATGATCTAATTGCATTCCTTAAACTTATATCTAAGTTGTTCAAATGTTCCGTGCTTTTATTTGGAACATCAATATCACATCTGCTGAGAACCAGGACTCTGGTTCATAAAACTGTTACCAAAAAGTGTCACAATCCTAAAACAAATTTGAAAACATAGCGAATGAATATTTACATAGAAATATCACCAGGGCCCAGTTGCATAAAACTTACCATTGATGGTAACTTTGCCATCAATGGCAACTACCATGGTAGCAGGGTTCAACAGCCAATCAAAATCAAGGTCTCCATGGTAATACTATTGATGGCAAAGTTACCATCAATGGTAAGTTTTGTGCAACGGCCAACGGGCCCAGCCGAGTCCCAGAATAGACATACAGGTACCTTTCAATATAATAATATAATATTAAGGTTAATCCTTTCTGTCTCTTAACAGACTATGGCCCGTTGCATAAAACTTACCATTGAGGGTAAGTTGGCTATTAATGGCAACTACCATGGTAAGAAGGCTCAACAGCCAATCAAAATCAAGGTCTCCATGGTAATACTATTGATGGCAAATTTACCATCAATGGTAAGTTTTGTGCAACGGGGCCCAGATCTTGATTTAATTTCTAATCACCTCATGTTCTGTGTCGCTTGCCCATCGTTCCTTGCGTATGACCTTCTTCAGCCTCTTCAGGTCCGATGGGATGTCTTCGGGCGAATGCTGCGGACTCTTTGTACCCTGATCCGATCCCACCGTCTGCACCAGGTCTGCATCCACCCACAGCATCAGGGATCTCCGCTTGTTCTCATCTGCGCTACCTCCGCCCTTGACCCTCCTTTGGACAGCAGAGGGCAGTTCGGATACTTCATTTTCTGCTTCAGCTGCATTTGATGTGGCCTGTCCATCGGTGGTTGTTTGATCTTTGGGATCATTGATCTGGACTGTTACCGAAACGGTTGGAACATCGATCTTGATGATAGGTTCCGTCACTTTTTCCTCAGTGACAGATTGATTGCTATTTGCTACAAAACATTAAGAGATAAACAGGATATTACTAATAATAATTTTATGAATAGGACACAATTTAGAAAAATCACTAGGATGACATTAAATGGTCAATAATTCTTTTTACTTTTAATCTTCATGTAAAGATACTCAAAATTTATTTTGAGGGCACAATTCACTGGATAAGTTGACAGCATAAATCATCCACTTGATAGATAATGCCACGTGTCTACTGTACATGAAGTAAAAACATCTGCCAATCTTGGTGATTCAAACAACATTTAATGCAGGGCCTCATTCTAACTTATTTGAAAAGGAGTTGGGAATTAACTTTTTTAGACTCTGTTACATGTACAGTATATGAACCCTTTTGTACAAATGTCAACATTTTGGCAGTCCTGACATTTGTCCAGGGTGCCCTTGTGTCCTGGGCTCCTGTTAGCATCACATCTTGTGTAATGATCTAGAAAATAGTTGATATGATCTTGAATGCAGAGTGCAACCCACTCTCGGATATGTCCACTGATCATTAACCTAAGGAATTCACAAATGGCAACTCCTGTAATTGAAATGTTACAGCTGATAACGGAATATATAAACTGAAAAATGCTGCCCATCAGAAGTTCTTTGCTTTATTCCTTGACAAAGATAATCAAGATCTGGTAATTCCATAAAGTGATTGTAAGGATCAGGCATTCACCTCATAAGAGATGCTTTCGACTTACTGATGAATAAATTCAGCTCCAAGCTTTTTGTAACACAATACCCGTCTGTTTTTAGGAAAAAAATTAACACTTTTCTACTTCAAATAAAACAGTAAATATTGGCCTTTCTAGAAGCTAAAATGTTTTGTGTAGATACATGCAGGTATAAACTGCGGCATTTTACACATATAAAACTACTTTTCATCAAAAAATGTTGTCCATAAAAGACATAATTAGATACATGTAAGCATTTAAATTACCAATCACAACATTGCTAACTTACACGTTTGAATTAAAGTACAATTAGTACAGACACACTGTATAAAATTCTCTCTTTTATCAAAACCCTACTTTCGTAAAGGGAAAACTTAGGGGTCAAACAAATATTTAACATCACAATTTGGCTGAGTATAATTTTTTATGTGCACTTAACTTTACAATTTGCAAGATTATACAATGAATATTGTTTGTGTACATTCACTACATTGTATGAATAACGTACTCTTCAGTATTTTTTAAACATACTCCTGTAGTTAAATTACTGCTATAAAACAAAGTCTAATCTTTTGTGTATTGAAAAATACAGTATAAAATATTTCAAGCATAATTATTGAATCATGCATTACATTGAACGCATTATCATTTTATAGGTTCATTTGGCAAACACCGAGATTACAAACTGCAAAGTGTGCATTTCACTACATTACATGTACATGTAGCTACTGACACTGCTAGGAGAGGAATTCGCATCATATCATATTAAATATTGACTTGTACCTTTAACTCATCAATGAGATGTACGTGACAACATGAATACTTAAAGTAATATATACTCCTCTAATATCTTATCTATTATTTGTACTTACAAGAGTGGAGAGTATGGAGAGAGGAAGAGAGTGAAACGATGAGTGTGTGGGAGTGGCGGGGTGGGAGAGCAGGAGAGAGGGAGACGGATGGATGAGGGAGAGATACAGAGAGAGACAGAGAGAGATTAAGACAGAGAAGGGGAAAGAAAGAAAGAGGAAATTGTGGGACTTACAGCAGAAACTAACTTACACTGACCAAAGAAAGGAAAAAAAAAAAAAATCAGATTAATTTCCTTCTAGCAATCTTTTACTTTTGTTTTTTCCATAAATACCTGATGATATGTTATTTTTTTATTTATTTTTTTGTGATGCAAGATAGTAAAGCCCAACTGTACTACTTGTAGCTACTTGCTCCCTCTATATAGAAAACAATGCTCTAAGCGGTGCCCGCTGGTCCCCCATGATCCTCTTTTTCTTATGTTAAATGAGAGCCGAGTCGATTATATAACCGCCTGTCGGTGACCACGCTGGGTGGTCTAATCCCTCATGGTCAAATTAGTAAAGACAGGCTTTAACTGCAGTTATATAATAATTACAGATTAAAAAGACACTGGCATAATTATGAAATGAAGATTCATGATATAAGAATTCCTCAAACTTTGAATCTATTTTTCCTCATTTTGATATGATGTGAACATACTGCACTACAATCACTCCCGTTTACCAAGGGTGTGTTTATGCTTAACTTTTTCTGGCCAGATCAGGCATCTGTTACGCGTTTAGTTTAAAACACACGGTTGCGTCCTTTCTCACTTTTGTAGAATCACCGAAAAACGGCAACCACGATCGCCGATCGTAAACTCACAAAAAGATGCGTTTACAATTTGTAAATCCGTTTAAATGGGTTTAACGCAATGACCTCTAGTGGGTCTACGTAGCATGCACAGTGCAGGTTTGCGAAACCAGCTGCAATGCCAATTAGGGCCACCCAGGGAGAATTGCCTGGAGGAGCCAGAGAAGCGAGCATAAACAGTACACCGTGGAACTGCGATTACGATGAGCGTTTACGATGAGCGTTACAAATCGCTCATTCTGCCTTCAAAATTTAAGCTTAAACGCACCCCAAGTAAGCTACTTGCTCTAAGTTTTCTTTTCCCCAAACAAAAGGCCTGTTTTCATCAGCTCGAGTTTTCCAAAAACATGTATTTTAACTATCCTGATCACAAGTTAACCAGTTAATTTGTGTCTTCATCAGCCCGCAGTTAAAATTAGTGGGATATTTGGTCGAAAAAATATCCTGAGAAATAATGGTCTTGTTTCCAAAATATCCCACTATTTGGGAAATAGCGGGCTAATTTGCGCCCATCTGAGCTAGTTTGTGATGAGTGTATCAGTTTGGTGAAGACGCGATTTCGAGCTTGGGGATAATATCCAGAGTCTAAAAATAGCGGTTATTTGGGTAATAAAACTCAAGCTGATGAAAACAGGCCTAATGAGTGAGTTGAGCATACATCACCTTCCCATAATGCGGACGTGTGTGGGAGAAGGGGTGGGGGAGGGTTTTGACGGTGGGTTGGACAACAGCCTGCTTTAATACTTCAGAGATATCAAGTACTGGAATCATAAAAATGATGATGAGCATTTTAATTACATTAGAGTTCACTTGAAAGAACTTCCTATTTGAAACAAGACGTGGGTTTGGTTAGCCCTAATACAAACACAATTCCCACACTACTGTAGGTGGGAGTTTCATTACAAGGTTGATTTCCTTTAGAGAAGAAAAATCCACTTTCCTCTTTTCCTTTATATTCGCTAGCATAATGCTCAATGGGTTGTAAAATGTGTACAATGTTTCGGTAGTGCTGTGGAGCACCCTGGAGCCTGGATAAAAATAAACATGAAACAGAAAGTCTACAATGTTGATTGGACAACTTTCTAATGACCTCAGCTCTTCAAAGTCAATACAACATGAGGTACATGTACGTCTTTATCAGCTCGAGATTGCCAAATAGCCCGCTATTTCTGATATGGGAAATAAGCTTGAAGTTACAATTAGCGTCTTCATCAGCTCGAAACTCCAGCTTTAAGAAATTAGCTCGAGATATTTTGCTCAACATTCGCGCATAATGCTAGTCTTCAGGCTGGTGAGGATGCACCGGACAAATAGCGGGATATTTTGCAAACTAGGCCAAGATATCTTGGGATGATTTCCCAAGCAAATAGCCTGTTATTTGCGCCTTCATCTGCTAAATAGCCCACTATTTCATGATCAGGGTAATATCCGGGATCAGAAATAGCAGGCTATTTGGCCAAATCGAGCTGATGACGACAGGCCTAATGTTGATTGGGCAACCTTCCATGATATAGTAATGACCTCTGCTCTTCAAGGTCAATACGACATGGAGAGGAACTTGGTAAACCAGGGGCTGTTAAGTAAACAAGTTTATCAGCAAATGAGCCGGAAGGTGATAGCAGTTATAAGGCAGGCTGGCCAATAGAAGGTGAAGGACGTTAGGCCTACCATGTACCCGACCACACCCTCCCCCCTCCCCCTCCCCACCAGCTACAATAGTAGACAGATTAACATCCAAAATTGGATTGTGATTTTGGGTTGACCCTAATGTAGCAGGGGTGTTTATTGCAACCAAGAGAGACAGACAAACAGATATTGAGACATACAGATATTGAGACGTATAGAACAACAGAGATTGAGATAAAGGCAATGACATGAAATTGAGTTGATTCAAGTAAAATGTCAACAAAAAATAAATCAGACAGAAATATATGAAGGAATGATAGAGGGACATTAAAGGATAGTACGAATGGGAGGTTGAAAGAGTGGACACAGCAATAAGTAATAAAGAAAAAAAAGAGAACAATGAATATCTAATATTACTCTTATAATAATAATACCTTGATTATTACGGCAGGGTAGTACATTTCTGGGAAATGACAATGATGCAGGAAATGAAAAATATGGTAGAGAAAAGGAAATACTCAAGCACCACATAGAGAAAGAGATTGAAGAGAGAATGAGGAACATGAGCCAAAAAGAACAAACATTCGCCCCTGACCTGTTCACTGGGGATAGATTTTCATTATTCATCCAAATTTTCTCCACACCTGGCAAACATACTACTGGTACATTTTACAAGTTAAAGTGACTCGGTAACATTGCATCAGATTCTGAAAAAAAATCCTGAATTTAGCTCATGCTGCAATCATAATTATAAACCTTTAGGTCAGTCAGGAATCTCATGACTTTTACAAGCCGATCGCCTGTCGGATTATCAAAATATTTATGATTGGAAATCAAAATTTCATTTTCCCAATGTTTTTTTTTATAATACTAAAGTCTATTGGGGAAAATACCGTAGGTATGGTAAAACCGGTCACTCAAATATTGTCACTTTCTTAAGGCACTTCATGATCTTTTCGGAGCGCAAATTTTTTTTTAGGGCTTGAATATTACACCATATCACAGACACTGATAACACGTAGGGCCATGCATATCAGATTTAACATTGTTAAACGATGCCTTTAAAGATAAAGACCAGTTATGGTCATGCGATTGCATTGTGAAAGAAACGTGAAATCTACCAGAAAAGGTTGATCATCTAGCATACATGTAGATGTACTGCAAGGTTCTGGAATCATCAAAATGATAAGAAATTTAGCCCAGTCTTTATAAAGTTACAAGCACTGTACACAGAAAGATGGATATGGGACTATGCACACGTGCGCGACACATGCGTTTTTATCTCTCACACACCAATAGATAAACTAATTTACCAAATATATCAATGAGTAGGCGGTTTCCCAGCAAAATTGTTATCATCATGTATTATTCAAAACATATTCTTTTACATGATTGGTAATAAGAGCTTCCATTTCATTTTTTGAAATTGGAGCGTTTCCAATACTGGTCTTTTCCTTTAACAACTGGCTTAGACACTCAAGCACATGACTATAATAAATTCATGAACCAGCTTACTCGCATGCATGATGATGAGTCACCTGAATTTCCAGCGTGCCTTCTCATACCCATTACACGCTTCAAACAGCACACATTACATATTTTGCTTTTATCTTTAGACCATTTTAGTATAAGGAATATTGACAGAGATAGATTGGGTTCGCAACCTCAACAGGTGATTCAAATCCCAGCGTTGTTATTATTTTTGATAAAAACTACTGCTCTCCCTAATACTGGTGGTAAAGCTATATAGGCCTACATGTAGATCTATACCTTGATAATTTTTAAAGAAGTAATCCCTGCTCGCAATTTCTTTCAACCATAATGAAATTTTGCGTGGATCAGCATTTTATGATGATTAATTAAATTTCAATCACACGTGTAGGATCCTTAGTATTTTCTTTGAAAATTTGAAACCATTTATCCCAATAAGCCACTTAGAATACAGCACTTATACAAATTTCACAGTCACACATGTAGGATGACTAGGATCCATGGTATTTTCTTGGAAAATGTGAAACTATTTATCCCAATAAGCCACTTTGTAGACAGCATTTGTGCAACTGATCCCCTAATATCCACAGATCTTCTACACATGGAGGCATCCCAATTTGCGCATTTTAGAATAATCACTGTGAATCAGGTGCTTCGTGAATCCATTTTGTTTGCCCTCTTGAAAAAAGAATACTTCCACCTATGTATCGTAGAATGTACCGCCGGTGCATAAATGAATAATGATTACATACACTGTGGCCCGAATTCACAAAGGAGGTTTGTCGACAAACCTTGGTTTTCGTGTGTCAATTGACGCGTTTTGACGCGTTTTTAGAAACTGTCAAACGTGTCATATGATGTACAATAACATGAACCTCGGTTTGTCGACAAACCTCCTTTGTGAATTTGGGCCTGTAAGTTTCATGAACACATATCCAGCAGTTTTCTCAATGGGTTTTACAGTTTCGTACAAATTACCTTTATCTGGCAATGTGCAGATAATGTAGTATACAGTGTAGATCTCCGAAGTACCTTATTATGGGGTACAAGGTGTAATATACCTACATGTACATGTAGATGTACATGTACCATTTCTTTATTTTGAAATCAGTGATTCTGTTTTTATAAATATATATTTTTTCTATAGAGGGCAAAATCACTCATATGACCAATCCTAAGAAGGAAATCAATCGCAAATTTTGATTTTGTTTTACAGAATCGATCAATTTGTTACAGATCACAAGTATTACACTTGGTTCCCCATAGCCAAATCACATTTAGCTTACCAACTAAATGTCCATCACAACTCTCATTCTTAATAGATCCACAAGTGATCTTCCAGTCCCTTCATTCAGAGGGGAGGTTCCTATACGGATTTTAGTTTAGTTTATACCATGGTATTCATTAAAAAAAAAAATTCCCCTGCAAGAGAAATGCGGTACCTTTAAATCACTCACCAAAAATGACTTTGGATGATGTCATAGGCTCATAGCGTGGCTCATTGCCACAAAAACCTTCGACCACGTACATGAACATACATGTATGAACATGTGCATGAAAAGGTCTGTTAACCCTTATGTTTAGACTTCTTTATCATCTGCTGAGAGCAATAAGGGCTATAGATCTTGGTAAAATGATGCAAGTTTTTGCCTTTCTGATCTCAACTGAAATGTATCAAAGTCCAATTGGTTCAAATAACAGTTATTCCTAGGCCCGGCCACTGGGTAAGGAGACCATACTGTCTGTTTGGAGGAAGAAGGGTGTTAACTCATATCGTTCTAACCTGAGTTATCGCCCTTCTGGTTCCAAAGAGCAATATAAAGGCAGTAGCTCAACCTTGTTTACAAATTATACAACTCTTTACGTGTATTTTTACAGCCATAACTTTGTACAGGTGTACTGCACATTCCATGATTTACAGGACATGTTCATCATAATCATTACCAGTGAAAAAAATACACGGGGGCTCGGGGCGAATTAGCCCCCAAAATGCTAAAAAGAGCCCTCAAAAGTCATAAAAGAGGCCCTAAAATTTGCATAGAGTTCAATGCAAAACAAATTAAAGAGTCTTATTTTCATGCAAGCAAGCTTGAAAAGTAGCCCCCGAATTGTTTAAAGTATTTTTTTCCCTGATCATTACAAATGGGGCATCATCAATAAAGGGCAATGAACAGAATTTGTAACGATAACAACGCCATGTATGACAATACAGTAACAAGAGAGATACTAACGTCCGAACTTGAATTGTAGAACTTTTTTTGAGGAGTTTGTATACTGTGATGAGACAAATGCTACCACAATTGCTCTGACAAGATTTGCTCGACACTTTATCAGTCATAGATTTTGAGTTAGGGTAGGTATAAAGGCATGCAGACATAAACACTGAGGCCCGAATTCACAGAGGAGGTTTGTTGACAAACCTAGGTTTATGTGCGTCATAGTACGCCTTGGTTTGAAACGAGTCAAACAAACCTTGGTTTGAAACGCGCACATAAATCTTGGTTTGAAACGCGCACATAAACCTAGGTTTGTCGTCAATTCGGGCCACAATGTGCGATTGCGGAATAAAAGAATCCAGTGTCAAGACATCTTTTACGAACATGCAGTGACTCAAATATTCATGATATACAATGTACCTCATCGAAACATGATTCCTTTATGATGTACATTGTATATTCATATGTGTACATTCATGCACATGCACTTATGGAATATTAATTCTATGAAGGTTTACCGTTACCATCATTTTGTTGATCATCATTTTGTTGACTTCCTGGATCCTCGCTATTCGATCCATCGCCGCCCTCATCTTTCCTGTCTCCACCATCCTCTTCCAGTGAATCTTTTTCTTTAACCTGAACATCTTCAGGTGAATCTTTTTCTTTAACCTGAACATCTTCAGGTGAATCTTTTGTGATTTCTTTCCAAAAATCTTCATGTTGGATCATAACAAAATCGGCACTGCTGATTGACTCGGAGGCTTTGCCTGGAGCTGGTACTACATGTATGGCATGAGAGTCTGTGGACTCTGTGTTGTCTTTTTCTGATTGCTGTGTGTGGTCTGTGTGTGAGTCAGTGTGTCCGAGGACTTGAGTGGTTTTCAGGTCAGTATCAGGAGTTACCTGGACTTCTGCGTCTAAATTTTCCATGCTGGATAGGTAGGACAAAGTGTCTGGAGGGAGCCCAGTCGAGTTTCTAGGACCTGCGGAAATCTCTTTTTCAGTTGGCTCTGATTCTTCTGTTCCCACAATGGTTTCAACTGGATTTACAGGGATGTCTTGATCATTTGTGTCTAGGAGTCTAGGAGATGGATCATCTGCAACGTCTTCTGCAGTTGCTTCTTCAGAATCTTGAGGAATAGGTTCATAGAGTGCAGGTGGAATCTCTTCAGTTTCACTGTCATTGGTATTGTAATTTTGTGTTTCTGCTCGAATTTCTGCTTCTATTTCTGCAAGGATTTCTTCCGGATTGACAACAGCATCATCATCTACTGACTCTGCTGGATGGGCCATGTTTTCTAACTCTAACTCTTGGGTTTCTGCTTCTATTTGGGCAAGAACAACTTGTGGATCAATGTCCGGCTCACTTGGGCTGTCACAGACCCTGGGGCCTGTTACATCAGTATCAGGTTTTTGTTCAGTGTTGACTGTATCATTGTTTGTGTCATCTTGTGATTGCTCTTGTTGTATCTGAGTTTCTCCCAGAACGGGAGAAGTGTCTTCAGATTGTGGTGAATCAATGTCTGTCACAGGGTCGGGTGAACAACCTGTGGCAGACTGCTCAGAAGGTAATCGTGCCACAGGATCTAAGGGTATTGTTTGATCACTACTAGGGGTACAAGAAGGGTGCAGTGAAGGAGGGTCTTGAGGATCAAGAGGTTCAGAAGAAGATTCTGAGGTAGGAATAGAAGGTACAGCAACAGAGGGTGGATGGGTAGGTTCCTCTACAGGGGTGCAACAGACAGAGACAGAAAAAGAAACAATACATGGATATTAAGGGTGTACAATCTTCAAAACTGAAGCAGGATGCAGAATACATAGAATAAATTACTACAAATCCCCAACACTAATGTATGTTAATGCTCTGGACATTACACAGAAATGTCATGCTACATGTATATGTACAATGTATTGTATGTTGATAGCGAAAAGGGCATTAATAATCTTACATGAAGTAAGCGCGCAACAAACAGTATTATTTTGATATGTGGATATCATTAATTGGATAAATGGATAAGCTCTTGCCTTGGTTAAAAGCCATATTAATCATGAGTGATCATTCAAGATAGTATTGTAGTTAGTTTTTCAAGATAAACATATAGTAATGTAGTTAGTTTTATTTCCATGGGCCATTAAGCATTTACTTACTCGCATGAAGAAATAGACTACATAAAAATAAAAGCTAAATAAAAGCAATTGTAATTATCTGTATGATATGTACAGTAGTTGCCTTAAGATACACATATTTTCACATTTCTTCCTGATGAATATTATCAGGCTACTTTGGATTGTGAAAAACAATGAGAAACTGAGCTCTTTGCTTAATATGTACCAGGGGATAGTCAGGGTAATTATCTTCTTAGGAAATGAGGCATTGATGGGCTGAGAGCAAATTTTGTGAAAGAATTTTGAATCTGTTATTGGTAAGACATTTTATGAAAGAGGGCCTTGCTTGCTTTCATTCTTCAGATCTGCCATTCTTTGTTCTCTAAAAACTGATGTCTTTCTGACAGGAAAAGCATCATTCAAACACCGAAAGTGAACCTTGCAGTGGTTTCGTCACAAGTGGCTAAAATTGGTGATACTCCTCCCAAGGTTTCCTTGAAATCAGAACTTGTATCACTTTTGGACTACACTAAGGTCAGTGATTAAAGATAAACTTTAGTACTGGTAATGCGATTGCATTGTGAAAGAAAAGGTGTGGAAAGGATCAGAAACAGTTGATCATGCAGCATGTAAGTATTGGTGTGCACTGCAAGGTTCTGGAGTCATCAAAATCATCATAAATTTGACCGAGTCTTGGTAAAGTAACAATCACTTACACAGATCATTCAAACACCGAAAGTGAACCTTGCAGTGGTTTCGTCACAAGTGGCTAAAATTGGTGATACTCCTCCCAAGGTTTCCTTGAAATCAGAACTTGTATCACTTTTGGACTACACTAAGGTCAGTGATTAAAGATAAACTTTAGTACTGGTAATGCGATTGCATTGTGAAAGAAAAGGTGTGGAAAGGATCAGAAACAGTTGATCATGCAGCATGTAAGTATTGGTGTGCACTGCAAGGTTCTGGAGTCATCAAAATCATCATAAATTTGACCGAGTCTTGATAAAGTAACAATCACTTACACAGAAAGATGTATATGGGACAACACACATGGTGTCGGGGCTAGTACTACCCTGATTTCCTTATCTTTCTATGCTCATTACTCATTGTTTGGCAAATGACATTTATTTGTAATCTTGAACATTCAGTGTAAGTTTCGTTAGATTCTGTGAGAATTCATTTTCTTTTTTTACCAGAACTCAAGTTTATCTTTAATACCAGGAAACTTACGGGCACAATCTGGAACTTATAATAATAATAATAATAGCTCACATTTATAATGCGCCTAATACTTCGTTTCTAGACGTGGAACATATTATTTCCCCGGTCATCGGATTCAGGCTTACCCGCACACAAGGTATGCACATTCTCCACTCCCTGGGGAGCATTCCAGCCAGGCGCCATTTTACAAGCGCCATTGCTAATCAAACCACATTAGCTTTCGCATCCTACCGGGTACCCATTTTAACACCTGGGTGGAGAGTGGCAAATGTAGATCAATGTCTTGCCAAAGGACATTAGTGCCGCGGTGGGACTTGAACCGCGGACCTTGTGATCCACAGTCAGGTGACATATCCACTCGACCACGACAACTCTACACACTTAGTGTGGCTTCAATCCTCGCCCTTGTTTCAATAAAAACGATATTGATACATGGTGGCAGCGGTGGGATATTGAAACAGTCCTCAAACACTAAGGATTAATGAATTAATGTGACGATTACAAATGGATGATTAAAGCTTTTAGCTTGTATACAAACAAGTGCACTTTATTTATTATCCATAATTAAACCTAGACTATTTTAAAGTGGATTAGGTATCCACTTACAAGTATTTTGGGTAGTATGCAAGCACAGCCTCTAATTTGACACTTTACCACAATTCCTTAAGCCTTGAGCAAAGGCTAGATTTGTCAGTCGCTGTAGTCTCATAGTGCAGACACTGTGGCACAACGATCTTCAAACTTTATTCATGGAGCAGCAAGTGTCTACATGTATCTAGCTTCAAACCCATGTTTAATCCACTTCGATTAATATGGGCCTTTATAGATTCGAGAACAGTTTGTATCTATTTGCATATTTTGTTACCAAAGTGGAGAGCTGAGTTGCACCTGTCCAGTGACCTTGCAGAGCGGTCTAATCCCTCCTGTAAACTACGGCAGATAAGCTTTAATATGCAATCACCGGCTACGATAATATGAGATTCAAAGTGTTCATGCACATGTACTGTAGATGTGTTATCACTGAGCAATAGACAGGTTTACAAACAAATTCAAATTTATGGATGTTTATTTCCTGGCACCCTAGTGACAAGGCATTCCATTAACATGTTATTAATGAATGAGCAATATTTGGTATCCAGTCTGCATAGATTACTTGTTGCGAAATGGGCATTAGACAAACTGGGCATTAGTCAAAATTGGAATAAGACTAAATGAACAAAAGACCAAATGAAACTTGAGTGTCATTTGTATACTGCCAAACAAACTCTTCTTTTTACTTTGAAAAACACTCCCCATTCCAGGGCTAGGCATTAGCACTTGACGTGGCCAGAGTGCTTGTGTGCAGTACCTGGATACCGATAACATCCCGAAAATACTATACACCCAATAGAACAACAAGAAAGACATCATATTCCACAAGAAATTAAATTTAAAAAGAGTCAGCATCTTTGGAAATTTTACACACAAGATCATTCACAGCAAATTCCTTTTTTGGATTGCTTAAAACTTTATGGATTTTGCCATCGAAAGGGACAGGCCCCAATAAAAACATACATTACATGGCTGGTACATTACATGCAGGTAACTTAGAGAAATGTAGTAGTACGAAAAGATCTGTCTGTAACACAAAATGAAAATTTGATAATTAAAAGTTCAGTTTGAAAGATGCAACTGAATGAAAGTTTAGCTAGCATAAAGCCTCATTCAGAACCAGCTCCATATCCGAACTACACCTGTATAAGGTTCTGCCTCTGTGTGAAAATAATGATTGTCAACATTTATGCAGTTTGCGTTCCGGACACATCTATTCGTACTTCTACATTTCGCTTTTAAAGCTCATGTACATGTACATGTACCTTAGTTTACGTTTATTTAGAGCCAAAAGGGCATTAACTCTGTGTAAAAAATATATGAGTTAAGGCCCTTTCAGCTCAAAACAATTTAATCAACTACCGGTATATAGTAACTAGGGCTGCGACAAGTAGTCGAGTGCTCGCACTGTTGACAAATACTCGAGTATGATTTTTTGTACTCAAATATTCGGCCGCAAAAAAAACCCATTAAATTATTTTTAAAAAACATGGGTCTGAATATTCGAGTATTCCCTTGAAAGCCTGGGAGTTTACCCAGGTACCTCATTACACTGTTGTGTACAGCCTTAATAGTAACCTCATCGCGTCAACCATATGAATATAAAAAAGCAATGCACTAATGTACATGTAATGTGTTTCAATGATACAAATTATTCAGCAGAATAAATTACAAGCCATGATAATAAGCAAGAGAGTAATTAAACAAGCAAGCCAAATCACATGCAAGCTACATGTACATGAGAGCTGGCTGCATGTACATGTACAGTATGAAGAGGAATTCAAATGGATGTGAAAGCATTATTATTAACTTTCACATGCCGTTACAGGGAATAATTTTCCTCAAATATTTTGATTAGCAATTTCAGCTGATGGATAAATATTTCAAATGAAATTCTGTACATTTCTATGGAAGAAAACTGCTACACAAACAATATTTTGTATAGCAGTCATGCAAAAATGCATAGCAAATTGCGATGCGATACCAGGAAAATTATTCCCTGCGTTAAGTACCAGAGGGCTGCATGTAGGCGAGTCTGGCTCTTCTGGTTTAACCCATTGAATACTACAGCACAAGATACAATCATTCAGGGCCGAGGTCTTTGTACAATGTGCATTAAAAGTTTATACATAAAAAAATCACATTGTATCCCACAGGTTATGTCTGCCACATGAAACAGCCAAATGTAGCAAAACATACTGAAGCGATGAAAAATCATGGAATTCATGACTGATACAGGCTTTCAGCATGACAATGACAATATTCATAAAATCAGATTTGAGAAAATCTATATTGCTCCCCAATATTTTTAAAACATTATTATCATTTGTACAGTATGTAATTACCCCCATCCCAATTACACAATAAAACAGTTACAGTATTCTGATTTTCCATATTTTATACAATTTTCCTCTCTGGGAAGTTGGTAAGATGGTTTGTTTCCACTTTTTTGTTTCATTACAACAATACAAGAAACCAGAATTATATTCATTCATCCATTATACAAACAATTCTTTGGGTGTTCTTAAAATTTATCTTAGCCCCAAACAAAACAAACCATCAAGAAGTAGTTTACATACAGTACATGTGTACAAGGACTCTGACCTCTATCATTATCTTAAAATTCTTTCATCACAATATTTGGTTGGAAATTGGAAGTAATATATCTAAAGGCAATAATCTACCTGATGGATCCTCATCTCCATTTTTACCAGCTCCTAATTCTGTCTCTGTGGCTGGAGGATCAGTATTTGTTCCCATAGCAACGTCACCAGTCTGGGCATCACCCGTTTCATCTGGAGGAGTCGGCATGACGACTAGCTTCCCTCAGATCCTCAAGTCCAACTAGATAATGAAAAGGAACAGGTTAGGTTGGGATCAGGTAGATGGGCAAATTTTGCACTGTTGACGACTTGGACTTTAATGGCGAACAATCTTTGCTGTGTATATCCAAAAGAGTCAAACCGAGATGATGGTTCACGAATTGAAAGAGCGTCGCTCTTTCGATGATGTCACATTATGTAGACCAGGCTTGCAATCACACTGTACTGCCTTGTAATCCGTAACAAAAAAAATTAGAAAAACAAGGTCAATATACATGTAACTGATGAACTAATAAATCTCTGCCATTCACTGTTTAAATTTCAAGAAAGGTTCATAATAAGGCTGCGACGAGTACTTGAATACTCGAGTACTCGCACTGTTGATAACTACTCGAGTACGATTTCTCGTACTCGAATAGTCGGCCGCCATTTTTTTTTTTTTTTTGGCCTGCGGCTGGCACTGTCTTCTGGGAGCCTGGGAGAGTATTCGGGTACCTCATTACACGGTTATGCACAGCCTTAGTTCATAAGGTACTTTTTTTTTCCCTCATAATCATTGTCTACACAGCAAAAGATATATCTTCCTGTTTAACGTATCAAGCCAAGCGGTGCACTCACACACGGCCGATTACATCACATCATTCCCTGGCCAAGGGCGTAAACAATCCTCGAGGATGCGCGATAAATCATAACAGACAAACACAAACTTTAAAACCAGCTTCCATATCTTCCAAGTGTATGTAAAAAAAAAAATCATGCACCACTCCAACCTAAATATGAAATTTTGAAGGAGTGAAATTATTAGTATCTAAGTCAGACTTGATCTAATATCCCAACAAATAAACATCTCTCGAGCTTGACACATCTAACAATGTACACATCTAAATCTAGGTTACATTGGCATTGACGAAGCCATGGCTGAGAAGTTTATTTCACATCTAATTTTGTGTACTATACATGTATGTACTACACCTGTAGCTGCATAATCATAACCATAAACTGACATAATCAATGTTTTTATTTGCTTGAATATGCTATAAAATAATAGAACTGTACAGTTCAATGTTCATTTGTCATTTATTGATAATTTATACAAATTTATGACTTGATATAACAAACAGAGGTAGACCGCACGTACACATGTAAGAAACTGCTGCTTGCACTAAATCACAAGTTCACACCCCCCCCCCCCCCCCCCCCCCCCCCACTCCTACAGTGTATGATGTCATCAAATCATCTCCCTTTTTTAGCTCTACAATTTCGGGTTTCAGTGCTTTTAAATCCAAGTTTTCAGAAAAAATTTACTTCTGCTCTTGCAGACATTTCAAATAGCGTACATACAGTATACAATGTAGTTTGACAAATATGCTATGGTTCATAAGCTTTTGACTGTTTCCTTTTTCCAGTTTGGACTGGGTCTTTAATGAACTTCCTGTCCATAGAAATCAGTGAATAGGAAGAAGATTAGATCATTCACAATGTACTTGGTCAGTTTGTATACATTTTTGTAACTCCAATTGGTATATTTCCTCTTACATTGTAGGGATTCACCAAAGTACAAACAGGAATGACCAGAGACAGGAATTGAAGATTAAACACCTTTTATCAGGCGACAATGGCCTCAGAAAACCATGATAAGAATGTCACAGAGAAGTCTCCATTTTACAACTGCCCGATCCCGATCCCGATCACAATCACGATCATTTCAGTATCAGTTTACAATAACAATCCTAATAACATAACATGGTATTCAGTAGACAGGAATTATCGTCAGGTATGGGGAATTCTTTAATAAAATTGACATTTGTCAACCTTCCCAATGGATACACAGAGAGGCGTCAGTGAATCCAGAGGTACATGTAGTCTCAGCGGAACAACCATCGATATCAGAGACTGGATTTTTTGGTCTAGGTATTTAGTGGCATTGTTTGGAATGAAAGAAGAGGGCATTAATTGCCTTCATTCAAATTATTATCTCTTCTCTTTTCTCTTTTTTCAGGAAAGAGTTTACATGTAGGTGTAACAATACACTTGGTAAATTAACAAAATATAGGAAGAGTATGTTTTGAAAGAATATATACAGCAGTTTGAAAGAGTAAATGAAACATCCTACAATTTCCAGAAATAGTTGGATATGTACAGTGTACACGTACAAACAGACCAAACATTGATGTACACTAGTGTAAGACCTTGATAAACAGCGGTACTTCAAGATGTAATTTGTGCTCTTCTTGAGAACGCAAACGATATATTGTATACTTGCAGTGCTTCATCTGTTTATCAAACTTACAGAGATCTTAATAATACCTGATTTCAAATAGTTTCCAAATTTAGTGCGTCCATAACAATGGAAAAGCACTTTTTAATTTATTTTTACAAGAAGTCAGTTTTGGTGTTGCGCTTTTTCTTTTACCTTTTTACCTTGATGTTGGGCTTCAAGTATAATTACTTATATGCCCCTCTGCAGCAGGATTAATGCGCCTACACAGTGATTTCGTTTGTAAATTCAACTGATATTTTTTAACTGTGCTATTTTCAGTTTAGTTTCGGTTTTGGTTGCATCAGCTCAGGTTAACTGTAGTAGAGCTCTTTTGAAGGTTTCCACGGCTAAATATCTCACAATTACGATCCCATTTTTTTTTTTTACTCTGACTCTGACTTAGATCATTACTAGATTTAGACCCAGTTTGACAAAGTTTAAGCTTAAAAAAGTTAACTGTTAACTTCATGTTCAGAGCCTACAAAATTAGAATAGGATTAGATCTAGGATCTATCTAGATCTATGTAGATTCTAGATCTATAAATATGTAAGTGCATTATTTGATTAAAACAGAAACAAGACTAGGTACTACCACTACTTCATTAAACGGCTAGGCTACACTTTAATAGATCTAGGGTCTATATGGCCTAATATTCTAATAATACTAAAAATAGACTAGATGGAAATATTTGTAAAAAAACTGTTAATAGCACTCGAATGGACGTAAATTGTGGTTAACACACACACACAGTTTGCAAGAATCTTCAGTCAATTGAAGGAGGCAGACTTGATCAGAAGAAGAAGATGGACAAGCCACAGGACAGGCTACATAGTACATGTCAGCATCAAGCATCTTCCACTAAGTCTAAAGTACGACTCCCATCATATCAGATTCAACGATAATCCATTTCTACGTAGCCCGCTGGCCCAGGCGGAAGCCCAGGTGAAATACCGTAGACTCTAAGCCAGAAATTGCTAGCTGCGTCTTGTTCTCAGAATCAGCTGACTGAAGGCACTAACTTCGCTTTTACTTCACAATATTAACATCTCCATAATAATGGCAACATTGAATACTCACAGAAATATGGTGAATCTAAAATCCTTTTAGTTTCCTTGGGATGATTTATTCTCCTTTTTGGGCTCCAAGTAACCGACCGTACCACAATTTGCACCAGTAGGCCTCTGTAATGTGTATACAGTGAACGTAAAATCGTGCGCTGGTACTGGTGGCGCGCATTTCGCTCACCTGTTATACGAAGCGCACATTGATTTCAATACAGTCGTCAGTGCATGCAGCTTCGTATTAAAGTAGATGCTACATCCACCACCAAATTGGATGCGTGGATGCACTATGGGCGTTGCGCGCTCTGAGTGGATCATATTAGCTGGGCATGCCGAGAAATTATGATAAAATCCAGATAAGGTTTGAGGATCCCCCCCCCCGGGGGTGGGGGGGGGGGGGGAATCAATACATATTGGATCAAAACTGGACTGCCCAGATATATCACACACTTGCCCTGGCCCTGGCCCTTCTATAAGGAGTCGGGAGGATTATCTACTGGTACCAATTAAGATGGAAGTGTTTTATGGTTAACATTTCAGCCAAATTGTTGAAAAGGGTTCAATAAAATTCTGACTAGAGGAACCAAAAAAGTTTGAACAACCAGAACAGGACTACGAAGCAAAGTAAAGCAAAACATTTGGTCTATACTTTTACCGTAGGACTACCACTAACAATGTTTCTCAAATAATCAGTTTTATCCAATTTTATCCATTTTGCGCATTATGATATTAAAGATGAGGAAATAAAATCTCAAAAGCGTAGGAGGGGGAGATTCCAACGGGGGACTTTAGATTTAAAAAATATCATTGTCTCTGGGATTGGGCGGAAGGGGAAAGTGACATTCATGGCTGCTCATACCAAATTATATCACTACACTAAATTTCTCTTTCCCCCGCCCCACCCTTGAAGGAGCTTCCTCTCGATCGGGACAGTGACAAACGCAATTTTCAAATCACCGACCCCTCAAAAAACCCGAGGAGACAAAGTCAAGATTTTTTTCTTCAGTTACCACTTTCTGTGAACTTGGGGAGCGAACTCAACTACCTTCAAATAACTATGTGGATGACCTGTCAATTGTTAAATGTAGGAACTGTAACCGCAACCATCTGAATTACAAAAGTCTATGGACTATCATCGAATGACGATGGAAACGCCATTAATCGCAACAACAACAACAACAATCTAACCTGGTGTGATCATAATCATAATAGATGAACCCCCCCCAAAAAAAAAAAAAAAATAAATAAATAAATAAATAAATAAATAAAAAATAAATAAATAAAAATAAATGAATAAAAATAAACTCATAAATGCATAAATAAATAAATAAATAAATAAATAAATAAAATAAAATAATAATAATAATAATAATAATAATAATAATAATAATAATAATAATTTTTAAATGTGCTCAAATGAATGTTTGTTTCCTATTCTCCCCAAATCGATCCTGCAGTTTCTACTGGAAAATGAACTGGCTATACTGTAAAGGCCACCAAAATATTAGGAGTAATTATTCAGAATGACTTAAAATGGGATCAAAACATAATATCATAAACTTCGGAGCAAACAGCAAAATTCATATGCTTAGACTACTGAAACGTCATGGTCTACCCTAGCTATGATGACTTCTTGACCATAATACATGTGCTACATAAGGCCTGTCATTGAATATGCAGCCCCTGTATGGAATGGAGGCATCACTAAAAACCAAATCACCAGGTTAGAAAGAGTCAAAAAGAGAATTTTGAGAGACTCAGTGATTATCGGTGCACGTTACTCAACTTATGACACTGTCCTAGATGAATTGAAAATCGAATCTCTCTCTGATAGAAGAAAGAGTTTGTGCTTGTCGTTCTTCCAAAGACCCTAATCTACACTGATCAATTTAAACAGTAATTCTCTCCGGAAAATAATTCAAGAACACTAAGACGTAAACACCAAATCCCTGAACAATATAGATGTAAAACTAAACGAATGCAAAATAGTCCAATTCCGTACCTCATCCGTGCACTTAACCAAAGTAAACGATGAACGATCCCCCTTTTCGTGTACTCTTCAGGCTCGGCAATTTCATTACCTTTTTGTTTTGTTTTGCTTTGTTGTTCTTTGACACCCCTCTTTTTCTTCTTCTTCTTCTTGTTCTTCTTGTTCTTCTTGTTCTTGTTCTTGTTCTTGTTCTTGTTCTTCTTCTTCTTCTTCTTCTTCTTCTTCTTCTTCTTCTTCTTCTTCTATACTTCTTTTTCTTCTCCTTCCTTTTTTCTCCTTTTATTTCTTCTTTTCTTTATTTCTGGACTTATCTTCTTCTTCTCCTTTTTTCTTTCTTTCTTCTTTCCCTTCTCCTTATTCTAATTCCTTCATTCTTTGATTTGATTGGCTTGCCTTTGCCAGTGTATACACTCATACCAATTTTTTGTATTGTATTTGTTTCATGATTTTTAAAGTATTTCTTTAAAACTCCATTTTACCCTAGTTTTACCATATTGAATTGAACTTAATTGAATTTAACTGAATCTGTCATGTGACAATAGTTTATAATCCCTCTTCACCACCATCTCTTGTCTACTTTAGGCATTGTTTTATATTTCCACATTGTTTTGTTCTTTTACTCTTTTAACTCTTTTATCTTTATCTTCTCTTTCTTCTTCTTCTTCCTTTCCCTTCTTTTCCGTATCCTCCTACATCATATTTTCCATTGTCGCTTTCTACTGTACTGTTTCCTATACCTTTCCCCCTCTCAGCCTTCAGTACTCTTCCTCTTTAAATCTCTTCCATGCACTCTTAATTTCAATGAGTTATTGTATTTGCAAACGTTAATCCTCATCACCTTTCAGTTTTACTCTCGATTTTTTGGTAATTTTACCACATATCTCCTATTGTAATATTTTGTGGGCAATATTCAAGTGTGTGACAAATAATATTCTTCTGCCTGCAAAAGAAAGCCGTAAGCATTATACCCGAGCTGGAACATGACTATATACCCCACTATTTGTTAAACTGAAATGCTTAAAAGGTTCATGATATTTGGCCTCCAAATTGCGATATTTATGTTCCGTTTCAATATAAAATCGTTACCTATTAATTATCTTCAGCCATGCACAAAGAAAACGAAAGACTTGATGCATGGCTGATCGTCAACGAAACGGAGTTAAGACTTTTGTCAACTCTGTTTGTTGCTACGGCAGGCAGCCAGTGAAAACGATTTCGTTTGATCAAATTATGGAAATGCAAGCTTTACTTTAATCAAACAGGACATTGTTATTCCTGGCTCATTTTTCCTGATTAAGGTGTCATAATTATGAAAGGGCAGAACTTTCTAGAAATGTGATTTTCTCTTTGACATTCAGTGCTCGCCAAGTGGCTTTTTAGTACCCTCTCTTCGAATTGTTTGTAATCACTCATGCGTGAAATATGCATCATATGAGTTGCATTAAATGAAAGAGGAGGATCTACGCTTTACAAATATTTGTCATTTATTAATTATAATTGTGATTAAGTTATGATTAAACATCGATAATTCTCGGTTTCGTTTTTTCTGGGACACATTGTATTGCGGGAATTTCATCTCAAGCTGGCGCACTTCCATTTCTCTCAGCTAGCTCAATGTTGACTTTGTGTTTCGAATTCGACGTTCAATTAGATATTACATCATTATAGAAATGGCGTCTGCTGCACTGCGTTCTGGGCTGAAAATTACCTGCAAATCTCCCGTATTTCGGCGATGTTATTCTAAAGCAGTTTTGTATGATCATGTAATTGATCGTCGGATTAGCAGTCCGGCAAAGATTCTTTCAGATAGTGACATGTGGGATGAGTATAATTCCCTTAAAAGTTACTGCGAAGGGTTCGGTAAGTTAACAATTACAACCGGCTAAATGACGGGGGTAAATGATCGTGTGCCAAGCCATGCCATGGGCGCATGTAATTCTTATGCGCTGAACAAATACGTTATCCCCTGGCCTGGCAAGGCAAGGGACCCTCTCGCCAAGCGATCACGGCCGGCCCTAGCCGTCGATCGTCGCGCTGGGGCCTGCTTTTGAACCGGACCTAGGCTACATGCATGTAGATAAGGTTTTGGCCTACTTCTTATTCTAGACCGATATTCTGCCTCTTCTTGTTCTTGTTTCTTTGCCCTGCTTCAGTAGAAGCTTAGTTACATTAGACCTCTTGCCAAGTCTTCAACTATGTATGAGTATGAAACCCATTTTAATGATTAGACTATCGACCTGGGCAGCGTCTCACGAAACCGTCATAAGTACAAGTTGGCTGACATCCCATTGTAACATGTGTATTAAGTTTAACACACGTTTCAATGGGATGTCGGTGAACTTGTAGTTATGACGGTTTCGAGAAACGCTGCCCTAGTCACTTAATACTAGATCTAGGCCTACTTGGGTATAGACTACTTACTTGGGTGTAGAGACTGGAAGCTTAGCTATTTGTCCCTCTATTTCTGTTGCATCCTGTCTTAAGTATGGTTCAAACTAAATAATCAATGAATCAATGAATATGCAGTAATATGATTATGAATATGAGGCCAAGTCAAAAGTGTAATGTTGCAAAATGCATTGTTATTGTCGACTGAATTCTTTATTTGTTTGGATGATGCAGAGCTACCAAGTGTCACGCATTAGGCGTGACATCATGCATTTGGAGGGTCTGGAAATGCTCTCACACACGGCGTGCGCACTAGATTTAGAAAAAAGGCTATACCTTATACGTGTGTTATACCCTCGCACGCGCGCTTGTGCGCCGAAAAATTAAAATGTCACGCATTGCCGATCTTTGAACTTGGCGTCTCTGATGATGGGTATTGCGTTTAAAATATGTTGTGGTGGTCGTGCATGTTACTTATCACATTGTAATTTTTCTTCCCATTTGAATTATTCAGCTGCAAATCACTGATACAAAGTCAATCCAATGGGAGCAACTTTCTTTAGAATACCCCACCACAAAATTGACCAAACGTTTGTAGGGTACCACACGCAACTTCACCAATCAAGCTAAATCTCAAGACTTAAAGGAATCGTTTAACAATGTTAAATCTGAGATGCACGGCCCTACGTGTTATGTGTCTGTAATATGGTGTTATAATGAAGCCCTACCTCTACATTTGCCACACTCCACCCAGGTGATGTAAATGGGTACCTGGTAGGAATTTATTCCTTGAAACGCAGCGCGCGTAACAGCTGCACTGCTAAAGCCAGGGTAATTATGCTGCATTATTGTAGAGTGCTTAGAGACTTCTGACAAAGTAAGTGTTAGGTGCTATATAAGCACTGTAATTATTATTATTATTACAAAATTGCACTTCAAAATTATTAAGGAGTGCCTCAAAAAAGTAAAAACATTTTAGTGATCGGTTTTACCATACTCGTTTTCCCCAATAGACTGTAGTGTTATGAAAACTGTTTGGCAAACACTAGATTTGATTTTGATTTTCAATCATAAATTCTTGATAATCAGACGGGCGATCGGCTTGAAAAAGTCATGGGGTTCCTGACTGACTGACCTAAAGGTTTAATTATCATTGCAGCATAAGCTAAATCAAGGATTTTTTTTAAAGGATCTAAGACAAACTTTTTAAGTAACACTAAACCTAATCCTAACCCTAACCCTTACCCTAGGTATTCAACGTCTATGTACATTAACCCTATTGGTGGGGTATTCCAGGGCTCTCACTCAGCTTTTTTTCTTGGTTGCCAGCCGGGCATCCTGTGTTGTTTTTTTTTTGTTGCCAAATGGCAGTTTAGGTAGTCACAGTGAATACGTTTTGTGTAAGTGCATAAATCTGCCATCGCGTCTGTCGCGCCGTCCAAATTACCATTCACCATGACCGCCAAAAACTCGATCCCTACGCTCCGTCTCGCAACCGCGAAACTTTCCGTGTTTTCGCGTACATGTGCGTGCGACTTGGTAAGCCAGGTGAATCAAGTTTTTTACGACCAAATTTGTGTATACAGTTTGATACGGAGATTCATACGCGCAGACCAAGAAATGCACACAATAAATACAAAGCTTACTAGTAGAGAGCGACCACTCGTAATCGTTATTTTACGGGGGCGTTTTGCGATTTGAGCCCCATCCCAGTAATCGGAATTTGGGCTTATTTTTTTGGTTGCCAGCCGGGCAGCCAAGACGGGACTTTAAGGTTGCCCGGTGGTGTTTTAGGTGGTCAATGGCACCTGGGCAACCGCTAATTTCGAGCCCTGAATTCTAAAGTTAAGCCATCAAATGATCATATTTGCCACCAATGAAGTTACACATGTAGCTTAGATTATATTTTTTTGACATATTAATTTTTCTTCCCCATTCTAATTCTTCAGCTGCTAATCATGGATACAAGGTTGACCCAATGACCGTATTTGCCAACAATGAAGTTAGCTTGGACGATATCGAGGTATATGGATTCGACTACGACTACACACTGGCCTGCTACAATGATGCATTACATCATCTCATCTATAAGCAGGCTCTCGATAACCTCATTCTCAAGAAAAGGGTATGTGATGATGTTTGAGAATTGTTGCACCTGCCTGCTATTAAAGAAAACGTGTATATGCGTGTAAGTAATTCCAGGGGATCAACGGCTTTAAAGTTAAAAGTCCTCTCTGAGGGGACTTGGTAATGAGGATTAATCTTTAATTAAAATGCACATGCGCATTGACTTGGTTTTTAACCCGGGACCTCCCGGTTGCTACATAGACAGTAGTTTAGTCAAAAGTAATCTGGAATTTTAGTATAATTTGAGGGAATTCAACTCTTATGAAATAAAAGAGAGATTAAATCAAGTATTATACTATGGATATTATTGGTCCTATACAGGGAAAGGGATTCATACTGTTCAAAAATTTACATTTGAGTCATTTAGTGTGTTGGAACAAATAAGTAAGTTGTTTGGCACTACGTCATAATGACATAACTGAGTCAGCCAATTTGAAATGCCCATACGTACAAGTGTATATAGAGATTACAATTTTCAAAACTTTTAACTTTCTTATTTTGTTTGTCTGCTTCCATTCAATATTTCATCAGTCTGCTTTAGAGTAGTTGTCTATCCAGGTTGTATTTTTCTTTAAATGATGACTATTATCTAGAGTCTTGTACTGTATGTACAAGTACCTACATCCATACCGAGTACCGTTATACATGTACCTAGACTGTACATAGTCATACACAGCTGTATACAATATCTCATTTCATTTTTTTGTTTACACTGCTTGGAGCATCCCTCTGTATCCATTCATCGAGGATAACATATAGGGCCCATTACAGATGGATTAAATCACATTAACCTTCAAGACCTGTTCACATTTATAAGTTAATCCACTTCAGCAAAGTAAAATCTACTTTACATGTATATTAAATGAATACCAAGTAGGGTTACAATAAAGTCACATCTCACAGACAATGAAAACGGTTTGTTACGATACAGCTGCCCTACATGTACCTTTTCTAAGAATACACACGGTACACAGTAGAGTGTACCTTTCATTAAAATGATAATAATGGTTTATTTCTTTAACAATATATACATTGCAGGCTAGAGGCAGGATTGTACGATAGTGTTTACAAGATAAATTAAACAAATAGAATCATAACAATACGAGTTTAACATTCTTTATGCGATTGTAAATTATTATAAATGAGCATGATACACACATTTGAATCTGCCATTAAATGAGCAGTACGTTTTAAATGTATAGATGAGCGTTCAAAAGAGTATAGGTAGTGTAATAATAATAATAATATTGGATATTTATATAGTGCACATATCCACTCTGCTAGGCTACCGATTTCGGTGCTCACAGCATTCAAGGAAATCCTTCCTACCGGTACCGCTTTCACACCTGGGTGGAGAGTGGCAGATGTAGATTAATGTCTTGCCAAGGGACATAAGTGCTGCGGTGTTACTCGAACCGCAAAACCTGTGATCTACAGTCCAACGACTTATCCACTAGACCACATCACCTCTACATGTATAATGTAAAGGATGACTACGTAACAAAGTATGAGGCATAAAATATTGTTATTCTAATCGGTACATAACTGTGGGGCACATTACGCTGCTGCTGTTTTGAGGTGGTTTACAGCGTGGCGTGTGAACAGGGTTTTATTAGAGCTTGAGTTGTCACAGCCTCTGCCCTAGGCCAAACGAGATTGTAAAATCAATAATGCAGATCATGTGTGTGCACTGGATGCTGGGGAAGACGATACCCAGGGGACTTTGTGCATTCTCATAGGTTGTGAGGGTCTGCAAATGTTACAGTTCAAGATGCATTTCATTAAACCCCGGTAGCAGTCTTGACCAAGAGCAAGACAAGAGAACATTGCGAATAAAATTAATTGTACTTTGTGAATTAATCTTGGTCCCATTTTCTATGAATGCAATGATGTTACACCAAGGTTCTTTTTCAAGGGGTTTCTCTACATCTTCACGATGGGGGGGGGGGGGGGGGGGGGGGGGGGATAACAATTTGCTGCATAGGACACACATTTAATTATCTTATTATCTAAAATCATTAAGGGAGGGTACACTACCCCCCCTCCCCCCACCCCCATGAACACAAATTATGCTGTACTTCTGCACTTCAACAGCCAAGCATTTCCCATGTACAGATTGTGGTTAGTTAAAAAGTAGATTTGTGACAGTGTGTAATTTGGGTGTCAAATTAGATGCAGATGATGCAGAAATAAGCTGATGTCTAGTTAGTTGTACTTAATAATGTCAAAAGTAAGAAGATGAAATTAGGAATACATGCATTTGTCATCCTGCATGATTTCCAAAAATTGATATTAAAGCTTAATATGCTATTGCTATGTTTTGCAAAGTGGATGTAATATGAAATCTAATAATAAAATAGCATTGTTATTTATCATTTTCTAAAATATTCTTTTCTTTTCAGTTTCCCCCTGGTATCCAAGATATGCCCTACAACCCAGACTACCCTATCAGAGGACTTCATTTTGATACTAAGAAGGTAGGTCTACTCTATGTACATGAGTTTTGATAAGTCATTTGTTCAAAAATGGTTTAATAGAGTATAGGATACTGGTCCTAAACAACAACCTGCGTATGAGGTTCACCGCCAAATAATTCAAGCAACAGACTGGAGCAGGGCAAATTCAATGTTTGGGCACTAGTGTGATCACCACACCATTGTTTAGCACAAAATTATTTGGAACTAGCAACCTTGACAACTTGGCCAGTATGTCGTCACACTTTGGTACTCTTTTGGGTACTGGCGCACAATACAAGACAATTGTGCCAGTTTTCAGGTAAAAGCCCCATTTCATGCCATGTATCAGGCTTTTCTAGAATACAAAATACAGTAGCACATTGTAGATGATTTTCAGACCCTAGCTCTCACAGATTCTGTCTAGCTATAATATATTTCAATTATCATAGATAGTAAAAAAAACAAAAAAAACAAAAAAACATTTCAATTGTTTACCTGTCAGTTCTTACTTCATATCATAGCTTGGCTGATCGATTTTCTCATCAAAGATATTTGCTAGTCCACATAGTTTTTTTTCTTTTCTTCATGTTTGAAGTACCTGATATCAATTTCATATCCAGGCAAATGTTGCTATGTGTTGTTTTTATGGATATACAGACTTTGCTTGACTGTAGGAGATGTATACCAACAATTTATCCTTATCTTACATACTTTGGTCATGTCTCTCAGTGACCATAAAATAAGGTGTTTATGGGTAGGTGCAGAGTGTTTGACCCTAGAAGAGATCTAGTAATGACCATAAGAATGTTAAAAAGTAGCTTATAAATACTTAAGGCATATTCAACCCTTCATAATTTCATTTTTTAGATGCACTTGTGTATAAGACGCACCACTATTTTGGGGACCGAGAATTTTTTTGGTTGTTTTTTTTGCTCACTCTGTAGGCATCAAGCCAGGTCCGTGTTCGAATTTGTGCTTGAGAACTTGTCACAAATAATAGTAACAATTTTGTTTTTAAAACTAAAGGTGACAGACAAATTTTCCTCAAAATCCAAACGGAAATCCTGGCATACAGGTAGTGTTGTTCTAATTTCCGAGTGGTATGACTGAGCAGGAGACATTGCCAGACAAAAAAATCGACACTTTAAAAAAGATATTAACAAAAAAAAAATTGTTTTCCTTCTTTTTTTCTTCTTCTGTACCTGTGTATAAGATGCACCCCCGACTTTCAATTTTTTTATTTTTATTCGGCGGAAAAAAGGTGCGTCTTATACACAGAGATTTACGGTAAGCAATGAATTTATTTTGTTTTCCCTAATTCTCCAATATTTACAGGGTGTTCTGTTGAAAGTGGATGCTTTCCATCACATACAACTAGGTACAGTGAGAAGGTGTGTATCTTTTTCCCCTTTATATTAATAATGTGCTTATAAAGTCTCTAAGCGCTATTTGTTTCATTCGTTCAAGTATTCTGTGAGAAAAGAATAAAAACAAGAGTTATTTTCATGAAAATAACTCTTGTTTTTATTCCATTTTCTATCTTAATCCCCAGTTTCCTGACTGTACATTTTTTGTTTAAATTTGTTTTAATCATATAAAAAATTAATCAAATATTTTGGGAGAGGGCATTTGTTCCTGTGAAATCATAAAATTCACTTCATATCTGCTGCTATATTTGATATGAAAATGACTATTTACAGAAGGCCAAGCATACATGTGTGTCCCATGTTCATTACCAAGTGTTATTTGTGAACGTAAATTTACATAAAAGTATCTTTTCATTTTGATGTTTTGTCCGATTCAAGCTCTAGTAGGGCTATCACTATGAGCTTCATGCAGTCATTAGATTACTGAAATTCTAGATGCAGTCGGTATATGGGACAATATAGCTCGGACTTTTACAGTATATTTAACAATTATTTTGAACAAATGATGGCCATCTAGCAGTAATACGGTAGGCCATTTTTGTAATGTCACCAATTATACTTAAGTGCCTCAATACAAATTATTTCATTCACCTGTTACAAATAATTGTATTTCAATAGTCAGAATGCGGATTGCATATATACGTGTTGTTAGGTAGGACAAGGTGACAAGCCATAATGTTTATTCTACCTAGCAAGAAATACTGTATGCATGCGATTTGATTTCTGACTATTAAAGGTAAAGACCAGTATTGGAAACGCCCCAATTTCAAAAAATGAAATGGAAGCTCTCATTACCAATCATGTGAAAGAATATGTTTTGACTAATACATGATGATAAAAAATTTGCCGGGAAACCGCCTACTAATTCATATATTTGGTAAATTTGTTTCTCTCATGGTCTGTGAGAGATATAGGGTAGTCCCATATACATCTTCCGGTGTATAGTGCTTGTAACTTTACGAAGAATGGGCCAAATTTCTTATCATTTTGATGATTCCAGAACCTTGCAGATGCTAGATGCTAGATGATCAACCTTTTCTGATCGATTCCACAACGTTTCTTTCACAATGCAATCGCATGACCATAACTGGTCTTTATCTTTAAGATATATCTATTCATAACAGGTGAATGAAATAATTTGCATTGAGGCACTTCACAAAGACAAATGCATTACATTTGGTTACATTACAAATAAAGCCTATTACGGAGCATGCACTTTATAGATGCAGCAGCTGCTCTACAGTGATATTTGATGATCAACGTACATATTTTGATAATAATTATTATCTCTTCACAGGGGATTGCAGGCAGTCAGTAATGAAGAAGTGATAGAGATGTACGGTGGAACTCATATACCTGACGAAATGATCGTTGATCGCAGCATGCATGGCTATGTGAGTATGAGAGTGTACAAGATTGATTTATCACTTGCATCTTGAGACCCTAAGTCAAGCAATCACGGTCTAAACCTCTAAACTTCCACCGTGGAATAAAATAAGCATGACCGAGGAAAGGATAGTATGAAAAGGTATCATTGACCATTTTTCAAGTACAGTCAAATCTACTTTAGTGACCACCTGTCTACAAAGACCACATTTTTTGTTTCCCTTGAAAATGGTTTCTCATTGAAACATTTACTAAAAGATCATGTCTACAAAGACCATTTTGGGGGCGGTCGCTATAGACAGGTTTGACTGCATCTGTAAAGTAACCATACTCTTATGTCCATATGGCCTTAACATCCAAGAGAATAATATTTTTTGATATTTATTCATTTATATATTGCAACCGAATTGTTGGATTTTAAATACAAGTATAAAAATCAATCCATTTCAACGATAGAAATGATTCACACCGTGAGCTTATGTAGAGTAAACAAATTGAGTGGTTTATTAATAAATGAATATCTATGTGCTTGCTACAATCAAATTGTTACACAATATCAAATAAATTGAATACAAGAACTGGATGTGAGCTTACGAGTACAATACTTCATATGATTGTGTTTAACATCAAAACTAGGTTTAGTTAGGAATACTGATACATGAAAAATTTGAACTGTTTTTTGTATGTTTGATGTTCTCTAGGAGAAAGGTCTACGTCAGTTGATGGATATGTTTGCCACCGCCGAGATGTGTCTCCTTGTCAACGTTATTGAGGTATGTTGACTAAAAACAGAAGGTTAAGTTCTGGGAAAGGTGAAAAAATAATTTGTGAGCTTTTTCATTCATTTTATGATAGTGTTGAGGAATATCTTAGAAAAAAATGTCCCCTTGGAAAGGATGGCTCTTCAAATGAAATATTACAAGAAAAAAACTAAAATGTTTTGAACATATTCTTTCATGCCACATGTTTGTGTGGTCTTATGTACACATTTTCTTGTAAAGTACATTATGATCATCATTCTTCAGACAAATATGTCAAAACAATTCTTGAAATGTTGACAATGGACCTTTTGATGTACTGTTAGTTTTCCTTGAATGTTAAATAAAGATGTTCATGAGTTGGTGTATAGTCATTTGTAAAGTAGGCAACTTGGCAATCACTACATAACACTGAGCCAACAGGTATTACGCTCCCGTGTATCGTTGATGTTCTGCCCTCTATATACCCATGCATGAGCAACTTTAATATAACATAAGAATTATTGAGACAACGGGTTGGTAAAATTTAAAAATGTCAACCTTTATTTCTTAAGAGATATACGTGTTGCTTTTGGCTGCTCACTACCAGAACCGTTTGCAATTAATTATTTATCCCTCTTTTTTCCCCTTTATTTCAGTACTTAAGAACGCGTGGATTTGACTACGATCCCGAATACCTCTTTCATGATATCCATGTAAGTATAAATGGGATATATTTTTATTTGTGAAAGTCCAATGATTTCTTTGCAAATTGTCTGCAGAGTAAAATACAACTCTTTTCTTCAACTTGAAGAGGTGTTGCGGTCCAGTGGCTAAGTCTCTGGACTGTGAAACAATAAGGTACAGGGTTTGAATCCCTGTCACAGCACTTATGTCCGTTGGCAAGACATTAATCTATGTTTGCCCTTCTCCACCCAGGTGAAGTAAATTGTTACCTGGCAGGAATGAGTTCCTTTAAGCAATTATAACATTTAGATACACAAACAATAATAGAATAACATACTAGTGAAATAATAGCTATTTAACTACATACTTGGGGAGTTTGGTGTAATATGATGTTATGTAATTGAAGTGAAAATATGTAGGCAAAAAAGGAAATGAGTGCCCTTTCTAATCGCAAATCATAATTTTTTTTAATGAGTTTAAAGAAAGACTGATATGATAATATGGAACTATACGGCTCATGAAAAAAAAGGAATGAGAAAAAGAAGAAAAAAAACACGCAATTGATGTAATACTATATAATTATTTAAAGTATTCTATAATTAAGGATGATTACTTAGTGATGTCAGCAAATATGTAAAGTTATTTAAGTGAAGCCAGTAAGTAAAAATGCAAATTGGAATTGTATCAGATAACAAGGGATGTCTAATCAAGTCATTATTACAAGCAGGACATTTCTTTAGATGCAAGATAATTTACAACTATAGGAACCTAGGAGAATGTGCATACATTGTGTGCGGGTAAGCCTGAATCCGATGACTGGGGTAATAATATATCTGTAAAGTGCTTAGACACATTGTTGTATCGATGTGTTGGGCGCTATATGAAAGCGGAATATTATTATTATTGCCACATTGATGTTTGAAAGACTTTTTACTTGTTATATTTTAGAATGCAGTCAAAGAAGTGCACCAATCAGGTTCAATGCACACAGAAGTTGCTAACAATGTCCGTAAGTCTTGATTATTAGTAATAATTCATATATTATTATTATTATTATTATTATTATTATTATTATTATTATTATTATTATCATTATGAAGTACCAGTATTTGGCATCAACTGTGCCTAGGAGGGGGAAAGCCAACTGAATCATTGTAACCCCTTAGTCTGTCCATCCTGTATAACTGATTGGGGTGTGCAGGTGGACCACTACACTGGGGTTATCCCCTACTCTTATACGAATAGTGCAGTGGGTTCTTAACGCACAGAGATGGTGACTCTCCACTACACAAGGCATCCAATGAACATCTTATCCTGGGAATGGAGTGTTTTCCACTGTAACATAGCCTGCATCTATAAAACTTCAGTCATCCGCCTGGGTTGGAGTTGAACCCACGATCTTTGGTTCAACGGGCCCAAACCTTTTCCAACTGACCCAATTCCCCTCCTCTAGTAGATAGAGATATCATTAAACTTTAATACTCCAAATGAAATTGAACATCCTTCAACTTAACAATTTATAAAATTCAGTTTAATTATTTCCTGTGACATGGAGTATTTCCAGATACCATACTGGCATGTCAGTGGTCATGAACAAAAAAGTATATGGAATACACAGATCAGATATTACAGGTTCGACATTGTAATAATTTCTTTGTATGTTACCATGACAGATGAGTATCTGCAGATGGATACTGGTATACCAGAGCTACTTCAGAGGCTACATGATGCGGGCAAACAACTCTTCCTCATCACCAACTCAGAATTTGCTTTTGTGTAAGTCTAAGACCCTGTAATCCTCCTCCAATCCCTTTTGTTTCGAAGAAATGCGGCACTAATATCATTTGGCAAGATATTAATCTACATTTGCCACACTCCACCCAGGTGGGGTAAATGGGTACCCGGTAGGAAGAAATTCCTTGAATGCTTGAGCGCCTTTTCATGGTAGCTTGGTTAAAGCCAGGGTAATGATATGATAGCAGGGCCATCCGGGAGAACAGTATTAATACTGATGAGGCTACCCTGGGTAAAGAAGATATATTAGTAATATTATTATATATCTTGACTGTTAGCTGTCGAATCGAATTTAGCGATCACGGTCGTTTAATTGAATAGTCTGATTTTCAGACCTTTATACTGAATGGCTGTACAAAAATTCAATCAGTTTAATTTTGGCCATTACAAGAAGTGGGTTATTGATGTAGACATATACTCATGTACCCTTTATGGCTCATTTTAGTTATGTCATTACCATAGAAAAAAAGAAGTCGGTCACTCACTCAATAGGGTGTGGTAGTGAAGTCTAGAAAGTAAACAGGTTTCCTTGCATAATTTGAATACTAGGACACTGCTGACGTTTAAATTTCACAGATAGGACATACGTGACATATTCTTAATTCCTGCAAAGTTCTACATAATATGATGTTTGCTGCAAAAGGGATACACTACCTTTAAAATATAATCTAAAGCGCAATTTTGTCAATTTGTTCATACAGGAACAGTGGTATGTCCCACCTAATCGGACCAGACTGGGCTAATCTCTTCGATATCATCGTAACTCAGGCGAGAAAGCCACAGTTCTTCAGCGATACTACAAGGTATGTTGACAAAAGTACTATGAATTTTATACGGGGGCGCTGTTCAATAATGCATTCCAGAGCCATCTATACACAGAGTTTGGCCAACTTGGTTTCACTGGGTCATAATATGGCGTATATTCTTTTATTTTGTGCTTACCCAACAAAGCAGTAGTCGCCATGTTGTGTCCAACTTGAACCGGGTTGGCAAAACTCTGTGTATGGATGGCTCTGATGGATTCTATGCTTGACAGTGATCTAACAAATTATGCTGGTGACAATTATTCATCAAATTTAAAGATTAAGGTCAGAGTTTTACTTAGGTTTTAGATTAGGGTTGTTATCTGATTTTAAATTAGGGTTGGGAAAGGGGTGCAACTGGATTTAGATAAGATTTATGGTTAGGGATAAGCTTAGGCTTAGTGTTTGGTCAAGGGTAACAGTTAAATATTCAATTAGCATACATAGGGAATAGATCGTTGGAAGTTTTCTTCCGTAGTTGTACTGAGCGAGGCGGCAATTCGCTCGAAGATGTCGTTGACGAAGAAAATGTTTTCATAGGACCACATTGATGTCAAGAAGAACAACTCAAGTCATTTTCTGGTTCTTGTGGCAGGGCTTAAAGCCCCTCTCAAGTGTTGGGAGCCCCAAATTCACGAAAAATTTGACTGCAGAATTTCACTTAAATTGTATCATAATGTGAAAGAGTCATTTATGACGCGCTTCTGCAAAGATTTCCCCCAGAAAATGTGTTTGAAGACAAATGTTGACAAAAGAAACCGTAATTTGAGTTTTCTGTTGTATGCAGGAAACCTAAATTTTGTATTCTTTCATGAATATTCAACTTCAATCACATTTGTTTTAAAAATCACAACATTTTAGGGCTCCCAACACTTTAGAGGGGCTTTATCACTAACCAGGATCTGAGAGCAAGAGACTCAATAATTTAGAAAATCCCATTATTAAGTCAAGAAATAGAAAGTAAATTTATTTTCAATTTATTGCTGTCAGGGAGTCTCTGTCTCTAACAATAAGACTGATTGTTCTACTGATTTAAAGGCTTGGTGTCTGGTAGCTTCCTGGTAGAATAACAAAAAACAGATTCATAATAATAATAATAATAATAATAATAATGGTGGCTTCTTATATAGCGCACATGTCCGTCACGTCACGCTCCTGTAATGTAGGGTGGGTGGTGGTGGTTATTTTACCTGACTGCTAAGAAAGCATAAATGCTTGTAGGTAAACAACCAAAGGACCGACAGCTTTAAGTCCTCTCCGAGGGACCTGGTAGTGAGGATTATAAATGCCTTACCAAAGGGCACTAGTGCATCGCCTTGGTTTTGAACCCGGGTCGCCGGATTACGAGACCAAGTTGCTCTACCAACTGAGCTACATGTATAACGCCTCTATTTTAGGGGTTATTCTGTTATAGGCATTGGCCAGCCAGCATATTATCAACATTTCATTAGTAGGATTCTAATGTATGTATTTGTTCTTTATTTTCTCCCTTGCAGACCTTTCAGATCAATCTACAGAAAGACGGGGACACCCTCTTGGGCTCAAGTAACGGAGCTTAAGAAAGGAAAGATTTATGTTGAGGTGAGTTACAAAGCAGTTCAAGTCCTTGATCAGTTCATTAGTTCTTTTCTTTTTTAGTTACAATATTATTCCTATGTTTGATATAGACTTTCACTGTGATAAGTGGGAGAAGGGGGTGGTGAGGACTAGGGGGAGGGGGGTAGTCAACAGAAATTTTCAGCAGCGAGACCATGCTGGACTTTCAAAATCATTTTGATAAGCATTCCTCATTTTCCAGTAAAAGTCAGTCAAAGGCCGTTTCCATTTTAGGGGTTATTCTATTTATAGGCATTGGCCAGCCAGCATATTATCAACATTCCATTATTAGGATTCTTGAATAATTTAATTAGACACATATTTGTATTGTTTGTCTGTTTGTTTTACCTGACTGCAAAGAAAGCAAGTGTATGCTTGTAATTAAGCAACCAGGGGACCGACGACTGTAGGTCCTCACCCAAAAGACTTAATAATGAGGATTAATGCCTCACCAAAGGGCACTAGCGCATCGACTTGGTTTCTAAGCCAGGACTTCCCGGATACGAGACTACTGCTCTACCACTGAGCTATCGCGCCTGCTACTGTTCTGACATATCAAAATATCTGAGATATCCTAAAATAGAAGGACAGTTTGTCTGTTTCAATAAATTGTTCATAATGCATACAAACTGATGAATTTCTTTACAAATACCATTCTCCCTGCAACTGTACCCTCATAATCACTGTATATTTATTTATTTTTAGGGCAACGTTGAGCAGTTTACCAAACTAACAAACTGGCACGGTTCCGGTGTGCTGTATTTTGGAGACCATGTATACAGTGATCTCGTGGAGCCTTGCTTGAAGAATGGTTGGAGGACTGGGGGCATCATACCTGAACTTGATGTAAGTACTCCTATCTCTCTCTTTTTCGGGATGCCTGGATCGATAGTATGACGCATTTATGTATGCTTTTGCAAATGCTGCACAGACATCTTCTAAAATGAGTTGGATTCCCAACTCTAACTCCAGGTAACAACACTACAGATTATACCTAATTTAAAGATAAAGGTGAGTTCTGCTAATGCGATTGCATTGTGAAAGAAAAGGTGTGGAATGGATCAGAAACAGTTTATCATGTAGCATGCAAGTATTGGTGTGCACTGCAAAGTTCTGGAGTCATCAAAATCATAATAAATTTGGCAGAGTCTTGGTAAAGTAACAAACACTGTACACAGAAAGCTATATATGGGACAACACACATGGTGTCGGGGCTAGTACTACCTTGATTTCCTTGTCTTTCTATGCTCATTACTCAGCCAGTATACATTTTCTTCCAAAATTGTTTGGCACATGTCATTTATTTGTAATCTCGAATATTATTATTATTATTATTATTATTTATTAGGCCAATCATAAAAGCACAATACAAATACATTTTGACAGATCATGCAATACATAAACAATACAAGAGGAAAAGGGAGGGAGCAATGTGTGGGCCAGGGCTCACAAAAGTGAAATTCAACACTATTACCCAGAGGCATGTGAGCCCTCACATGTTGCTCCCAAATCAACTTATATATATTTTGAAACATAACATTGACTTACATACAATATTGCACATTGTATATTGAATATTCAGTGTAAGTTTTGTTTGATTTCACAAAACTTGTCATCAGTGACAAATGACAGTTTTGTTATAAGCTACTGAAATCCTTGCTTCTGATTGGTTATCAGCAGATTTGTCACTGATTTTAGTCATTTGTCATTGAAAAAAGGCCTCGTGAAATGGGTCCCTGATCGCCGTACAATGATGAGTAAGTCCCGTGCCTCCATAACACCCTTCCTCCCCAATCTACATTTGCTTTTATACAGAATATAATGTTCTCAATAGCTGGTGCTATGCCATAGACAACCTCAGGAAATGATCTCATCTATAAGATCACCATGTATGACAGTTGCATAGCTTTATTCATGCCACTTACTGCAAGTGGTATGCCAGAGACCCTACTTGAGCATATTTTCATGTAATAGCTCCCTCTTGTGTTTTGAGATGAACCATTTATGTAGTCCTGAACTATAGTTCACCTACCTGTATATTGTAGTCTGCAATCTCAAACCTTTTTTTATTATTTGTATTTGTATATTTGTTTAATTAGCAGATGATGAGGGATAGTACTGTTTGTTTCTGTGTTATGTCATACAGTCAAACCTGCTTTAACACCTGTATAGTAAAACCACCTGTCTGCTATAGTCACATTGGTAACAAGGAACGACGCAAGTGGGTTAAGTAGCTTAATAGGCTGGAAAGTAGAGCTACTGTTCAGATAATCTCAAAACTGCAAGACACGAGAACCAGTAGCTTGGACTGCATGAATTATTAGTCTAGGAAGTAAGTGGCCACCAATCTGAAGAAAATGTTGTTTAAACTTACGATATATGCAATAGTTTCCAATAAAATAGGCTTCCGGTACAAACAATAAAGTTGAGAAAACTACTCCATATCATAAGTTCGCACACTAATCACACTAAACACTTTTATTTCTTATAATTTTTTAAACAAAAAAATCATTCTTCTATGATAATGTTTTATAGTGTCAAAACTCTCACATATACAGTTAAACATCTAAAGTAAATTGTAAATATGCTGTTTGATTGTTTTCGTGACAAAAAATGAAAGGTGGACTGATTGTATTAAGCCCTTTGTTGAATACTTTTAGATCAAAGTTTTGATATATCCTATTCTCAAGAAACATAAATCCAAGTCAATTTTTCACATACTTACAAAATGACAAAACTTGGTAAGGGCATGAATAATTAAGTTGATAACTGTAAAGTTTGTCATTGGGAAATCATTTCTGTTCAATCCACAAGCTTTCCAGTTGATTCCATGGTATCATTTTAGTATTCTGCTTGTACGACATATTCTATTACAGAAATTCAAGAGCTTAAACAGCGTGTCCACACACAAAACAATTTATCCCGAAACTCTATAACGATACGTCGTATAAAGAATCATCGTATAAATTCCAGGATGTCCACACACAAGAAACGTCGTCACTAAAGAATCATCGTATAAAATGCCCCCTGTCCACACACAACATTTTCCGTGATTCTTTATAGAGTTTCGCGATAGTGATAAGAGGTCTGGTCTCATTTCGTTCGAGGTCACGTTAAGCCCCGCCCAGTTAGTTACACTAGTTACACTCCCCCTGTCCACACACAACATTTTCCGTGATTAGGCGTGATTCTTTATCGAGTTTCAGTTCGAAACGATGCCCAAACCTGCGTTTCGTTAGACTAGTTTCGTTATACGACGTATCGTTAGTGAGCGTCCACACCTACAATTTTGGTCGTAAAACTATCGCGAAACGGTATCACTATCGCGAAACGGTATAGCTAATCATGATTAGTCACGGAAAATGTTGTGTGTGGACAGGGGGAAAGTCTTTCTACCTGTTTTCATACTCTTAAAGCTTATCTGCCGTAGTTTACAGGAGGGATTAGACCGCTCCGCAAGGTCACTGGACAGGTGGTTATCTCATCAACTCAGCTCTCAGTTAACATAGGAAAAAGAGGATCATGGGGGACCAATGGTCACCGATTAGGCATTGTATGTTATATAGAGGGCGCAAGTAGCTACAAGTAGTGCAGTGGGCCTTTAAATAAAACTACATTCAATGGGAATTTGCATTGTTTACCAGGATGATCATGGATTCTTGCATATTGCACAGTATTTTTACCCCAGCTTTGTTGCAGCTCCTACTACAGCACTGTAGTATTCTAAGGAAGAAATTCCTGGCAGGTACACATTAACTTCCCCTGGGTTGAGGATGGCAATTGTAGATTAATGTCTTTCCAAAGGATGTTAGTGATGCTACATTTACTCAAATCTTTCACCTTGAACTCTACAGTCAGGTGACTTATCCACTAGACCACAAAACACTTCAAAAGCAAAGCTCATTGAATAGTTATTTTTTTTCAAGATCATATTTTGCTACCCTCCTTTTCATCCATTCAGGATATGTACCAGCTATAAATATGGAAATGTTTTTGTTGACATGTATCTCTTGTCCATTCCTAGCCTTGCATTTATTTTTACAACAAGATAAAAATATGTCCTCATCGAGACTCAGTCACCCAAAGCTCATTGTATAGTTATTTTTTTTCAAGATCATATTTTTCTACCCTCCTTTTCATCCATTCATGATATACATGTACCAGCTAATATGGACATGTTTTTGTTGATATGTATCTCTTGTCTTTTCCTAGCCTTGCATTTATTTTTCATAACAAGATAAAAATATGTCATCGAGACTTGCCCTCGACTTTTGATGTAACTATTGATGGTACTACCAGTATATTCACTGATAAGGAGATGGATTATTAAACATAACGATTGTCAAAGATATTTAAAGAGGCCTGATTATGAGACAACTGCTCTACTGGCAATGGTCTCATAACAGAGAGGTCCCTGGTTTGAAACCAAGTCGATGTGCTAGTGCTTATCAGGACAATTACCCCCTGGACAATCACCTCCCCCCCCCCCCCCCCCTCCAAATGATCTTGTGAAAATATGCTGCAGATCGTGTACGCTACAAAGCTTCAACAAATTAAGATAATTTCCAATAACAAGTTGGAGCATCTTGTGGAAATCTATATTGTAAATTTTAAAATATTGGGAAGTGTCAAAAAAAAGTAATCAATAGGCCTGTTTTCATCAGCTCGAGTTTACCAAATAACCCGCTATTTTCAGACTCTGGATACTGTTGCGTCTTCACCAGACCGATACGCTCATCACAAACAAGCTCAGACGGGCGTAGATTAGCCCGCTATTTGGGAAAAGGCGGGATATTTTGGAAACCAATTACCAAGATTTCTCATATTTTCTGAACCAAATATCCCGCTAATTGCAACTGCAGGCCCTAGGGCTGATGAAGACACAAATTAACTGGCTAATTTGCGATCGGGATAGTTAAAATGGCGGGTTATTTGGCAAACTCAAGCTGATGAAGAGTTTGATACCATGATTGATTTCTTCATCAGCATTGCAAATTCATGTTCTGTGAAAGTTGGCCATAAAACTTTGGACCGATTTATATCTCTTTATCTTCTCAGTTCTCAAAGATTCAACCTTTTCATGAGATACACGCGTGTCAAATTAATTGCCTGCTTTTATTTGACATTGAGGAGAAAAATTCATTTTTGTTTGATACCAAGATTTTATTCTTTATTCATCAGTATTGCAAATTTATGTTAAAATAAAACTTAGGACCGATTTCCTTTCAGTTTCTCAAAGATTCAACCTTTTCGTGAGAATCATGCGTGTCAAATTAATTGCCTGCTTTTATTTGACATTGTGAAGTAGAGAAAAAATACCAGCAATAATCAAGAATTATTTAGGGTTAGTGGTGCCATGATGTATTCAGATACGCTCTTATTATTTAATGATGTCTCTTTATAAGGATCCATGTTTTAATTACTCTCTTTTGTATTCTCTAAGAAAGTGACCTATATTTATACATATTTATTGCAGGTACAAGTACATGCAATTTTTCAACAAAATTTTCCAATGATGTTATTTTTTATTTTTTATTTCATCACTTTATTGAATATCAAAATCAAACCAAGGAACATAATTATAGGCGCATATCGAACAAAAGTTTACATTTAGAATCAAGACAAATTGAATTTATGACATTTTGCAGGGCACAATGATTTGAATTTAATTATTTCAATTTTTAAAATCCATAACTTACTTTCTTCAACCTTTCACTTGTCCGTTTGTCAAATTTTTCTGCTTTCTCTGCTTTCCTTAAACCTCTTGAATGTCGGGTTGGGTTTCCCCTTTCAAATGAAATTCACTTGTGTTTTACACACAATTTACTGCTTTAGACCAATTTTCA